CTTATCTCGCGACAAGAGTCCTCATCGATCTGGCAGATAGAGAAGAGGTAAAATTTCCACTCGCTGCCAAGGCACTGAAAGAGAATTTTTATGTGGACGATTGTCTCGCATCATGCCCATCCATTTCCGATGCGCTTGAAACTCAACGGCAGTTGAAAGAATTGTTGAGTTCCGCTGGCATGACGCTCGCCAAATGGTGTGTCAGCAGTCCAGAAATCACAGAGGAAGTAGAGCCCTCACAGGTGCGCAGCATCTTTCCTGAACAATCCAAGGCTCTAGGCATGCTTTGGCACCCTCAGGATGATGTTTTCGTCTTCCAGCTCACTCGAGATTTCATTTACGTCAATTCAAAGCGAGAAGTCCTCGCGGCAATTGCGTCACTTTATGATCCTCTTGGTTTCGTCTCTCCAGTGATCGTTATCGGAAAATTGATCATGCAGGCCCTTTGGAAAGAGGAAAAGTTGGATTGGGATGATCCGCTTCCGGAACATATCAGTTCCCAATGGAAACAATTAGCCGAAGGTCTTCCAACCCTTCAGGAGATCAAAGTTCAGCGCCCAATGTCGACTTTGACGTCTCCCAAGTCCACCGAGTTGCATGTCTTCTGCGACAGCAGCTCAGTTGCATATGGTGCCGTGGCTTATGTGGTCACAGAGGATGATATCCATGGTCGCCAGTCTCAGATTCTGATGGCAAAGTCGCGCATTGCTCCCACATCGTCGATCACCATCCCCAAATTGGAATTGTGTGCCGCAGCTCTAGGCTCTCAGTTGGCCCACAAGATCAGAAATGCTCTCTCAGTCACGGAATATTTCTTGTGGACAGACTCGACGATTGTTTTGGGGCAAATCAGATCAAACCGCATTAAATTTGACGTTTTCACCGCGCATAGAATCGCTGAGATTCTCAGACTGACGGACGTTTCGAAATGGCAGCACGTACCGGGAGCCTCAAATCCTGCGGACGTTGTATCGCGTGGTATGTTGCCCACAGAATTGAAAAGTTCATCTATATGGTGGACGGGCCCAGAGTTTTTGTTGGGTAAGGCCGAAAACTGGCCTCAAGACCCGTATAGTGTCACGCTCATTGCTTCGTCGACTGCCATTATCAATCAGGTCCCAGAAAGTCACATCCTTGATACCATCCTTGAAAGATCCAGCAGTTATCTGCGGATACAAAGAATCCTAGCATACGTGCTAAGAGTCCTGACAGGTTCGCCTAGTCGCATTAGAGGTCCCATTACATCCCAAGAACTCCTAAAATCAGAGCACAAACTAGTATCTTTTGCACAAGCTCAACACTTGGCAGAAGTGAGATCAGCCATTGCCGATGGCACCATGTGGACCAGCAGGAGGTTCGCCCATGTGCGCCACTTGACTCCCTTCATTGATGGAGAGGGAATCATCAGAGTGGGTGGCCGACTGGCTCAATCGCCTGCAAACTACGATGCCCGCCATCCAATTCTTCTGCCCAAGTGTCGCCTCGCCACGATCATCGCCACCCACACACACAAGAACAACATGCACGCGGGACCACAACTGCTTCTGGCCACTCTGCGTCAGAAATATTGGCCGCTGGGAGGAAGAAATCTGACCAGAAACGTCGCTCGCTCATGTGTTGTGTGCTGGAAAACCAAGCCGATCCGACAGGAGCAGAGAATGGGAGATCTTCCCACGAGTATGACAGATCACGTGGCTCCATTCAAAGTGTGTGGCATCGATTTCTGCGGCCCAGTCCTCACGCGTCCTAGCTACAAGAGAGGAGGTACATCATATAAGACGTACATTTGCGCCTGTGTCTGCTTCACGACGAAAGCCATTCACCTGGAAGTTGTCGGCAGTCTCTCATCCGAGGGCTTCGTCGCTGCGCTGCGGAGATTCGCGGCCAGGAGAGCTGCTCCACGCGACATCTTCTGCGATAATGCCACCAATTTTCGCGGAGCCAGCGCAGAGTTGGCAAAGTTTCTGCGAGACATCCAGTCATCGCCAGACGTCGTTTCAGAGGCAGCCCCCAAGGGCATCAATTGGCACTTCGCGCCACCAAGATCTCCTCATCATGGCGGACTTTATGAGGCGGCGATCAAGTCCCTCAAACATCACTTAGCCAGAGAAGTTGGACAGACTATTCTCACATTTGAGGAGTTGAACACCATCGTAGCACAGATCGAAGCCATCCTCAATAGCAGACCAATCACGCCACTCTCCGAGGATCCAAATGAGATGTTCGCATTGACTCCTGGTCACTTTTTAGTGGGACGCCCACTGAACGCGCTCCCGGATCAGACGCTCACAGATGTTGCGCCAAATCGCCTCTCCAGATGGCAACTTTGCCAGAAGATTCTGCAGCACTTCGCCCATCGTTGGAGGAAAGAATATCTCCATCTTCTCCAGAAGAGAGTCAAATGGACGCAGGAAGCGGACAATTTGAAGATTGGCGATATCGTTCTCATCGGCGACGATTCAATGGCCACACATCAATGGCCAATGGGCATCATCGAGGAGCTTCATCCGGGCAGAGATGGACGATGCAGAGTCGTCACGATCAGGACAGCAAGGGGTAAATACAAAAGGGCAGTTCAGAGGCTGTCCAAATTGCCCATCGAGGGACTCCCGCCCTCATCATCGGCCCCCCAGGATGTTGACGCATTTCAGTGCAGAAATATCGTCGAATGCGCTTCACGCCATAGAGATAAGACCAAACCAGTTCCTTATCAAGTCCCGCTCGGGCACCAAAATTTAATCTATTTGCCTCCTGTGTAATTTCTACTTTCTTCACTCTTAACCAGACAGTCCAACAATCCACATCGCGATTTGTGCCAATTATTGAATTATTAAATTTACAAAACCGCAACATTTGCCCTCTGAAGTGTGAAAAATTTTCAATATAATTAGTTTAAGTGAAGTGCAAGAGTCTATTTTTTTCACCTCCGCCGCTCATCATTTCGTCTCCGCCGTCAGCCAAGCTGTGCCACCAGAGGGGGAGAAAAATTTTTGCCCTCCGAGCCACATAGGCTAATAAGTGACTAATTGCAGGTTGGTGCCCATCCAGTCCCTTTTCTCACATTGGCACAACGGCAGAAGCCGTAAATCAAGACACAATCACGGGAAATTAAAGATCATTGGGTTATGAATTTTAATTAGTGATCGAATGAGTTTTTTTTTCTTCACTGCGCTCACCGAACATTACCATAAATAGTCCATTTTCACGAGATTGGCAAGTGATCTTCAAACATTTTGTGTAATAAGTTCCATTTGGAGATGCGGAAAATAAAGTCATTACGGTGTGTCTCAGAGGAGATTAACAAATGACTTTCGTATGTCAATTAGTTAGATAAAAAGTATTTAAAATGCATATTTTTTTTTTTTTTTAATATTTTCCACGCGAATTTTTAACACGTTTGAGAGTCAAATGGAATGTCACATGATATTATTGTAATGTAAATACACAGAAAATGGACTAATTAATTACGCAGCGTGAAATAAAGTCTGGAAAAACAAATTTAGAATGGCTTTTTTTCAACTCCATTTCAATAATAATGAAAACGAATTCCGATACAAGAAATTGTTCATAAATTTTAATTTTTTAAGTCGTTAGTTCCACATTTTTTTTACTGTGAGGAATAACTTTTGTGAAGGAATATGTATGATTTTGTTTGGCTTGAACTTTGAATATGTCGAGAAATTACATTGGAAATTCATTTGGGTCACATAAAAAACCGAGAAAACGTTTAGGAATCGGAGCGTTTTGATGGGCGTGGCATTTGGGTGGGCGGAGCCAATCTCACGAAGGAAAATAAGATGTTCTGAGTGTAATGAATGTACAAACAGAACTAGATCACAGGAATATTCAAACTTGCTGTAAAATATCACCAAGAACCACCCAATAGTTAATAAAATTGACCAGATAAGCTTATAATCCGCAGCCGTCAACACAAGAAAGCTCTGCTCATTTATATCAATTAGTCTCGATGGTTAATCGAGGATTTCCTGTGCGATACAAAGGCGCTCCACAGCGTATCCGGCTTCTGCAATTGAATTATTAATAAAATCTGTGAATGAGGCGCGCGTGGAGAGTCGCCGAGGAGTGCAAGAGAAAAAGGCGTGACCACAATCACAGGCGAACTCCATTCGATAGAGATGCAATTATAAATTGAATAACATTGCGATCGGCAAGCATGCTCGCGAGAGAGACTTCCATCTCACGAAGAGCGGGTGTTGTGTAGAAAAATTCACACGATGTGAATTGAAGGTTAATAGAATTCAGTGTGAATTCCTCGCCAGAGAGTGGCTGTGAAAGTGAAAAAGCGTCGCCAGCAAATGGGATGAATTATCTCTTTGGGGAGGCTTGAGACAATGGGTGGACAAAAGACAGGTCATTTGGCGGCGCAGTTATCTAACTTTCTCACACCATTGAGATCTACATGGCGAGTGTGTGCATAGGAAAAAAATACACCCAAACTAGGCATGGTCGAGCCATTAACAGTGGAAATACATAAAACACCTTCCATTTGCGCCAATTCGATCGTGAGAACCTATTCATTACATTTCCCAAATCAACTCTTTTTGACTTTTTGAGCGCACACAGACTTCTCTCTTTTGACGATGATGATGATGGAAAGGGAATGTGCTTTTGGGAGACTCTCAAGCTTTTCGACTATTATGTCGATTCACTCCATTCACTCAATATCGCACTTTTGTTCACCATTTGCACAAAGACGCTTAGTTGGGTGAGACATTTTGGTGTGTGACCAGAAAAGGTCAGCCAGACACTTCAATCCTCCGCCAAGTGCTAAGGTGAATTTTCACTTGCTGTCCAGTCAAGGATTATGTCTCCTTTCTCTTCGCTTTCCCACGGATTGCTTCTCGAAAGCTCTCTTGACAAATTACATCAAGGATTGTACATAAGAATTGAGTCTGTTTTCTGGTATACAATTAAGACACAGTCGAATTTGGGAATTTCCGTGAATCTCCAAATCACGATCTCATCTCTGATCTCCACAGATACTCCCACGCGAAGCAACAACCTGAAACGACCACCCCCACCGTTGATGTTGGCACCGCACTTGCTAGGAACAAAAAGACCAAAAGACATGTAAGTCTCCGCGTGTCAGCTCTCGTGTGCGACTCAATTGACTGATTGCGCATCTCTTCACATAGTCTCTCATCACGAAAGTACCTTAACTCCACCCTGACTGGTGTCAGTGGGATTTCCAACAATAACAACAGCAGCAGCAACAACAACAACATCACCTTTCCCAATTGCGTGACGGAGGGCGAGCACTCGGCGCCGCTCAGTGGGATCTTGCTGCGCGGCGAGGGCAATCTGCGTCTGCACGGTGGCCACAGTGCGCGAGTGGACTTTGGGAAGAGCAAGAAGATCCACAAGTGCGATGCGGACGGATGCGACAAGGTGTACACCAAGAGTTCCCACCTCAAGGCGCACAAGAGAACGCACACAGGTGAGATCTTGCGCAGGCTTGCAATCCTATTCCACTGATTTCATGACAATCTGAGTATTTTTGCTAGTGTAGAGTGATAATTTCCATTTATTATGCGAGAAGAGTGGAAGAAGTTTTTTTTTTGGGGGAAATTCATTGTTGTTATGGGCGACAAGAGATTGTGATATAGTTTATTGTCTCCACAGGGCAAAGATCTCTCCATTATCATATGATTTAAAAGGCACTAAGTGGCGTGTGTGACACGTTGTTGCTTTTGCAGGTGAGAAGCCGTACGTGTGCACGTGGGAGGGGTGCGTGTGGCGCTTCGCCCGGTCTGACGAACTCACGCGCCACTACCGGAAGCACACGGGTCTGCGGCCGTTCTGCTGCAAGATGTGCACGCGCTCCTTCAGCCGCTCTGACCACCTCGCGCTCCACATGCGGCGCCACTAGCCAGAATCCCAGCCGCAGAAGCTGTCTTGCCACCGTTGACTCCCCTCGCTGTCTTCACGCTCTTTGCTGCAAATGACTGCCGGCCAATTTGTCTGCTGCGACTCTGTGTGTCACTGCGGAGATGCGATGCCGAGCAGATAAGCGTGTGATTTGCAGGAAGTGCCATTCCAACGTCATGGGTTGTCCAAGAGCCAGTTACGCACGCAATAATCCCAATTTGCATTGTCTGAGCAAAAGGGGAGACGGTAGATTTTGTGGTAGATGCTTTTCTGATGAATATGTTTCTTCTTCTGTCAATTTACTTAACGGTTGCATGGGCATTAATTATTAAATTATTATGTTTTGTACATTTTTGAACGCGGAGAAGGACAGACAAACACACTCACAAATTACACCAACAGCCACAGAATCCACAATTGATCGCTGGAGTGATGATGAAAATTAATAATATATTCGTAATATTTAAGCCAGTTTATGGGGCCAGTAATGAATTGTACAATAAATTATTTATTCTAGAAGAATGAAGCGGAGAAAGAGTGAAAGAGAGACAGAGTGAGAGACGAGAATACATTCTGTAATAATGATAGTAATTTTTGTATCCAGTGAAATATGGTCAGTTTTTTTTACTACACAAAAAAGAGTTAAGTTTAGATTATTTTTTTTTGTAAAATTGTAAGACCTACATTTTCCACAATTTTAGTATGTAAGTTTTATAGCCCAGAAATACTAGTTGCAATATTTTTTTTTCATTCCATCTAATGGTTAGTTTAGAGATTCTATTTAATTTTATAACACCGTATTAGGCGTAATTATTAATTATTTCCCAATTGGAGAAGCAATAAAAGTGTCCAATTAATTCAAGTGAAGCATTATGAGGTAGTACTTGAATGTAAGATCTGTAATATTGAATCTGTTGTGCGCGATTTTCCCTCTCAGATAAAGAGAGTGGCGAACATTTGAGAATTGGGAGGAAAAACAGCGACAAATTGACGGAAAACGCTGTGGATTTTTTTTCTTTGATACATTGCAATAAATCTCACTAGATAGTAATGAGGAGAATAGTTAAAATATGAAATATATTTCAATTATGTGCAGTTCGATTTATGGGTAAAACGTCCTCGAGTTGAACACATTAATAATCCCCAATTAAGACATTAAAAGACGTTACGATTTTATATCCCTCCTGCCTTTTAGAGAGAGAGTGAGAGAGAGAGAGAAAAAAACAGAGAAAAGAAGTATAACGTGTTATATGGAGAATAGATAAGGTATAAAAAAGAATGGTGCTAATTGATATATTCCCAATGAAAAGCATTAATGATAAATTCCCTTCTATTTCTTTTTCGATATTCTTCTTTTGAACCGTTTTATCGTTTGGTACAATGTAAATAAGACCCGATATGAATACTTTTTAAAGCTGTCTTGTGATATTTTTAAAACTAATTAATTACTCCGATGAAAATTCAATGGATAAATTTCAGTGTTTCTGAGGCAAAGAAGAAAAAAAAAACAAGCAAGATTAAAGAGAGGTGATTAGAGTGAGTGAGAGAGAGCTTTTGGAAAGCTCTTCAGATGAGATAAATTAATCTAATTAAGGCGAACTCACGTCTCAATTTGGAGGATCATTTTTTATAGTTGTGCAGTCAACGCACTTAAAAAACAATCATCTCAATATTCCTTTTGCAATTATTTGATCTGCGTGGTGATTTTTGAGTGCTCCCGTAAGCAATTACCCACGGATAATCTTGTGTAGATGAGAAAAAAGAGCATCAAATGTTGGGCGAGGAAAAAAAAGAGACAAACAGAGAGATTGATTGATTTTCCCCCAGAGTGAGAGAAATCTCCACTGAAACGAATAATTAATTGTATCGTTAAGTAATAATTCACACACACAAAATCGAGATTATAGGTAACAAGTGTAATGATTTTTTAATATCTTCTCCAATGTATTTTTACTACGTGTATTTTGTCCTTGTAAATTGATATTATTTTTTTGTCGTATTCAGAAATCTCTTGTACAATGTTGATTTTACAATATAATCTGATATAGAGTGTAATTTCCATCGCAAGACTTTTCTTTTCTCTCTTCGTTGGCGGATTATTTTCTCTACCGTAAAAGTTTCACTGAAATTTTCAACTAGTCATGAAACATAATAATTTGCTCGAATGGAAATCGCCGCGAAGTATGCAATATTGAGTGAACTTTCCCTCCAAACACTCCTGAGAGAAGAACATTGTTTCTACGGTTTCCTCACATTTTGCCTGAGAAAATTCTACAAACTCCTCCTATTTTGCACTCCTCGTCAAAATGGCAATAATTTGCCATTACTGCGTTGGCGAGCTGTGACAAAAAAGGCCCGCGATCGCGACATTGCGCGGATTTAACGATCGACAGGAGCGGAAGTTGTAAAATTTGTCTGCTCTTTATGCATTTTGCTGAGATATTTAATTGTTTCATCATGCGCGCGAGGGAGAATTTTCTGCGAGGAATTGAGGGCGTTTCCCAACGCTATCCAATGGGAAGATTCGGGGCAGGGTTCGGGTGTGTTCGGGTGGAAAAGCCAGCCAGCGATCTGCTGGCAGGAGAGGAAAAGTGCCGGTGTCCTCTAGTTGTGTGTCGGGCATTCGAGAGTGACGATCGTGCTTCCGTGAGATGGTTCAGAATGGCTCTCAATCGAGCATTTTCACCGAAAGTGATCTTGGATATTAGCCACGATCATCAGCATCACCACCTGCCCCAGATGGGCTATCCTGACGCCGGTGTGCCGCAGCCGATCAAGCTGGAGGCTGTGGAATACGACGGCATCGACACACTCAGGGCGCCTCCGTATCCTGACAAGGAGAACAACTACATGACCATTTATGCGCCGGAACCGCCGTGTGATTACTACGCGAGGAGTGACAATCATGAGCTCGCAATTCCCACAGTCCTGCCGTCACTGGCGACACGAAAGCGTCGCGAGCGCTTCGAGGAGGATCTGTTCGAGTGTCACGAACACAAGAGGAGTCGCTTCGAGAGCGATTCTGGCCACTACCTCGATCCCACTTTCGAGCCGAAGTTCTACCAGGCTCCGGATTACTACCAGACCGACATGCCATTCACCATGAAGACGCTCCTGCAGGAGGACAAGCCCTCGCCTGGCGACTCCTTCGATCTGCCCGTGATCTTTGACGATGACGTGGACGATATCAAGTCCACGGACAGCAAGGCCTCACTGTCGGGCAGTTCGCCGAGCAGGAAATCGCGGAAGCCGAGAAAGCGTCGGAAAATCGCCAAGGAGTCCAGCTCTGAGGAGCAACAGAACCAAAGAGCGATGGCGAATAACAGGGAGCGCCAAAGGACGCAGAATCTCAATGATGCATTCATGAATCTGCGAAAGATCATTCCAACGATGCCAAGTGACAAACTCAGCAAAATCCAGACTCTCAAACTAGCGACAAAGTGAGTAAAGAATGGTTATTTTAAGAATATTTCCTTCCGATTAGAAATGTTTGAAATTGGCTGCAATTGTTTAGTTGAAAATATTATATTTGAAATGGAAAATTGTAGTTTTATAAGAAGAATATTATTTAAGTCTATATTTCTGGTAAAAATTCAATTGAAATTAATCTTAAAATAATTTCATGCATTTAAATGATACGTTTATCACGCAATTAATTAGGAAGATTCAGTATTTCAGTCTAAACTTTCTTATAAATCCAGTGTTAAAGTGTAGAATTTATTACTTTTCGCAATTTCAATCCCTGACCATGTCTCAGAGGCATCTTCAGCTTCTTTTCGGCATGTCTTGGGAATTCCCACCATATGCAAAACACCCGCTTTTATTGTCCTATCTTAAACCGCCCGAAGGAGAAAGGAGTCCCGATGTCTGGAAATTCCCTGGGTTTTCCCACCTGCCAAGCGCAAATTTCTGGCACTCACACACTGTCGCTCCTAATCTCACACCTTTTCTCCCTTCTTCGCACCTTCGCAGGTACATTAAGTTCCTGATCGGGATTTTGACCGACAAGGAGATCTGCCTGCAGACGCTGGAGGAGAGGATTCGACAGGGCAGCGCGACCATTGCCCAGTCCGAGGGCCTCAGGACGGCCCTAAGCAGGGCCGAGAATAGGGGCGAAATTGCCCACGAGAAGCTGAGTCTCATGTTCAGTGTGTGGCGGATGGACTGTGATTTGAATCCGCGGCAAGATACGATCGAAGAGCGTGAAAAATGTGATCTGTGAATATATTTCAGTGACAAATGGATATTTTGTGCCGTCGGGAGGAATTTGAGGAGCTCAAGAGTGGCAAGGAGAAAGCATGTGAGGAAATTATATTAAGCATTCTAGAGTACTTAAGATTCAGTGTCATTTTACTATTTGTCTGAATCAAAAATCATTGAAGATATCATCAATTTTGTATGAAATATCATTCCAAACTTAATTGTACATAAAATTACACATAAGAAATGTCAGTGAAAAACTATTTATCTCAAGCAAAGAAGAGCCTTCTTGATGGAACTAAAATGTACGGGTTGAATGAAAAATACGTTTTCCTGCAGGGAAAATGTTACATTTCTTTACTGGAAATTTTATATAAAACAATACAGCTTGGAAACACATAATTTCTGTTATGATCTTACGAACTTATCCTTGATTATAAGTTTTGTGAAGAATTCCACAAGCTTCCAATCAATCCAAAATGTCACTAAACAACAGTCTGAAGGTTTATTTTTGCTACAGATAAAAAGCTTTTAGTGAATTGTATGCATAATGTAAAAAATAACGTAGATAAAATACAGAAAATGTCTTTTGATACTCTTATCAAGTGTGAAATCATTCGTAATAATATCTGTAAATCGCCGAAGTGATAAGTGTAAATAAATCATATTGCAGTAATGGAAGATAAAGTGTTTTCCTGGCCCAACATTTCCCCCCCTCGAACTCCGGGGGCAATTCTGAGAAATCCTCCTGAATCTCATTACTTTTTCTTCGCTCGCATTACAAAATTTCCGGCCATGGCAGAATGCTGAAAAGAAGGGCGAGAGTATCGCGTGAAGACGATCGGCGTCAGAGCCCCGGAAAAAAGTCACTGGAGCGTCGAGAGGCTGTGCAAAAGAATATAAATTGGAGGGAATATTTCAGAGATGAGCATTTTGGGAAGAGGCAAAATGATGACAGTTGTTTGCATATGCGCGCGCTCGCCAACTTCAAAGGGCGACTCCATGGCAATTTTCGGCGATCCTCCAGTGATCCTCACCCTGTTTTCTCAGTCTCTATCTTATGGCATTGGCAAAAAAAGGCCAGAGAAGATTCTTTTACTCTCGGAATGATGTATCATCACAGGATATGGAGCAATTATATGGCAAAGAGAGCAAGAAGATGCGGCAGAGCCAGAAAAATAAACCCCAGGGAGAGAGGCAGGCACAAGTGTTTTGTATTTGTGAAGTCTCTTATGCGAAAAAAGACTTTTTCATGCCATCCGAGGGCTTCTTTCCATACCCAAATGACGATGTGATCTCAAGAGGATTTCCTCGAAATTCCATAGCAAAGTCACGATTGTCAGCCTGGCAAAAAATACCACCCAGATCACTGCGAGCTTTTCCCAGCGCATCTGCCCCCGAATATCAAGCCGGCGAGAGGAGTGACCATGGCGAAGAGTCCTCAGCAGACACCCAAATTCCGTGCCCATTCATGTATTCGTGGTTGTTATTTCAACATGGCAGAAGTTAATTCAAAACAGATCACATTGTATTACGATCGCTGAGCATTAAAACTGACGCTAATGGCTCTTTTAATGCATACACACAGCGAAGTCTTCGACATCTTCCTGACTTTCGCTTCTCAATGGTCATTTTGTCTGTTAATATATTCATCTCGAAATAACATTTTATTGTGGAAATGAGCATTCAGGGTGTATTGGCCCAGGGAAAGTCTTTACATTTGGAATTTTGAGCTTTTTTGTGAATTTTTGTATATGATAAAATAGTAAATATATTTTGATGAGCTTGTTATTTGTTGTGAAATAAATAAAGAGACCAATAGTAAGCGAGAAAATTCAATGGGCGTGACTTCTTAGAATTTTCTTTCTGTGGAGAATATTAAGTACATTCTTGATTGAATGATATTGCAATCACATTTGACATGATCATGCTCAAGAAAATCCTGTGTCTTGACTCTAGAAAATTGACATTAATCTTCATTTGAGCGACTCTCCTCCAGCATTTCACCGTGAAATCCATGCCTTGAGGAACCACAATAAAAATGTAAAAATTTTCGGTATCGCATGACGTGATGAACACGTGTTCTTCACAAAATTTCCCCCGAATTTGTCACAGTTTCCAAAGTCACAATGATGAAAGAAAGGGCACCGCGCTCCTCTATCCTTTTGCTGCTCATCTCGAGGGCTTTTCCTGGGCACAATAATTCATATTTAATTGTGTAAAATGACACAGAAACACACAAAAGACATCACCGACGAAAAAATCCGTGCAAGTGAGCGGGAAAAGACGGGGAAAATGGGAGAGAAATGGAAAAACCTTTTTGGTAGGAGAACATCAAAGTCATAAATCACTTTTGATGATCACATCGCAGTTTTTGTTTAGTCTCCTCTAACTCTTCCACTCTCGCTCATTCACATTGGGAAACACAGTACAACTGCGTGGATAAATTTCCTGCGGAGAGAGAGAGAGAGAATTTTCCTGGAAAATATAATTTATGTGTCTTATCTCACGATCTATTGGATATTTTTCTTTCACTCTAAATCATTCTCACGGCAACTAATTTGATTGTGTCGTCAATGAAATATTCACGAACTAAATTAATATCTTATTAACAACGATGATTTTCCACACGCACTCTCTCGTAAAATCTCTCACACAGCACAGCGCATCTCATAAAGAATGATGCTATCAAGCTCACAGCTTAATTGATATGAACGATCGAGAATCCTCACGGCATTCCTTCGCAACTTTACGATGAGTGTAATTCGGAGGGAAATTCATGGCGAGAAGCGAAATTCTGGGCTGTGAATGAAAATGGAAAACTTCACAATGAATTAACTGATGCAGAGAGTGAAATGTCCACGAGAGACGCGCTTCTTCGTCGGCACGATGATGAGAAACTATGTCATAAAGTGCTCGTAATTTTGCGAAAAGTGATGAAAAAGACATAATTGCCAAGTCACCAGATATTGCTATGGAAATGTATTTTCACAGATCAAAGGACATCGCATTGCATGCATTTTCGCACTAATGTCGCACAACATTCTCTCCTTTAGCAGCATTCTGTTGTAGCTGCAAACTGATATAATTGATCTTCTGTCTATGCAAAGTCCCACAAATGCGTGATAAAGTAAAAATAGTGTTTTTATTGAAATTTTCTATGGGAAAATGCTCTTTCAGCCACTAAAAGTTCTCATCAGTCGCCAAGAGAGCAATTTTATACAAAAGATGTGACAGAATGTTCATTTCGAATGTGATGTTGATGCTCGACCTCCCCTCAATAGTACATGTCATCTTGTCCGGCCCTCTTGTAGAATGCCCTGGAGTAGTCGGCTGGTCCGCGGGGCGCGAGGAGCCCGAAGCATCCGCGCCGGTAAATGAGGACAATCATGAGGGATATGGGAATGCCCACCAAGATGCCGATCAGCATTCCCATGAGGATCACTCCGTCGTGCTCAGGGCGATGGCCGTACTTGTCAACACACCTCAGCTGCGTGTTCTCCAGATCGATCATCTTCGTGCCGCGCATCTCGATTGGATGCTCACAGATCACGTCCTCAAGCAGGCGCTCTGTGTCTCCGTGAAGATGTCCCAGGAGGCGATCCACCATCCACTGATTGCTGCAGTCGCAGAGCCAGGGATTGTGACGGATGTCTAGCACTTCCAGATGTTCCCAATTAGCCAGCATCATCATATCGATTGTGGTGAGGTTATTGTTGTGCAGATAAAGCTGGAGAGAATTCAGGGATTATTAGATCAAATCGTTTGGCTAGAAAATCGAGGGACTTACGTGAGTCAAATCTGGCCATTCCTCTCGAGAAGGATCCTCAGCTCCTTGGCGACTCATGGCATCGCCGTGGATGAAGTACAACTTGGGATTCTCACTCATCCTCAGGGTCTTGAGTCCAGTCAGACCACTGAAAGCACCAGCTTCGACTCTCTCCAGCAATGGCATGGATGAGAGGCTGAGGAACTGCAAATTGGGCATCAGCGCGAACTTTGTGCGATTTGTGCCCAAGCTGGGAATTAAGTTGTTGTCCAGATACAAATTCTCCAGATTCTTGGCAAATACCAAGGCATCGGGAATTTGCGTCAGAAGGTTGTCCGTGATGTTGAGGGTCTTCAGTGCGCGCGGTGTGTGCAGAAGATGTGGCGGAATACCACTCAATTCCATTCTGCTGAGGTCCAAGAACTCCAAATATCTGATGCTCGTGATGGCCATTTCGGACTGCGAATCAATCACCTTCAAAGACATATTGCAAAAGATTGTTAAATCCTATTGCTAGGACTGTTCCGCTCCTTTTTATTAACCTAGTTTAGTTTCATTTTCACGGTCTATCAAAGTACACTTTTGTTGCAATAAAATTCCCCATCGGAAAGGTGGAGCAAAGACATTTCAAGTCTCTCTTATCTTATTTGCTCGCGCTATCATGAAAATTTTTATTGCGATAGCAATAACTACGTAGTAAGTCACTAATGGTGACGAATTTCGTGAAATTTTCATCACTGCAACTTTGATGAAAAATAACTGACCTGAAAAGGATTTCCCGCCAAACTCAGCGATCTCAAGTGTGGCAAGTGCTCGAAGTTCTCCGATTTGAGAGCATGAATATTGTTGTTATCCAGCTTAAGCGTCCTCAATTTATTCAGTGGTTCATACTCATCAGGATCATAGTGTCCCTCAAACACATCGGGATTGATTGAGTTGATGTCCAGGCGATTGTTGGAGAGATCAAGATACACGAGATTTCGCAGCTCCTTGAAAGCCCTCTTCTCGATTGTGTTGATCTCATTGTGACTGAAATCGAGTTCTTGGATGGGCAGCTCAGGAAAAGCCGGAATCTTTGTCAGTTGATTCCTGGTGAAGTGCACAACGTAGACGCTAAAGCTCTTGTTAAGTGGTGTCCAATCTTCTGCCAACAGCATATCCCTGAAGCTCCTCTCGCTACAATCCAGGAGATTGGTGTCCTTGTCGCAGATGCACGAGGAACAGATCACACTGGAATCCTTTGTGTCATCCTTTTTCGCCGCAACTTCGGTCGTATTGTTGTCTCCTCCTGAGACAGACACAGCCAGGAGGCAGAGAAGGAAACAGGCCACCTCTCGCCTCATTTTTGGAAAATGCACTCAGAAATTGATAAAAGCTCTGCGGAGCTTTTCACTTATCACAGTCTCAGGGCGTGTCTCAGGTTAATTTTCACAAAAACCACCTTTTCCTCTGGATTTTCTATGCACTAATAACTAATCTCGCTGTGTTACATTTAAAAAACCTTAGTTGATCACCTTTTGTCACTTTCACCTGTAAAATTCTCCTCCAAATGGACTCAGGAAGGAGAGAAGATGGCTTTTGATACACTCTTTGGCAATTTCACAGTAGGAAATGATTCAACAGGTGCGCGATATCACCTGAAAATGCTGTGAAAAAGGTGTACGATTATCACAGTGCCACTATCTTATCAGTGCTTGAGGCCTCGATTTTGAGTTATCGCGCTCCGAAATGGAAGATATACGGAATGTGTGGAAATAAATTGAGTCAGTTCGAGGGAAATCAAGTGATTCAAAGGCTCAATTTTCCTGGAACACATGAGACAATAACATTCCCATGGTCGGGGAGATCCTTTGCCAGCAAACAAAAACGATGTCTGAAGCAGGAGGGCTGTCGCTTCTCCCTCGCATCTTTTAGCGCTTCTTCTTCCTCACTCAGCATTATTGGTGACTCTGTTTATAGAGCCACAATATTCCATTTTGTATGGCTATGAAGGCGCACCGAAGAAATGTTGGACGTTAGGCTTGAGCTGTGAGCAACTTTACTGAAATTTTATCACTCTGTGTGGAAAGTCTCCTTGAAATTGACTAGCAATGTTACCACAATTTCCTGAAATCTTCCCGAAAGCATCCAAAAGATTTGGGCGAGAGCGGCGGGAAATGGGGTGATTTCACAATGAATGGCATCCAAGAAAAATATTTATGAAAGGCAAGGAATGGCGCAAGAGAGGCGCAAAAGGGGGAAGAATCGTTGTCTGACATGAAGTTAATTAAGAGTATAGTGAGGAAAAAATCACATTTTGGAACTTTACACGCCTCGAAGACAGAGCGAACATCTGGTCATGTGGCAGGAGATTTCCCTCTTGTGGTGACTTCTCTTTTCCAGGCCAGAAATCTTCCCACAGCCTCGTGACGAGTGACGAGGAGGAATCTTCGCTTTTTCCTTTGCAAAATGCTCACAACAACGCCCATGACAGAGAGGCGTAAAATTTTGAAGCTTTAATTGCCCCCCCCCCCCCCAGTAATTCAATCCCGTTGAGCTCACAATTGATTTTTCACAAAATCACAAATAAACTCGCGTGAATTAAACAGGCGCTTTTCCATTTCCCAAGCCATTTCCTCTATACTGAGTGGCCCCAAGAAAACAGCGCAATGAAAACTGTTTAATTTGATGGGCCAGCAGAGAAAAGTTCAAGTAAATCGCTCATCATCTTGTGTGTCTTCTCAGACCCAAATCAAGATGAACATGTGTGTCCTCAGGCAGAAAAAAAACTTCCTTCATGAGCCACCAATTGTACCAAATGAAATTCAATACTCTGACTTTTCTACATCATCTTCTCTGTTTCACGTCTCTCCATGTTTAAATTTACCATTCTTGTGCATTTCCATGTGACTTCTGGCTTCTCCTATAGTGGAAACTTTAAAAGAACTTTTATAAACAGTCAAAAAAATCATGCTTTGCCACTGAGGAATTCCCGAGAAGTGTGAGGTTGCATGAAGAAAGGAATACTTCGAAGGCGCCTCCCGTTACGTTTCAGGAGGCGCTTAGGAAAAAGACCGAGGATTCTGCAATATATTTCCGACCTTTGTGCCTGCCAAGGCAGAGATCCGATTAGGACGCACAAGGTAAGTACAAACTCATGGGCTTCTCGGCAAACAGCGCCATAAAACAATTTAAGGACCACGTGTGGACGTGTTCGGGAATTCTGACACCTTTAAGGATTTCCCCATGGAAATTCCCAACAGGAGGGAATGGCCAAAGAATGGCTGATAGTGTGGCAAAATATCGGTGATTGGGAAATTTTTGCAAAAAGATTTTGATTGATTTCATAAAACGAAAATGATTCTAGCATGTTCATGCTTGCTTGTATATAAGAAACAAAAGAGAACTTTGTAAAAATACTTTGTTCATTTATTCATTCGGTATTGTAAATCTTTTCTCTTCTTCATATATAGGTATAGTTGTGTCTTAAATAATTTTCCAGAGAATTCGTTTAATATAATAAATACCATTTCAAATGTCACATGATAAAATTAATTAGGTTAATGAAGGAATATTCAACTCTATTAACACTTTAATTATTTCTTGCACATTTGCAATGCAATCATGAATCATTTCAGCGCAATTCAGATTCATTGTCAAAAGTATAAATTTATGATTAACTGGTTTATCGTTGTCAAAGTGGTTGGTAAACTTTAATCCCAAAGTCATGTGTTACCGTTTGCATACATATGTGCAGTTCACAGCGTTTTCTCGCTTCTTGCTTTTCCGATGTTTGTTATTGTCATTCAATTACCATCAATGTCTGTTGGCACAGTTTGTGAGGTAAACTTCACTTAATTCATTAGTGAATAAAATGATTTTCAGGATGAAAGATAAATAATTGTGTCTTTAGCAATTTACTAAATAGCAGTCAATTAATATAAAAAAAAATCAGGTGATTTTCATTCGAATGGTAAATCGTCATGAGAGTGTTAAGAACAAATCAATCCAGTTCGAAATGGAATGCAATGTCTTGGATTTAAATGATCGCAAACTGACTAACTTTAGGCGCATTTCCAATTGTGCGTTTTACAGCCGTCTAATGGATTTCTCGCGTAGTTATTAAAGAGTGATATGAATCTGGATGATCACTTGTAAAACACCTTCACTCCTTGTTCGGCCCCTTGAACTGGAAACGCGAAAACAAGTGTTGAAGTGCGGTGAGAGAGAGGAGAAAATTCACCTCACGTGCCCAGAGAAATTCGGCACAGATCACGAAGGATAAGCGCGCCGGAGATCAGTCCACAAAAGCGATAACCGCCCTTGGTATTAAAGTTGGGAGTAAATATTTCCCGTGAAATCGCCGTCGCCACAAGAAGGTTGCATAGCAAGGAGACCCTTTATCATTGCCGGGCCACCGCATTGAATCGCATTGAATTGAGTCTTTAAGCCACTTCGAGTGCCCATCAGCGGTGACACTAATGAAAGAATGCACGCCTTTTCGACGAGAAATGGGAAGAAATTGAGGAGATTGAGTAGATCAGACACAAGTGCCCATATTCGGTAGGCATTTATTAATCGAGATGCCATCAATTGCGCAATGTTTATGGTGAAAACATGGATGGGAAGCAATTAATGTGCGTCTGCGGGAGGGGCAATTTCGCCATGAGGTCATGAACGTCGTGGCGAGACATTTTTATTGGCGCGACACTGAGGCAGATGGAGAAATTTTTTGGGCTTGGACAAGCGAGATCTCGCGTGAATTCTTTCGTGGCATTTTTTTTCCATGCGCGAGTTGCATAAAGCAGAATTTGTGATCACATTCATTCAATTTTGCGAAAACCACGTCTCATTTTTATCGTTTTCATAAAGTAGACTTGACATGATAAGGCAGGACGAGGCTACAAGTGGTGGGATTCTCTTGAAGCAGTGAGTTGGGTTTTTCGTCTCTCTCATAAGATGTTGTTGGATGTACTTCAGAAATCTGCGTTGGCTTTCAAGCATCCGGTTTGTCTTCTCTGTGTTTATATGTGCTGTACATATGTCAATACTTATTAGACAGAATCGATGGGTTATTTTGCATTGTTGTGGATTAAGCTCATCAGATTTGAGGTGAAGTTAGAGGGAAGCACAAGGCTTTTAAATTGTGAATCGCTGTGAAAAGTTAAAAGGAAAAATGGAAGCTCACATAAAAGATGAGGAGGATTCTGATTTCTATATCCTCGGCTTGGCAATAATGTGTGCTGTATTCGTCCTGTTAATAATCCTAATTCATAAAATATTGAAATTGTGAAGTCTGTCAGTTGGTTGGAATGTAAAAAGTTTGGAAATTATATTAAAATTGACATTGTGCCACGGAAAATCAAACAGGTTACTTACGCGTGTTTCTTTCTACATTTTTAGATATAAGTGGAAATCCCGGAAGAATCCAACAAAGTGCAGAGAAGAAGGAGATGTGTGTGATGAATATTGGAAGCTCCGCCCAGCGTGGAGCCCCGCCCACTCGTTGTGTTCTCACTTTAAGCAAATCTCAAATAAACGGAATAATCTAGCGCAATTCATCTACAGTATCAGTGGAGAGTCGTCGGGTAAAACAACAAGTTTAAAGACCAAGAGCCATAAGATACTTGAGGCACTTGAAATCACGTGTGATTATTCTTTTGGCACTGTGTGCTCCACACGAAAAAGTCCATGACGCAATTGTGATCAGCAAGAGGAACGGAAGAATTACGGCGTGTGGAATGTATAAAAATGAAAGAACTATGTAGAATTCTATTGATATTCATGTGCCACACTCAATCAAGCGACCCTGTTTGATGTGTGGAAGTGAGGAGCCACGAGTGATCTCCAGTTTAGGTGTCGAATTTGAGGTGTCAGTCTCCGTCAATATTTATCACAGCCGCGCCAATTGTTTGTCATGATGTTGAGAATTTCCCAAAAGATGCGACAGGACCTCGCGTGGCTCAAGTGGCAAATATTGCTGGTCTTCCCTTTGTTTCTCGTATACACCCAAAAGCGTTTCTACATGTGGTGTTGAAAGTTAATTTGCTGCTTTTTGCCATCCGTCAAAAGCTACACAGACTTTGAGGCAATTCATAATGATGAAAAACGCACACAATGAGTTAGGGTTTAAGGAAAAAATCTTACGTTGGAAGATATTGACTATTAAAGAGCAAAAAAAGAGACTTGTTGCAAAATAATGTGCTGTTCACAAAATTAACCAACCTTGGCGGTATAAATACACTTGTCCGGAGGTTGCTCTAAGGTTCATTTCGCATGAGACAACATGGTGTTCTGCTATGCACAATATAATTATATGTGTTTATTCATTGACAAAATGACTTCATTTCACTCAGAGGCACGAGGACTTCTTCATAAAGAGATGATGACACTTTAAATAATGGAGGAGGAGAACAGAAATCATTGACTCTCTATTTCCCGAAGTATTCTTGAAAGAAGATTAACCAGTTGAAACCCGATTTCAGTCCTGAACTGACTAGAGATTTTAATGGGACACGAATTCTTTAAATTTATCACCGTTTTGTCGAAATGCTCAACAATCTGTACAATGTACACTTTGCCTTGAATGCAGTATTTTTGTACAGTTCTGCTTGAGATTTTCAAGTTCCCAATATAGAGACTTCCGGGTGCTTAATTTGAAGCAATAAGCTGTTAGTTGACTAATTATTACATACTGTATAGTGTGGAAATATTATATTTTTCCGGCATAAAAATATGTTTTGAAATCAAACACCGTAAAAATATTTTGAAAAATCTCTCTTTTATCCATATTTACAATACGCGAGAGCCCTTCAGAAGTTGATAATAAGTGTTGTAGTGATTAATCTCCCAACATCTTTCACTACTCAGGAATTGTATTGACAGCAAAAAGAGGTGAAAAGAATTGATGAATTTTTACCAAATTGTACGCTTATGCAACGGTGCAATTACCTTGCGATTATCCAAAGTGGAATCTATCAATTCTTGCCGGACGTTTCGCGCCGTCACGAATGTTTTGAGATGGAAAAATGCAAAAAAATAGGAGCGTGAATGACGTTGTGTAAGTGCGATGGCCCGCTTTGAGGGGAGTTAATGATTCTCTGCCTTGACAAGTTTCTGCTGGGCGCTCTGTCATTAAAACACAGCTCAGGGAGCCAATGCCGATGCTGGTGTGTGTCACTGAACTGGATTTGAGGTTCTCGAGATGCAGATTGTGGTCAAGGGTCTCGTCATCTCTGTGGCTAAATGCATCCCACTTTGCTGTCTGACACTTGCATGAGCTCATCCCAAGTGAAATTCGTTGAAAGGCACAATTGTTGAGGTTCAAATGTCACAATCATAAAATGAAATTGTTTAAATGCAACATCTATTAGCGCGCCTCGCAACTCTGATGGGGAGCTTTTGAATTTGTAGTGAAGTTGCAACTTGAAAAATTATCTCCTCAGCATTGTTCAAGTACAACCTAAAGGCGCTCCTACACTGAATGCTGCACATAAATGAGTGTGCAAAAAAAAGGAATCTCGTATGTGAAGAGAAGATAATTGCAAAGGCAAAAGAAAATAAACACTGATGGAGAGAATTCTCTTGATTTAGTGATCAACTTCGGGCCCAACTATTGGACAAAAGATCGCAAACTCGATTTTTTTAAACGTGTTTTTCCCAGTCTAAAGATCACTTGAATAAATGAAGATTAAATGGGAGGATTTTCCAGTGCGGTTGTATTTTAGAGAACAGATATATTTTTCTCCATTTGAATATTCTTAGAAAAGAATAGGGCCAATTAAGATTATTTTATTGCTATGCAAATGCAATTTTCTGTACATAAAATGATTTATGATTTAAGACTGTATGGAAATTGTCTATGAAAAGTCTCTTAAAATATTTATTAGGTTCACGTTTATTGAAATTGTTTAAACATTGTGGTCAATTTAGTTTCAATTATAGCTTGGTTCTAAATCCGGTTTCGGCGATAATTTAGAAGAAGAATTGCGATTTGTAGAAAAATATTAAATTTAACCATTTATTTACCTACCATCCGCGGCGTTTGTATATTTCATATCTTCTCTTCAATCAGTAATTGTATATTGCGTGCTTTTTCTATGTCAAACACAATAACCCATAATGGAACCCACAATTATTCACTATTTGCCGATTACGATGCTCAAAATGCATGCTTTCCTGTCTTTTACACAGTGAAATTGCGCATATTGACGTCATATGACAACAAATCTCAACGTGAGATCAATTTAGGAATTATGGTGAAATTTATAAATGAAATTTACACAATTTGTGTCTGTTTTCCTTGCCATCAAACTTCGGAAGACACCACATCCCGTGTGTTTGATCACCGTGAGAAGTTAGATTGGATGAGCAAATAAGATTTGGCGTACAGTGCAAATAAGTATGCTGGAAAAATTGATGAAGTTGAGCGATTCAATAACTGTTCTGACGCCAATTCCCACGCTTTATCTCCACGCCGTCATTCCCGATAATCTCTGGCAGTGCATCCGCTCAATAGAGGGAAAATTAAGTGGATCGCACGGCAGCAAGTAGGGGAATAATGAGCATATAATTGAAACATTTCACTGCTGTGTGTACGAAACACTTTTTTTCTTTCGAGGTCTGCCTCGCGGGAGAAAAGTCAGGCCATTGTCAGCGATGAGACAGTTCAAGAGGCCTCCGGATGGCAAGAACGGGCACACTCTTGTGTGCCTCTGAAGACACGGTGGATGAAGGAGGGGCTGCCGCCTGAAGAAGTGGAATTTGTACTCGATCGCATATAAGATTTTAATAAGCGGACGGTCTTTCCCGCCACAAAACAACGCGCGAGCGCGATCGATTCACGCTTTGAAGTTCACGATAGTCTCAGTTCCACTGGAGTCAAAGTCTAGGCAAGACGCTCGATGGATAAGTGCCTCTGTGCCAGTACTTCTTGTTGAGTGGCCGAACCTGTTCCATGTTACACTTTAAACACCCGCGGCAAATCCTCTCGTGTGATAACGCGTGATAAATTTTCCAGTAGCGCAGAGAACTTATCGTCAAACATTTACAGTTTGCAAAGTGATGAAGTGCCGTGCAGTGCAACTGTAGAGTAATTAATAGAGATATGAATAATAACAATAATAATCAATTCAAGGTATGAATTTACATTTAAGCTATAAACGGCGGATCTATTGATTTATTGTGATTTCTAATCATCAACGGAGGCGAATTCAATATTTATATCCAATTTAGAGCTCACGCCGAAGCCTTTGTCTTTCGGCTTGATCATCCAACAATAAGTGCTAATTAACTTTAACCACCAGTTGAATGTATTTCCAATTAAGCCTCTGGGCACCTGAGCGGTCTCTATGAAGATCTAGTCAAATATTCCATAAGTGAACTTATGAATATTTTGTCGTTCGTTTGTTTTGCCAATCCAACTGGCTACAAAATAGAGACCATAGTAATTAATAAATATTTCAACGCATAGCATAAAACTCAAATAAAAACACGTGAAATTGCCAAAAATGACTGAAAAATATCTTCCATATTCTGGACAAAAAAAACACCACTATTTATGAATATTCGATGCCTTTTATTTACATATTTTTAATTAAGGATTGCAATTCTCATTTACGGGCGCACAGTTAATTTCTTCTACCGCTGCTGTCAATGATGTGTGAAATAATGACATGAATGTGGAATAAAAGGAGCGTCTTTAGAATTTTTACAGAATTCACATGCAAAACACAATAACTAGAAACTTTGTACGTGCAAAAATGACAAATGCACTTTAATTACCAGTAGAGCGACAGACAAAAAGCATCACTTTGATGCTCAATTATGAGGATTGTAATTGTTGGTGTGAGCATTGTTAAGAAAGCATAAGGCACGTAGAGAAATGATTGAGTCCCGCAGATATGTAATTACCTCATTGGGAATTACAGAGGGAGGGAACAATTCTCACTATTCATGGGAGAATGCGTGTTCTTTGCGGTTTGTAAGCAAATAAGGGAAGGAAAAAAAAACCCGATGGGAGATGACTGAATTCAAATATTTGATCCATTGTGTTACATTGTGTGTTGCTTTATGCGCAGAAATTACCTAATTTGTGTACTGTAAAAACTCAATAATTAGTGTGCCTATGCGAATATCTAAGGAATTACTTGCGAGAAATCAAACAATTGTTCATGATAATATTAGGAGATCATTTGACATCAGCTAGAAGTCAAGCTAGAAGTACAATTAGCAAGAAATAATCAATATTTACTTTGGGGAACAACATTGTCTTGAGCACGTGCCGAAGAACTATAAGAAGATTTGTTAATGTATTTTTTTTTCTTGTAATTTTGGAGGTACAAATATTTGAGTATTTGTGTCTTGAACATGGAAAATTGTGAAAGAGATGAGAAACCTTTAACGGCAGATTGAAGCACTTGGACCGAGAACTTGTGTACTTGAGAGAATGATTGATTGTTGCTTAAATTACGAGAGGACGACGATATGAATGCTCTGCTGGTGTTTGCTTATCGCATTCAAATAAGACTGCGAGATAATTGGTAAGATTGATAAGAGTTTTGCACGAGGCGCAAATATCTTCCTCTAATACACTCTGCAAACTGCTGGACAGTTGCGGATAACATTGGAATTTTTGCGGAGGATCACAAAGCAAGAGTCTTTTCGAACTCTCTCAGCAAATAAAGCAATAAAGCGAAGGTTCAACACTTGCTTAAAGCTTAAGAGCAGTACAAAAAGTTATTAATTTGGAATGGAAACATTTGACTTTGAAGGCTGCTTGTATGTTTCTTATTAAGAAGCAAGTTGTCTAAACTTGTTGAATAATCATTATGGGTCAAGAAGAATCTTATCAAAAGGATTATTTTGCATTTGATAACACTCCAATTAAGAGAGGGTGTCAAGAGTGTGAAGGTGAATTGAATTTTCACGATCAAAATTCCATAAATTTTCTCATATCAAGATCAAAAGGGCAAAACCTCATTCCCGAAGGACTGCCAGACATCCGGTTATTCTATCAAAAAGTATATAACTACTTGTGGCTGGAAGTTTAACGTCTTTTCCTCAATAGAATTAATATATAATATTGTATGGAAATGGAGTATTTTTCAAGACACAAGCATTTATAAATTCCTCAACTTGACCTCTAATATTTTAATATAAATCAACTATGAAGCAATTTTGCGCAAACGGTTATAGACTCTTGTAATGCACTTGATCTCTGGCTGTGTGATTTGCTATATTCCACGATCAACGCGAAGGCGATGGACAGATTATCACCACGTTAATCTTTGAATAATTTATTCACTTAATTCAGCGATAAATATTCTAAAACATGATATTCTCCCAATTTAAATGTCTATCAACCAACACGAGGTGCTTTCATGCAGTTTTTTATGTCTTTTCCAAGTAAATAAATAATATTATGATAAGTAGATTATAATTTAGACGACTGTCGAAGGTGGAAAATGCCGGCTTCGAAACTAGTTTAGCATGTGGACGAGGCACAAGTCGCGTAATCTCCAAGCATACATAAAGTCACACAAATCATCATCGGAAGTCTGTGTGGTGCGAGATCGTTATTTAAATGAAATACATAATTCATGCCCGGCGTCGATCATCGACTCTTGAGATGCAGCATTAATTATTCAAGAACACTGTGACGACTTCTTTAGGTGTACGTGACGATTAACTCGCATTGGAATTACTCTAAATTGTGTGCACAGATTGGAAGTGTGCGTTGGTGTTGTTAGACGACATTCTGCACATGATTCTACACTATTTCTCAGCATTGATGAGTTTTTTTTATGCAAAGCATTGTCAAATAGATTTTTGCTAGTTTAATGAATATTAAAAAAAAAAAGCCATAAAAACTCGAGTTCTTTCAGGAAAATACGAATATCAAGGGTATCCACTCTACTGAGGAGTGAGTGATTCCAGTTTTAATGATCACATTTCTTCCTCCACGTCTTATTGTTTTCTCAACACAACACTCTGACGTCACAATTTCTCCATTCACATGTAATTTAAGCTATATTTTCTCCACATAAAGTGCACTTGAATACAGTAATAATTTGGCAGTGCAAAGAATTGTGCGAAACACTGAATAGAAGAGTGAATAAGCGAGAGACTTTCTCGCCATAGACATATTTCACAGAATGTCACATTTTACAATTGTTAGCAATGGCACAGACAAAACCGCCAAGATTACACATTAAAAAGCTATAAAAGATCTTTTGTGCTCTTACCATGGCAATTGCTTATGGCGCTTTTTTCCACGCGCGCCTCAGCATTTCCCTTCATATTCCATCCATCATAATTGGAAACTTTCGCTATTTGATTGCTCTATCTGTGCCGTCGAATTCATATAAAAGTGTGCACAAAAAGTGCTCAAGTAGACAATGAAGTAGCAATTTCTCCATAGCTTTTTGCTCTCAATCTCTTTTTGGAGCCCATGCGTGGGGAATGTTGACCTTTTTCCATCGCTACTCAGCTTTGAGTGTGCTTGAGAAATGCCCTCAGATTCAATCAATCATCACAGCTTCTCCAGCGACCAGTGGAAACGCCTGGTGATGATCCTCTCACAATTCAGCAAACGCGAAAAAGAAAAAGACACAATATTGTGAGTTGAGAGTAAAAGTGTTTCCGCAGTGGAAAATTTCACAAACATCCAACTATTGATTGAAATTAATCACAGAAATTACCTTCTGATACTTCAAGGTGAGACCTTTTCTTATGGCTTTTCGGGCACGCAAGAATAAATCACCGTTGCTAATGGAAAGATTCTTGCGTACAGTGAATATTTGTGATTTTTTCGGTGTGTAATTTCAAGCACAATTGCCAATAAATTATCGTGATAATCTCATACTTGCGCAAGAAGATTGCAAGATATATCATTAGGGATAAACATGGTTGCTTTCCAGGAACATTTGTTAATTTTAATTGTCACTTTGGTATCGTCAGCATAACACTTGCTAATATGTATTTTCTTTGTTCAACAGCTTGTCGGTTAATAGAGTTTTATCGCAATGCGCGTTTGGGTGATAATTTCCTTGGAATTGATAAACAATTTTCCGCTAACCTGCGTCTGCGGAAAACATTATGGATAAATGTCCAAAATAGAAAGTGATAATGAATCGTGTCTTACAAAATAGAGTGATCAGTGTTAAGAATTGGAAAAAAAACTGGAAATATCAGTTGAACGAATTGAGCTATAAATCACGTCAATTTTGAGAGCTAAAACTCACACCTCTCGTCAGAATTTATCAAAATGAGGTCTTGAACTTATGCAGTCGTAAAGACTCTCTAATATGTTTATGATTTGGTATACATTGTTATATCGAAATACAGAAGTATTCATTCACATTCGCTAATTTACTACTAATCTTGTTACTACTTGTATGTCCTTTGCGAAAAAGTATCGATATCATTCGATTACATAAGAAGAGATTTTCCATCTTTATGATGTGATTATACACAAAATTGAAACAAAAATGTGACAATTGGCAATCATTCTGCAATATGTACTTTATTGTAAAATAAAAGGCATAAAATATTCGTTAAATTGATGAGTTGAACTTGATTTTTATTTACTCATCCTAGAATTTGTTTGAGATTTAAAGTTATAAAAGCTTGCGAAATTCACCAAAGCAATCTTACTTCAAGATCAAGTTTCCCCTTATGTTAAGAGGGAGACAACAATTGTCTTGCTTTTCCTCCATGCATGGGTTAATTTAGTGGTGAATAGCGTGTGGAAGGTGTGGAAAATGTTGCTGGCGAGCTTCCAGTGTGTCCCGGATAAAAGCTATCTTCACATACGAATCGCGGTGGTGGATTTTGCGCCCACGTCGCAGAATGCTTTTCCGTGGAGTGTGTAAATAAAATAGTTGACAAATTGAGCATTTGATTGGCTCTGTGCGTGCAAATATTGTGGCATTTGCTGCATCTTCCACTCTTTGGATGCTCTTCCGGCACTTTTTCTTCCGGAATCGCCTGATTCCGCTGCGCTGCGCCACGCTCGGCATTTGACGGACACTGTTCGTGTCCCGCGTCCACGTGACACGCACTCACGAGGCATTTCTGCTCTCTCGCCGACAGCCGAGCAGCGAGGATGTGGAGAAGGGCCACGCGGCGCCCCCACCTGCCCACGGAGCCGAGCCGCACTTAGCCAGGAGGGGCTCAGCAGCGAGCGAGGTGGGCAAGCAGAGCACAGTCTACTGCCGTGTCGCGATCGTAGCGGTCGGCTTTGTGTGTCTTGTGGCGATCGTGACGCTCCTGTGGTACTTCATGGGCTGGATCTGGGGCCTGCAGGCGCTCCTCGTGGCCGTGCTGGTCGCCTTCGCGGCCAGCGGAGCCTGGCGCTGGTTCTACATCGCCACCATCACCGCCCCGCGGGACATCAAGTGAGTACACACAGATCGCCGTGGTGCCGCGAGTGGCCATTGCTGTGGTGAACAGAGTGGGAAATGGCGTAGATATCATGCATATTCATCGGCGATATTCCACAATCCAAAAGCGCGCGATCACGGCAGTGGGGAAAAAGAGAAAAGTGGGTAAAGAAATCCAAAAAGAACACACCGCATTGCCACACAGGCGTGTTCAATTCATAAAAAAGTGCATCCAGAACATGTAGATATATCTGGTGTCCGCGGCATTCCTCCATTGTCCATTGCACTGAGAGAAAATTTCCATCAGAATGCAAACACTTCCCGCACATCTGATCTTGGGGCCAATGTCCGGATAGACCTTGTCTTGTGACCCAGTTCTATCGCTATTTGGCTTCAGTCGAGCACTTCGATTATCGCGCACGCATGATAAAGAAGTGACCGTCAGCGGAGGTCAACAGACGCAAGAATGAGACGAGAACAAGATTCAGCATGTGGCATTGCTCAGGAGAGAGGTCAATAGCAAAGCCTTATCGAGTTTTTCTCTTCATTGTGTAGCTTTTTACAGAAGTTTACAGAATGAGCTTAGAACGGGAATGAACGCAATTAGTTTCATTGTTTTAAATCGCAGTGAGAGCTGAAAAATGTGATTTTTAGATGGGAAAATCGTAGATCTTTTTGACGATTTCAAGGTTAGATTGAGAAACACTTAAAGATTTTCAGCAAAATCGATAACATTGCATGACGCATGATATCTACTCCCAGATGAGATCTTTTAACGTTCGCATAACTTGAGATATTCATGCAATTTCTGTTCTTTCAAATTACACATTTCAAGACAAAATTATCATGTTAATTTTCCAATCGGATTTATGCAAGTTGTGATTGAAAAGGCGACGGATATCTTGCGATTTCCTAACGTTTCTGTCGTTTATGCCGTCTTTGATTGTGTGTGGGTAGGAAAGAGATATTCAAAGTGTATAAAAACACACCGCGAATGACTATAAAATGCATGGTGTTTACATAATTTGGTGATGAATAATTGGGTCACGAATACTCTGCACTTTGCAGTTTTTTTTTTCAATGTCGCTCTTTGCGTTTTGGACACCACAAGAAAAGACTCCTATCAGTTTAATTTCCATAAATGACCAATTTGTTGATGCTTTTTCTCTCAGTGCAATCATTTTCCAAGTAATTTCGCTGGATATGAACAGTGTGTCTTTCTGAAGAGTCTCACAAATTGGCTGTGACGTTATGCAAGAGCTTTTTGTGTGTACAGAAATGCTGACGTCAATTTTCATGTGGATAAAACCAGTCTTTGGAGCGTCTGAGAAGCCCAAAAGAGACTCTCCGTGAGGCAGATTGTATTAGTTTTTTTCATTGCCAATATATAATTTCTCTCTATATCGTGAAAAATTGAGAAAATCTCCCCGACTTTCGCAAGTCTTGCGATACCCAATGACCATCTCGTGGGTTACTCAAATGGTGTACTTGAGTGTCGAAAGTGAAAGTCACCGCAGGTATAAAAATCTGCAATTGAACTGGTTGGTGTTTACAAGAGAGCAAAAACCTTCGGACCTCTTATTTTCCTCATCAGTGAATCTCTTTGCGCCGTTTCTGCAACTCACTGTCAATGTTATTATAAAATTTTAGTTTTGGGAAATGGAAATTTCCTAATATATTCACTTTTTCGTTTGACTTTTTGACTCCGAGCATTTTTTTTTAATTGATTGAAAAAACATTCTCTCTAGAATTTCCAGTGGGGAAAAAGTCAGCACAAGAGTTGAAATTTGCAAATAAAATGATTAATGATTAGGCAAGAGATTATTCCTGGTCATTCGATTGGTCTTTTATGAACTATGAATGTGGAATTAATTTGCTTAACTATCTCTTGTGAATTAATTATAAAGTTATTTTTGGGGTATTTCCAAGCTGAAAAGAAGTTTTACGTAGAATTGCAACATGATTAGTATTCACAGTTGACCGCGACTCTCGTTTTATTACTTAACAGTGAAAAGTTGTACTTAATTGTGGGAAAACGCTGTGCAGATTTATATGCAAACACACTGAGAGGAATACTCTCGACACACTGGGCATGTTAGTAGCGATGTTTTTAATATGTCTGTTGCCCATAAAAATATGTGTCAACGCGTCTGGCTAGAAATTATCACTGTTATTTTCATCGGTCATCTCATTAGCGCATCTTCTTGTTCAGTCTTCCTCATTTTTGCTGGACGTGCTAAAAGCGATCGAGGCGTGAGATCGTCGCCTTCTAAGCGCCTGTGTTTCACTTTCAGAGCTCTCTTCCGGTACATTCGGCTGTTGTGGCTGGTCAAGAAGTTGCAGCGACGCAACGCCACCGTGGCGGACGTCTTCGCCGACCACGTGGCCAAGACGCCGGACAAGTCCTGCTTCGTGTTCGAGGGTCGCGAGTGGAGCTTCCGCGAAGTGGATGAGTTCTCGAATCGCGTGGCCAGCGTCTTCCACTCGCACGGCTACAAGCCGGGCGACGTCGTGGGACTTTTGCTGGAGAACCGGCCGGAGTTCGTGGCCATGTGGCTGGGATTGTCACGCCTGGGCGTCATTGTGCCGCTCATCAATCACAACCTGCGCCAGGCTTCGCTTCTTCACAGCGTCACAGTGGCCAAGTGCAATGCGCTCATCTTCGGGGAGTCACTCATTGAAGGTGAGCAGAAAAAGCTGAATTAGCACTCACTCTGAAAGATGTGATTGATTTTCGACTACGGTTTATTGTGCGTGACGATTTTTTCTCTCGAAACGCTTTTCGCTCTTTGATTTCACACTTTTGTGAGCAAACTGTGGATTATTTTTGGTGTTTGTGGGTGAATTGAGAGGAAGTCAGAGATTTTGCCATTCATGAGAATGTTTTATCGGTCTTAATAGATGCAAATTGCAATATTAAATAATGAAGCTCATTAAAGTGACACAATTTTTGCATAATTACTGTGTATTTACCCACTTAATTAGTGATATTACTTTGTCAGTTGAGTTGAACAAGGTTTTGTGAATCTTTCTTTACTGAATGAAGCGCAAATTAAGAGCAAAATTGCGACGTCTTTGATGATTAAAAGAAATGCTGAATGTTTTCACTGCGGTTATTTGAGTTCAGTTGAGATCTAATTCTGAAGTGCACGACAATCTCATTAAATTTCTAATGACAAATTTCATTGAAGTGAAACTGAGACATGTGACTTGAGATATAAATTGTTATTAAAGCAATAACATGGAACAATGATAAGTTTGAGAAGAAGTTTTGCTAAATCAAGATAATAATTGAATTTCAGAAACCAATGATAGAAATAATCCAAGAAAAATGCGCAATTTGAAACATCTCCACTCGATTGACCTTTACCAAAAAATTTACCTATTTTGGAAGCTGTGTAACATTGGCCAAAAGCTCATGAATAAACATTTTTTGAGCGAAAGTATAATCTTAAGCGCGTTCACACTCAAAGTTTTGTAATGAACTTGAGGCTGACTTGATGCTGAAAAGTCTACTTAATTATCATTGAATAAATTTACATTTGTTTTCTTCTCTGTGTTGCAGCCGTCGAGGAAATCCTCCCAACGATGCCATCAACAGTGTCATTGTATCAATTCAACGATGCCGCGAATGGACAATGCCAGAATACCGCCAAGGACCTCACGAGTCTCATGCTGGCCGCCTCCAAGGAGGCGCCGATGGCGCTGAAGCCCAGCCATCACGATCAGTTGCTGTACATTTACACCTCGGGCACGACTGGACTGCCCAAGGCGGCCGTGATCACGCACTCACGCTACATCTTCATCTGCGCGGCAATTCACTATCTGGCGAACTTCCGGTCGGACGACATCTTCTACACGCCGCTGCCGCTGTATCACACGGCCGGCGGCGTGATGAATGCCGGTCAGGCGATCCTCTTCGGCGCCACAGTGGTGATCAGGAAGAAGTTCTCCGCCAGCGGATACTTCCCGGACTGTCAGAAGTACAAGTGCACCGTGGCGCAGTACATTGGAGAGATGTGTCGCTACGTTCTGGCCACGCCGCCGTCGTCCTCGGACAGAGCACACCAGGTGCGATTGGTGTTCGGCAATGGATTGAGACCACAAATTTGGCCACAATTTGTGGAGAGATTTGGCATTCCGCGAGTGGCGGAGTTTTATGGCGCCACAGAGGGAAATGCGAACATCGTGAACATCGACAATACGGTGGGAGCGATTGGATTTGTGTCCAGAATCATTCCTTCGGTGTATCCCATCTCCATCATTCGAGCAGATCCGGCCACTGGAGATCCCATTCGTGGTCGCAATGGCCTCTGTCAGCTGTGCAAGGCTAATGAGCCGGGAGTGTTCATTGGGAAGATTCTGCCGGGCAATCCGTCGCGTGCCTTCTTGGGCTATGTGGACAAGAAGGCGTCAGACAAGAAGATCGTGCGCGACGTGTTCAAGAAGGGCGACTCGGCCTTCCTCTCAGGTGACCTCTTGATTGCCGATGAGCGGGGAAATCTCTTCTTCAAGGACAGAACGGGAGACACTTTCAGGTGGAAGGGCGAGAATGTGTCCACGAGCGAAGTGGAGGCTCAGGTGAGCAATGTGGCCGGATACAGGGATGCGGTGGTGTTTGGCGTGGAGATTCCCGGCCTGGAGGGACGCGCCGGCATGGCGGCCATTCTGGATCCTGAGCGCAAAGTGGACCTGCAAGCACTTGCCGATGGTCTGCGCAAAGCCTTGCCAAGCTACGCCAGGCCGCAGTTTGTGCGTCTCCTCACGAAGGTGGACATGACGGGCACGTACAAGCTGAAGAAGCTGGACCTGCAGACGGACGGCTTCGATCCGGACATCGTGAAGGACTCGCTGTACTACCTCACGCCCAAAGGCCAGTACGAAGAGCTGACGAAGGACATCCATGCCAAAATCTGTTCCGGAGAGATGAGGTTCTGAGCTCGCGCGGCTTTCCGTATTTGACTATCAGGCGCGCGTGCGCTGATCGTAGGTGTACTTTGTGATGTGTGATAAAATGTTACTATTTTATGAGTGTACATAATCCTTTTTCTACATTTAATCTTAAGTCTTTCGGAAGGGTTGAAGTGTTTGCAATTTTAGGACATTTTCTGAGAGAATTATGTGTAAGAATTTGTTACATTTTATACACTGCAATTTAACTTTTTTTTTTAGAGGATGACAATTTATTTAAATAAATATTTTTCAGTAAACACAAAGTTTCAAAAGTGTCTTTATTCGATATTCAACACTACATTCTGACTTCCAGTCAGTGCACAACTTGGACAATAAGGCATTACAATTGTGATAAAACTACCACTTCTATTGAATTACTTTGAGTGATTGAGTGTGGCAATAGCGTTTAACTTGATTAAATTACTCTCTTCTTTAGAGAATCTCTTACATACTTACAACCAACGGCAACCAATAATAAAATAAAGCATAAAACTAGAATATAAACCAAATATGCGTTCGCTTTGGATGATTTCACAGCATTTCCTCTTTTTCCAGCGATACAGTTGTTTAGGCTTTCACAATTTAATGTATTACAATTCTCCCCAATGACATCATTAAGGACAAAATGTGATGAAGGAATGTCTAAAATACGTGACAAAGTCTTCAAGTGATCATTTCGAGCTGCAAGAATGGCGTTGAATTCGTCCTTCGTTGTGAGAATCCAGGCTCCAACATCGCGTTGCTCATCGACTTGCACACAATTCCAGAGATACAAAACCTTCGGTGATAATTTGTGTAGGAAATAGAAGAAATATTTTCCTTCCACAGGACATTTTTCAGTGTTAAACCAATTTGGGCCTCTGTGCCATGTAACAGGTCTATTATTCATGAATTCAACCGACAAATGAGGGCAATATGTAAGAATATCCAGATACGAAGTGCATTTAAAAGTAAGCATAAGAGAAAAATGTGGCGAAGAAAAGCGTTGAGCAATCGCATCACACTGCATCTCAATAAAGACTTCAGATAGTCCAAAAGGGCTCCTGAAGAAGCTAAAATTTCCATCTGAAGCTGGCAGGAGAGCGACTGGGTAAAGGTTAGTCTCACTGAAGTGCCAATTGAAGACACGACACGATCTGGAAGTTTTACCTAAATCGACAACTTCAGGACATTTTCCAGGTTGGAAAACCCCCACAATCATCACCCAAAGGCATGTCACTAATATAATAGGAACCACAAGTTTAGGCGACATATTTCCAAGAAATTTGAACACTGAATAAGACTAAAATGCTCAGAGTTCGCATATAAATATGATGTTTCAATATGTTGAAAGGACACTTTGAACATTAACAATGTATGTTACAATTTATTAGATTAAATTATGGGTCAATTTCGATCACAACATTCGAAAGAATAAGACAATTTTTGTCCAGTCCAAAAGAACCTCTGATAGTCTCGAGTATTTTTAATAAATAAAATAACATAAATTAGTTCATCATTTGGAGCCTTTCGAGATTGCAACGAAAAAACAGATGCAAATCCAACAAACATTTATTGTCGAATTCAATTTACAAAATTTCTTTACAAACAGAAAGTGATTAAGATGTGTTACTATTATGTATGGAATCCCAAAAGCTAACAAATCCTGTAAAATGTAGGCAGCATTCTTTTACACGAAATACATGGGATGAGCCTTTCCCACTTCATCCTTGATGATTCTCTTTTGATATTCTCTCTCGAGATTATTCATGTCCAAATTGTCCCTGCGAAGGAAAAGAGTTCTCATTACACGTCTCTGAATAATCATTACTCAAGGATTCTTACCCTTCAACATAAACTTTGCCTCTGGCCGCCATGAGATGAGCATAGTAAGTCGGCGCGACGTACGACACGGATCTGTTGCACCTCGTGAACAAGTAGCAGAGATTGTATGTCAGCGTCTCCAGATCATTAATGCTGAGATTCGCTTCGTCTACGAGAATACAGTACTTGGTGGGCTTCGCCACACCCTGAATCGCCTGATGAGCCACGAGGAAGAACTGATTCTGCTGCGCCGGCACAATTTGCTTGTCCACAATCGTTCCCGGCGGCACATTGTTATTCTTCCCCACAGCCTCCTTCTGCGATCTGCCGGGGAAGAAGCGCGTGTGATGACGCTTCTGCACCACAATGAACACCACTTTGGGCTTGTAGTTCGCCTCCACACGCGCTGCGCCCTGATGAATGGCGCGGAACTCCAGATTCAGCACGCGCTGGAAGTCACCTTCGCCCACGCCGTCTCTGTAGTAGAGAATTGTGTTTGGCAAGAAGTTGCGCTTCTTCTTGTAGTACCGCAGATGATCTTCAATCATCTGCGCCAGATCGTCAATCATTTCTCGACGGGGATCTTGAATGCGCCACATGCCAGTGTATTGGAAGGCGTCCTCATCATAGGACGCCGCCATGCCGACAATGCTGGGAATATTGCGCTGATCAGGACTCGGATGAGTCACATCGGCGCCCACCACCATGAACTTGCCATCCTTGAGTACGCCCACCTTCATGTTGCTCAGGATGCGATGATTGAGCCCATTGAGCTTCGAGTTGATCTTCAGTAGAATGTTATTCACTGTGGACGCGTCTCCTCGTCGAACAATGGTGTCGTGCTTGACACACTGCGTGAGAATTCCATAGTCTATCTCAGCAGCACGCTTCACCTTCTGATAGTCATTGCCAAATCCCGAAATCACCATAAGCAAGATCTTCACTTTCCCCTTCATTTTCTCCATATGTTGCGTGAATTGCTTGTAATTTCGTCCAATATCAACCTGAATCACTTCCATTGGCTTAGCAATTGTCATATTCAACGCCTTTCCTGCTCTGCCCAGTGAATCCACAAAGGAATGAATGGCCACCAAGTCAGGACGTCTGGTCTCCAGCACAAACACAGCCCAGCAATCAATGGTTGTGGGCACAATAAACTGCTTCTCGCGCATCTGCCACACGCCATTCCTCGGGAACTCAGCCTTCTTCTGGCTGTACTCCAACTTTGGCGCATCGAGAATCCTCGCGTCCACCTCGACAAAGTCCTTGCCCACTTCAATTCCGAACTCCTTCACCACTGGACTGGCGTTGAAGTTCACCTTCTGCAGCATTTCATAAATTCTCGTCTTGCGCACATCCGTCGACGTGGCGGTGTGTTTAATCATGAAGCGAGTCTGATTCTCCGTCAGCTTCTTCATCACCGCCTGGCCACCAGGAACGGCACACAATTCTGCCGGATAGCAGATGTTCTTATCTCGCGGATTCACAAGAATCACCGGGAAGTTGGGAAACTTCAGCTTAAATTTGTACTTCCACACAAAGTACTCCTCAATTGTCATGGTTTTTCCATCAACTGTGAATCTCAATCTGTTTGCCGGCTCTCTAAAGTCCAGGAACTTCTTCACCTGACGCGACGCCGGCTGTCCAGGAATCATATAGGAGATATTCAGACCATTCAAGTGTGCCTTCAAGTTCTCCATAGCCCATCTCTCCGGAGTTCTATTGGGGTCAATTTTCATCTCTCTCATGATGTCCAGCAGTGTCATGGCTGACGGAAAGCCCTTGTTCGTGATATCAACATTCAGCAGCGGCCTCTCACCGAACACAGCACTGTGATAGATGCCATTCCAAAGCTCCATCACGCCATCCAGTGCGATTTTCCTCGACGGTGGCCAGTAAAATTGGCGACCAACATGAATTCCACCATCACCAACATTTCCAGCCCCCGGACGATCGTGATGCATGCGCATGATAATCTCCAGGCACTGGTGCGCCCTCTTCACCATCCCCTCATTGCCAGCCTCCATAAAAGCTTGCCTGCTGTAGAACGAAACAATTGAATCAATTCAGCACAAAAGCAATTCATAAGCGTTGATTTTACTCACCTCTTCAACAAATTCATCCGCACCTCGTAATCCTCAGTCTCCTGAATGGTCACCTTGAATTTCTTCTTCCTCGCCGAGAGCGGATCGTCAATCTCCACCTCAGCCGTCAGGCCGCCCGGTGGCAAATCCAGTCTCGTGATCGTGTAGGCATTCTTCATACGATCGAAGGCCATCACGTGCTTAGGGAACTTCATCTGCCTGAACTTCTCAAAAGCTTCACCGAGAAGCTTCTTCGGGCGATCAGGATCCATGGCCACGTCATAGTGATAAGCCATATCGACCAGATTCTTTAGCGTCAGGAAGACATAGTTCGCTTCGAATTTCACAGCTCTCCCGAGCGTTCCGGGACCCTTGTATGGACTCAAGGCCACGTCAAGTGCAGATGCGCGTTTCTTGGGCTCTGCGCCGCCTTTTGGCTGCGCCACTGGCGTCTGACGAGGAGTTTGTGGCTGAGATCGCTCAGGATCCTGACGCTTCTCCTTCTTCCATGCTTTCTTCTCTCCTCCGCCCGGCTGATCTTTTGCCGGTTGAGTTGGCTGTTTGACTTGCTGAGCAGGAAGCTTCTGTTCTTGGCGTTTTGGTGACAAAGACGCTTCATCTTTCCGAGCGGATTGAGACTGCGGTTGTTCAGATTGAAGTCCAGGTTGCTGTGGAAGTTGAGATTGAAGTCCAGCTTGACGCCAAGGCTGCCCAGGAAGTCCCGCTTGTCCCGGAGCTCCAAACTGAGGCCCAGCCTGCGGCCAAGGCTGTCCAGGAGGTCCAGCTTGTCCCGGAGCTCCAAACTGAGGCCCAGCCTGCGGCCAAGGCTGTCCAGGAGGTCCAGCTTGTCCCGGAGCTCCAAACTGAGGCCCAGCCTGCGGCCAAGGCTGTCCAGGAGGTCCAGCTTGTCCCGGAGCTCCAAACTGAGCCCAGCCTGCGGCAAGGCTGTCCAGGAGGTCCAGCTTGTCCCGGAGCTCCAAACTGAGGCCCAGCCTGCGGCCAGGGCTGTCCAGGAGGTCCAGCTTGTCCCGGAGCTCCAAACTGAGGCCCAGCCTGCGGCCAAGGCTGTCCAGGAGGTCCAGCTTGTCCTGGAAGTCCAGATTGTGGCCCAGCTTGATGCCAAGGCGGTCCAGGAGGACCTCCTTGTCCCAACGGTCGCTGAGGTCCAGGCTGTGGCCCACCTTTCTTCTTCCTCTGCCCAGATCCGCCACCTTCCGTCTTCTTCTGCTTCCCACTTTCAATCTGCACACTTTTCTGAAATGTCTTGGTTATTTCCTCAGTCTTTTCCTGCTTTGCTGGAAGTCCAGCGGGTCGATCATCCTTCTGCTGCCCACTGGGGCCCTGCTGAGGTTGCTCATGGGACTGCTCGCCCCCTCCTTGGGGCTTCTTGCGACCTTCATGGAAAGAAAAGTGAATGTTACTGTTCGCGACTTCAGCGGCACTTCAAGCAGGATTTTCAGGCAAAAGGGATACACTTACGGTTCTTCTTCTTCTTGCTATCAGGATTTTCCATTTTCAAAGGAAATCTCTCTGGTTATTTCACCAATAAATGCTACTAAATTTCTTACGAATTTCGTGTATTTCACAATGATTCTTGACAGATCTGTTCCACGTAGAAACACCTGCCATCTCGTGGTGAGCATTATACTTATCAGTTTGTTAGGGAATTCCCCAAGAAGTAAAATTCATGAACAGACGGAAAAGACTCATCGATCAATGCTTCTTTGATCCCTTAGATAAGATAATACTGCGTACAATATGACGCATTTGCGATAAGATTACAGAAAATACATGGGAAACTCAGCAACAAGTTCCCTCTTGGGTTGTTTCCTCTTAGAATACTCTGAAATGCGATCCGGAGCGATTGTGAGTCTGGAAGAAGAGACAGCACAATTCCTATAATCAGAGAGATAAATTGGACAAAATACTCACCCTTGAGCGTAGAGCTTCCCCCTTTCGGCCACTTTGTAAGCATAGAGAATCGAGGGCACACATGAGACACTCTGGAATCCCAGGGAGTGCAGATGCGTCAGATTGTACGTGATGGATTGCACCGTGTCCATTGTTAAGTTGCAAGTGTTAGAAACGATGTACTTTGTGGGCTTCGCAACGCCCCTCTCCACCCCGTGAGACACCAGGAAGAATTCTCTTCTCAGACGATGAACAATGCCCTGATCCACAACTGTTCCCGGAACAACGTTTCCACTGGGAAGCATCGCAAACGCCGGCTTGTCGTCATCTTCATTGGGCTCAGGAAAGAATTTAATGCGATGCCTTCTGATCACACCTATGAAGATTATCTCCGGATGGTAGTTTTCGAGTCTCAGACAAGCTTTGCGGATCATCTTCACCTCCTTCGTCTGCACCTCTTCATACTTGTCTTCATTGCTGAGCATCCTGTAGTACATGATCTTCTTGGGAGTCTTGCCATTATTTTGCTTCTGGAAATTGTCAAGGAAGTCACTCGTGATATTGCTCAGCGATTTAATGATGACATGCTGTCGATGCTGATATCGCCAGACGCCAGCGTGCTTGAAGCCCTGAGTATCGAAGGACGCCGTCATGCCAACCACATTCAAGGATCTGCAATTAACTTCCTGGCCACCATTGACAATGCATCCGCCCAGAAACATGACTCTTCCATCCAGCTCGTCGCTGATGATCTTCACATCTGACTGCACGCGATTGTTGGCTCCATTGAGCTTGGTATTGATCTGTCCGAGGAGTCCATTAACGACGTTCCCTTCGCAACTCCTCACCTTCTTGCTCGTGATGCACTGCGTGATGATTTCTAAGGTCCTCTCGGCGGCAATCTTCACGTGCCTGTACACTTCCTTACACCTCTCTTCAGGCAGAATTACAAGAACAAAATTGCGATTCTCCTTGCGATTCCCCTTGTGATTATCCTTGCGTTTCTCTCCCTTGAGCATCCTCAGAGCATAGAATATGTTATTACGGTCATTTCTCCTATTGTCAGGATTATATTCCGTATGATAGAAGATTGGATCCATGATTGTCATGCCCTTCTGCGCTCCATATGTCTTCAGTACGTCCACAAATCTACCCACTTCTTCTTCCACCAGATCCCAATCGAGATTGAGAACGCCCCAAGAGTACAGCGATTTCACCTCAGTGAATTGCTTCCTCGTCACATCCCACGATCCATCCTGAGGCGTCACAATTGCTCCATTTTTGTACTCAACCAGACGCCTTGGAAGGATTCTCGCCTTCACACACTCCAGCTCCTCTCCAACTCTGATTCCATAATCCACCAAAGCAGGGACATTGTTGTATTCTATCGTCTTGATCAGATTTTCAATTACTGCCTTCCGTCGATTCACGTCCCATTGCGAAAAGCTCACGAAAGCATTCATCTGACGAGCAGTGAGATTGCGAAAGATTATGGTATTCGCTTGGAATGAGCATAACTCAAGTGGCCAGATGGACTCGTGCCCTTGTCCAGCTTCTTCTTCCAAGGTTTCCACTGCAATAGCTGGCATTTGTGGGTGTCTGACGATAAAATTCCGACGCTCATAGTATGTCTGCACACTAACGCCAATTCCGTCATCGTACATTGTCTCTTCAGCAACTGGTTTGAGGACTGCCACAAATTGCCTCGCTCTTCCGATACAATCTTCCCTCACGAGTGGCAGGGTGTTGAGGAAATTTGTCAACTGGAGGAAGAAAATCACGGTGTTGAGTCACATCCCAAATTTACTGTGAAACCATCAAAGATCAAGAAATTCAACATTCTTCTTACCATCTGGACATCTTCAGGACTTAGAGTCTTGTTCAAATCGATGCGCATCACTCTGAGGAGTTGAATGAGTTGGATAGGATTGAACACCAGTGTTGGAATTAATGCCATATCCACATTCAGATACACACTGGAGCCGATAAACACCTTTTGATAGATTCCATTCAGAATATCATTAATACCGAGGTTGAAATCAATAGGCAACTGCTCATCTTTTGGGTAGTAACAAATGTCCCCTATCCAGTATCCGATCAGTGCTTCTCGCAGCACGGAATTCACGAACGCAATGGCATCACTCCACTTACGCTTATTCCTATTGGTCAAGAAGTTCCTGGAAACAGAATTAGAAGTAATTATCGATTTGAGTTCAGCACAATTTCAAGCAGTATCATCTGAAGAACCTTTTGATCGGCCTCAAGGACATCCTTAAATGCTTGGTGTTCGAAATCCGGACTGTAAAAATCTCTATCATATTGCCTAAATCCAAACTAATCTCACTCCTTCTTCTTTCTTCTATCCTCAGATTAATTTTTCTACTGCTGAACGCTCTGTTCTTTCCATCGTGCACCAGACGAGCAAGTTCATATGAATTTTCTTGATTCCTAAAGCCTCTAAAGACGTCAGTTATGGCACATCTCGGTCGATTGGGATTGAAGCCCACAAAGTACTGAAACACTTTCTCTGGCATCTTCGACAGATCCAATTTCACACAGTTGGTTTTCACCATTATCTCAGTGCCACGCGATCCGCGCTTCTTCGTGGCCAGTAATCTACGTCTCTTTCTGCCCTTCATCTTGTCATCTAGCGTTCGTTGCTTCCTCCGGCGACGTCGTTGTTGGCGAATGTTCTGCTGTTGGGGTTCTGCAATTGGTGGAATCGTTGGCGGCAATTGTGCGTAGACATAAGATCTCCTGATGGTGTCAATCGGCGGTTCAACTTCAACTCTGCCCTCTTCGGACACTCTCTCTACCGGCAATTCTCCCTTCGAAGCATCATCTTCAGCTTGGAGTCGAGATTCCATCCTTTGAGCAGTGAAAACCTCCGCTATTGGCTCTTCAGGTCTCACTTCCGCCGTTCTCGTCAATAGAAGCTCAGCATCAGTCTCTGTTTCCTTAGATGGACGTCGTGATTCTTCTCTCTGAGACGAAAAGATGCCAGTATCTGAATCGCTGAATGACGATATGACGGACAGACCTGAAGATTCTTCACGTTCCGGAATCTGTATCAATTTCACTTCCTCCTCAGGTGAAATCATTGAAGATTCTGTGAAGTCACCTTGAGCTCCAGACGTACTGTCGGATGGGCGTCGTGAGTCATCTTTCTGACTCGAAGAGAATCCAGTGTCTTCACCCACTGACATGACTGACGTCACTGGAGACTCCTCGAAACTTGAGCCCATTGAAAAGATCCTCGAACCCAGCGATACTTGACTCTCCACCGAATCGTGTCTCTCAATCGAATAAATGCTCTGACGAGCACTCGTTGACGCCTTGGGCTGATCTTCTGGCTTTCCATCGGCAGTCTCAGGCCATCTCAACTTCAAGTCGTCAATCGTGATCGTTGGCACCGGAAGATGCATTTGAGGCACAGCTTCTGCTCCTTCTCTCTCAGAAAACTCCTCCGCTTTGCTCGAATCTTCTGGAGGGATTCTAGATGATTCCCCAGTCTCCATCTGAAAAGAGACAGCAAATAAAACTCCTTGGATCGCCGGATGAAACACTTAATAAACTCTCTCACCTCCTCCTGCGCTATCTCAGGCAATCTCAGGAAAAGCGTTAGTGGCTCAGGAGTGGTTTCTTCCACATCCTCTGGCACAGCAGAACTCAATTCTGGTGAAATTGACGAATCTGAACTCTGTTGTGTGACGACAGCAGCAGAATCCGCCTCTTCGTCTCTCACTTTTGGACGACTCGGTCCTGGAATCGGCGAATCTTGGCGCCCAGGAGATTTTCTAGGAGTCCCTTTTGCCTTTTCGCCTGTCTTTGGAGTCACAATTTTCTTCTCCTTGGGTGTCTTCGTGGTCGTTTCATGGCTTGTTCCGAGAGTTAGTAAAGCTGGGCGCTTAAGAGGTTTTCTAGCCGGAGTTTTCAGTACTTTGGGTGTTTGTACGACCGGAGGAAGCGCTAGTAGAGGTATATCACTAAATAATCCCGATGGTTTAGGGAATATAAATTTAGGCTTTGAGGGCTTTGGTGATTCTTGGCCACGAGTCGGCCTTTGTGGCGTAATTCCCAACTTGGCGGGTGTTTTTCTAGGCTGAGCAGTTGTCATAACTTTCCTCTCTTTCGGTGTCTGTGCGGAAAATTGTTGGCTTGTTCCAGAAATCGGTGAATCTGAGCGCGCACGCAGTTTTCCAGGAGTTATTCTTGGTTTGCCAGGCGTTTTTATTGGCTGAGAAATCTGCCTCGCCGCAGCAGTGGTTAAATCTTTTTTCTTCTGGGTGACTTTGGAGGCAATTTGTCGGCTTGATCCGGGAGTCGGGGGCGTGTTCAGCTGTTCCGCCGGCCTTCGCAATGTGGTTTCGGACTTGGCGGGTGTTTTTGTCGGCTGTGGTGTGGTCAAATCTCTCTTCTTCCTTAACATCTTCGAGGGATTTTGGCCACTTGGCCCAGAAATAGGCGAATCCGAGTGTCCTGAAGGCACCTGAACGCGTCTGTCTTTTGCTTTCTTCATCGGAATTGATGTCGTCTTGGTTTTCTCCTTCTCTGCAGTTCTTGGTGACTTTTTGCACACGTCATCCGGCTGATGCATTCCTGGCTCAGATTTCTCCGGCTGTCTTTTTGATGGTTCTTCAGTAATGTCTTCCAGTTCAGGATAAATCAATCCCCTGTCAGCATCTTCAGACAAAATGCTCTGTCCTCTGTCAAAGTGCACTTCAGCAGACACATCGGATTCACTACTTCTTCTATGAAACGACAAATCCTGAGCGGACACAAACCCAGTGGAAACTGCTGGTAAACTTCTTCGCCTGAGCCTCTCTTCGCGCCTCCTCTTCGCTTCCTGTCGCTTCTCTTCCTGCTTCTTCTTCACCCTCTCCTTCTCCTCCTGGCGCTTCTTCTCTCTGCGCTCCTCTGGAAATACACACACACACACAAGCATTGGAAATGGTTTCTTATCCAGATAATCCTACTTACTCTCGCGTTTTCCCATTTTCCAATCACTTTCTTCACACTAACAATCAACACGATCTTTACAGGACGCCACACGAACAAAGAATGCCTCCGAGTTTTGCTTAACGGAAAGTTCAGCCGGTTTGAGTTCCGGCTGACCTCTGAACCCATCCCACGGCCCAAGGTTGCCCAAGAAACAACAATCTTTTCAACTCTCCTGCTTTACTTCGTGTTGGGGTAATGTATAGCGGTATTCTATATTCTATCCAGTGCCTCCACCATGATGATGCTGTTTCCCCGGACGACCTGCAAAAGAAGCCAAGGCAAAAACAGTCCTTCAGCCCCAAACTCTGAGATTGTGCAGAGATCAGCAATCTTACCACCATTCCAATATTGTTGCGGGAACCGTCTCTGCACTCCTCTATCGTCTCGTCGATCACCACATTCATGAAGGGGTCGAATCCTCTGAGAATGCCCACGATGGTGCGGCCCCCGTTCAGCTTGAGGCTCATCCTCTTGTCCATGAACCTGGGAAACGTTTGCAAAGTGAGGTTAGTTTAGCAAAACACGCCTGAATCACTTAATTTTCCATTCGCTGGCGTACTTCTTCAACTCTGGTGGGTGAGCTTTAGACATCTTTCAGGGATTCCACTCGATATTCACACGGAAATACAGCAATTAGTGGTGTTTTAGTGGAGATAAACTGTTATATGTTAAGTTGATAGATGGCGTTGGGGGGGAGAGTCAGCCATATTGGATTTGGAAGCACAAGAAGAAAGACGCCATTCATTAGAGATGAAGTTACTAAATTAATAATGTAAGGAAAGATGAGATAAACTATTTTAACTTTTAAAGAAAGTGAAGAGAGAGATTAATAAAGGTGAAGTTTGTTTAAATGAAAAAGAGAGATGATTAAGTAAGAAATTTATTTGAATAAATGGAATAAATAAAAAATGCTGATTTTAGTACATTGAAAAGACGTTTTATTTCAGACATGCGATAAAAGTATTAATCAGAGGTCCGGGAATTGTGTGTGAGCTTCACGTACGTGTAGTTCTCACGAGCCAGCGTTAGAGTGTCGCTTCCGGTGCAGCACAGCAGCTTCTTCACGGTTTTCTTCAGCTTCTGCGTCTTCCCGTGGCGATACTTCACCAGTGAGCTGTCGAACACGACTGTCTCCGGTTCCTCTGCGGGCGCTACGAAACGCCTCCGGACGCCAACGTCTGCCTCGTGGATAATCTCCGAGGGTCGAATCGTGGCTATTTGGCTTTCCCGGGCATTCTTCAGCTGCGCTTCCATCTCCTGGATCTGCCGGCGAAGCTTAGCGTTGCAGCCCACCAGTTCTTCCACCTTTTTCTCCGCCTCTGTCCTCTTCAGCTCCTGCCCCGACACCTGCTCATCCAGCGCGCGCATCTCCGGCATCGTCTGCACTTTCGCAAGACGCTTGGTGACTGGTTTTGGCTTCGGCAAGGCGGAGATATACTGGGCCACTTTGCTGGGCACATTGCGATAGTGATTAGGCCCCTTGAAGCGTTTTGAAGTCTTGAAGTCGTCGCCCCTTGAAGTCCCAAAATCGCTCAGCTTATCCACTGACTTTGAGCGTTTCTGGCTCAGGTTTTCTGGTGTCTTCTGAACACTAATGCCAGGAAATGACTTACGACAGTCTTCATCGCCTGAGGAGTCGCTAAGCAGCACATCTGATGGGAAACTCTCATCCGCAATGTTCGACGCGTCCATCGTTGAGTAAAATTGGGGCAGAACTGGAGGACAAAGAGGACACTGGATCTTTCTGAGTCTCTGAGTAACGGAAATTCCTGTTGCATTCAGCGCACTGAATGCAAGTTCAGTGGCGTAGTTTGAAAATACTTTAATTTGGTAAATTTTATGAAGAATACCCATGGACTTACGCACTGCTTGTTGTGAGATGTCTTCTAGAATATTTAAGGACATGTTTCAATTTCCCAAAAGTCCAGAACTGTGAAAAACAAAACCAACGGAGTTGAAATAACAAGAATTTTTCTGGCACATTTAAATAATTCTTCAGCTGCCCACGCCACCTGTTGGTCCACACCTTCATCGAAGAGAGGCGTCGTTGAATTGCTGAATTCTGGAAAGTGTGTGTTTTGGTTGGTTTTCCGTGAAAATGCTGTGGTTTCCCATCAGCTATCTCCTTGTGATCATCTCCTGGATCACATGGAGCGCCTGTGAGCTGATAGAAGTGGATCTAAACGGATACATAGCGTACTGTCCTTGCATGGGTGAGAACCTAACCCCACTTATCTTTGATTACTACCGGAAAAATTACAATTTTCTCTGTTTCCACTGAACAGGGCGCTTTGGCAACCAAGCTGGATGTGTGGCCCGAGGACAAGAGAATCGCCTTTTGTTACATGGCGAGAAAGTCTCTGGATGGGAAGGAGACAAACAGCTGCAATGCCAAAGATGGAAATCCCTTTGGGGCATTCTGGGATGAATTCCAAGTAGACTTTGTCGACTCAGAGTTCTACGGGCCACTGAATTACGATGTCCACCATGGTAGTGTAGCTGAGAAGTGGATTGAGGGATATCCAGCCAAGAAATTCCCGGTTCTGGCCTTTAGCGGTGCTCCAGCGTCATTTCCTGTCCAGCGGGAGAATCTCTTGACGAGGGCGCAAGAGTTCAGGCGAGAGACTCTGCCGCGTGGCGCCTTAATGGGAAGTGCGCTTTAATCTCTATGTCTTGTCATCGCATTAATCAGCGTCTCATTTTGTGCGCTAATTCTTTCATGGATTCTGGGCGATCGCGCGTCTTGAGGAGGGAAAATAAGTCAATTGGTGAGATCGTAAATTTTCACTTTGAACCCAATAGAATTAATAGTCGGGAAAGCCTCCAATTCCGACGTCTTAATTCCAACATCGCCTCCGCAGAAAAGAGTTGTAATCAGCAACTGTTGATGTTTTACTGAGCAAATTTGTAAAGAGCTTATTAATAAATGTTTATTAATTTTTATTGATAACCCTCTTGAGAGTGGATTTTATCGTATTCTTTGCTGCTTCTCAACTTCACGCTCAGCATTTGATTTGTGTCACAAATTCACGAATGTGTTGCTTGAAGATTGGTGTGTATTTTCTATTTCCGTGAGCGAATGCGCGATTTCTTCCAATTTTTCCTTCACTCATTATTTGTCAATACATATATTGTCGCGCAGCATCACATCTTGAGCCACCTTAAGAGAATTATTTTGAGTATCAATCATAATAGTGTTTTGAGTCGCAGAAAAATTGTCCATCAACACCAACTCGTCATTTTTCCGTGATTTGCCACGCGCTATGATTTATCGCCAAAGCATAAAGTCGGCGCGCATCTTCGCGACTCACAGCTAAAGACACACACCAGAGCCACAAGGAAAAGCCAAGAAGATGTCCACTCTGGCTCACGGAGTCGAATGCGAAGGAAAAACAATAAAATTAATCACTTTGCCAAGAAAAGCAAAGTATAAATTCTAGCATTCTGACTCTGAGGGCAGTGTAACTGGGAAAATTCAATGAAATGTTTCAAGAGGGAATTTATGCTGTCTAGAGATAGTCCAAGAATAATTCGACTTGAGAAAAATCTCTCTTATTTGCATTTCGTGAAATTTTCAAAGCTTCAACCCGATTTTTTTCGATGCTTTTTAGCTTTATTTCTGCGTGTTTCACATTCTCAACATCGAGTGGCTCACAAAACTTGGCTATTATTTCTACATTGAGAGACGCGGTGAGACTTTCGGGATAGTTCAGTTGAGTGTTACTTCTTGTGCCGAACACAGTTCACTTTCTTCTCTGCCTTCTTAATCTCCCTCAAATGGAGACTATTTAGAGAGGTGATCAAGTGTAGAAATTTGACACAGAAATTCAGCAACAAACAATAATCATTTAAAAAATCTCAACACAGTGATTGTGAGCAAATATATATATATAGGTAATAATTAAAATAAGGAAAAAATCTCATCAAGACTTATGTAACATCTCCTTCAGTAGAGTTAAGTAAATTGTGATCTTTGAGAAAGAAGTCAAATTGACTTTAAACAATTAAAAATGACCAAAAATGATTTTTCAAGCTCTCGCGCGGACTTCTTGTTGGAATGTGAAATTGGAAAAGCAAAGATGCGCGCTACAATGGTTAAATGTAAATTAGAATTGAAATAAAATCAAGTTGAAATTACTTGTATACAAGAATAGCTCATCAGAGATTTCTCTGCCAAGCAATTGCAATGAGATAAATTGCCACGCGTGACGTCGTTATTTTGGCGCAAATTCCACAAGAAAATGCATTAAGGCAGCATTTATTTTTAAAAGACATCGCCACCAATTTACTCAGCACCTTCAAGACATTTTATACACAATCACACAATCTTTCTCCATCTTTCATTGTTGAAAAATCCTTTTTTTTCTTTTTAGGAAAATGTGTCAAAAAAACTGTGACACAACTTTTTAAATTAATATAATAATTACACAACATCGGGTTTTTTTTGATGATAAATTATGAAGGAGGAGAAGCTAAAAATACGTCAACATGGTTGAGAAAAATTCTTTTTTTTTCCTTTCGCGCGCGCTGCCCAGAGAAATGTCATTATGTGTATTGTCTGAGGGGCAAAAGAAGCGCCAACGATAAATGTCAGACAGATGGACTGTGTTGGGGTTTTCTTGGCACGCATTCTCCCTCCACCACACAACCAACCAAGCAATGCGTGAGTCTTTGCGGAGCAAAGATGAGAAAATCAGTGATAACTCTGCTGATGCGCATCATGTGCTAAAGCCAAATGAATTGAGCAGAAAATATGCCAATAATTTTGATAAAATTACTGTGAATTCATCCAATAATTTAGATATAGAAGTAAAATGTGTATAAATTCTATTAAATTTGTCCATTTTATAGTGCTTCAAAAATATGTGATAAAATGTACAAATTCCCTTTTCAGTTCATTAACACGATCTATGCGATCCTCACGAGAGATACAATGTTGGAACACACGCATAAGTTTATTTGCTATAGGGTCAACACAATATAGTCATCTGGGTTTATAAATATTTTCTTTTTCCGCACTTTCCACATCTATTTTCAAATGTCTCTAAAAATCTCTTTCTCTCTCTCTCTGTCTCGTGTGTGTGTTTTCAGTTTGAGCATTGGGACAAAGTTACGCGATGGGACGCAAGTCGAAAGCGAAAGCCAATAGAAACAATCAACAGGCGAAAGTTGCACAAAATACCAATCAATCAGCACCACCACCAACACTTTCTCAAGCAGAACCCAAGGACGTGCCAGCAGATGAACCTTTGCCAACGATCAAATTGCCGTCAAATGCCCAAATTGCTGAGAAAGTTGAGGAAGCACCGGTGAAAGTTGATGAAAAATCCATCGAAGAGGTCAAAGCAACTGCTGATGATGGTGAAGCACCATTCATGCCGAGTCCCACGGGCAAGAAGAAGAAGAACAGAAATAAGAACAAAAAGAAGAACCAACAGAATGTCGCAGAGACTGAGGAAATGGGTGATGTGAGTGAGGAAAATGCTGAAAAAAGTCCCCAAGAAGATGCCAAAAAGGTGAAAAATGAGCAAATTCAGGAGCAAACAGCTGAAAAACCAATAAATACACCATCAAAAAAGAAGAATAAAAAGAAGAATGCAGAAAAGGCAAGCCAAGAGGTGTCTGTCGGCCAAAATAGATCTAATAGTGCAGAGACAGATGTAACTAAAGAGACTGACAGTGCAAGTGTTGCGACAGAACCACCTCAGGAGAGCAAGAAGGGAGAAGAAGAGCAGTCCACAATGGAAAGTAAGCAGGAAACATCTCCAATTCAGGAATTAAAGCAGGAGAAACCTGTACCAGAGCAAGAGAAGCCTCCATTGCCTAAGGAAGCAAAAGAACCAAAGCCAGTTCAAGAGAAGAAGCAGGAAGTGAAGACTAAACCCGATAAAGCTGAGCAAAAGAATGGTCAGAAAGGTCAAAAGTCAGAGAGAAACATTGAGACTGAAGACATAAATAAAAATGTACAGAGTGTGAAATTGCCAGAGTCAACAACTAATGAAGACACCGCAGCTGAGGCGCCAAAGACAGCAAACTTGCCAAAAAATGACGAAAGCAAAACAACAACAAGCCTTGAGAGCACTGATGCGGTTAAAATGGAAGCAACCACAGTTGATCCCATCACCATTGAGATCACTCAACCTGTGGTCATCACTGCCGAACCATGCAAAGACAGAGATATCGAACCAAGCACAGAAGCTACTTTGGCACAGTTGATTGAACTTGTGTCCAACAGCGAAATTCCTCTTCAGGATGTTTGTCCAATGGGTGGGAAAAATAAGATTGTCGAATTCCAGAAACCAATAGCAGAAACCGGTGCTGCTTTGGCTGAACTAGTGAATGTCGTTGCAAGTGTCGAAGTGCCGCTTAAAGATGTCGTGGAAGCTGTTGTTGGAGAGAAAAATGACAAAGAAGGAAAGAACAGGAAGGAAAAGCAACAAAAGCCAGAAATACAGCAGAAAAGTCAAGAGAAGAAGCAACAGAAGACAGAAAACAAGTCTGATGCTCAACACAAAAGACAGGATAACAAGAGATCTGAACCAGAGGCTGCAAAGAAGCAAGAAAGCAGAAACAATGAAGGAAAGAAAGACAATAAAAAAGCCAAGGATGCTAAAGAATCCAAACTACCAGAGAAGTCAACACATCCACCTCAACAAGTTGAAGAAGTGAAGATCGACACGACGACCGAAATCAAAGAAGTTAAAGCTGGAAGTCAAGAAATCAAAGAACCTGAGAAGGTGTTAGAAAAATCTGAAGAGCCTAAAACTCCGGACACTATTAAATCTCAAGTAAAAGACACACCCAAAATCTCTGAAGTTGAAGAAGTAAAGTCTGAATCACAGCCATCTACAAAAGTAGAAGATCAGGAGTCCATTGTGAAAGATGAAACACCCGTTCAGACAACAACGAAGAAAGACAAAGAAGATGCAAATTTGAAGGAAGCCAATGAGAAAAGTGAGGCCAAGGCAAAAGAGGTGCCTGAGAAGAATCCACAAGAAAAGATGGACGCCATCAGCTTCGTTCCGGACAAATTGATTGACATCCTGGATACGAAGATGCAAACGCTACCAGCAAATACAGGTGCCATTAAGAAAATTCCTAAGCAGAAAGTTGAATCTGGCAAGACAGCAGATTCTGCTGCTCAGACTCAAGTCAGTGTTCAAGCGGATTTTGAAGACAAACCCAAGGAGAAGGAGGAACCGAAGAAGCCCAATCAACAAGCGCAACCAAAGCATGATAAGAGTGGAAAAACCTCACCGCAAAAGAGTCCGAAGAAGCCTCAGGTTCCTCCCAAACCTGAGCATTTGCTTAAGAAAACTCCTCCTGCTGTTCCGCCTGCTCAAGGTCCAAAGCAGGGCACTAAGGAGCCTCCTCAAGCAGCACCAGCTGCACCCAAGAAGCCACTACTCTTGTCAGATGACGAGGAAGAATTTATCGAATACAAGTTCACACCTCGACAGGTGTTTCTTGCCACAATTTGTCAAGTGTGCAAGATTGCCTTGCAGAATCCCACACCTTGCTCCAGTTGCTTAATGGTGTCCTACTGCAGCGAAGCACATGCCAAGGAGGACGCAATTGTCCATCAGCAACTCTGTCGAGCTTTGCAGGTAACTTTGAAAGAGCACACACACACCTAACTTTGACATACATTGTTCCCTTAACTGCGTTTGCATTCTTTGATTTTACTCCTGTTGCAGGAAATTGCTCGAAAGCGCGGAGGACATGTGTACAACAATGCAAAGATCCTGTCGAATGATGATTTCAGGAATTTGCGTGTTCACACCCTCAATCTCTGTGAATCCCTCACGCAGCGCCCTCTGCAGCCATTCGAGAAGGAGATCCTCCTGTTCCCCCGGATCTGCTGCACACCCACTTGTCGCGAGTGGCGTCCACCGCTTCTCGTGGAGTGCCAGAAGTGTGGTCAAGTGTCCTACTGCAAGGAGCAGTCCACCCACCTGTCTGATGATCATCAGCGATGGTGTCCCTTCTTCCTGCTCTACCAGAAACTCATTGTGCGCCAGAAGAATGTCGGTCGCATCGAACCGAGTCTGCCGTCGCGCATCTTCCTGCAGCGCTACGAGTTGCCCGCATCCCTGGAGGAGGTGTTCAAGGAGCTGTACAAGAACAATCCCGCCATCAAGGATGACTGCACCTACGCCACCCTCACTCAGCTTGCCACGGCGCCACTCACGGCCTACAACGCTGTGCTGAAGGCACAAATCCCTATCCAGGAGTCCCTGACCATTCACCTGGTTGGGGCAGAATTGCAATTTGAGGGTGACACACTGGACAAGTGGGAGGCCTTCTTTCTCCACCTCATACCGCAAGTCCTGGAGCTCAGAGTTGTCTTTATAGGACCAGAATTGAATGCTGAAAATTTACCTCTGGACATCTTGAGTCGCATAAGGCAAGTTAAGGGTTTTTTTTCTTTTCTTTTCAATGATAATATAGGAATTTTTTGCTAAATTCATCATCACATAGTTTTGTGGGATTTGTGTCTCACTCTGAGAAATGCTCAGACACAGCCAGAGATTGTGAAATATAAAATTAGACACACGATCATTCATTTATCAGTCAAGCAGTCTAATGACTCTCTATATATCTCTCTCTCTTCACTTCAGGATGTGTCGAACGTGTCGCCAGGCGTGTCGCGGCGTGAAATTCGACTTTCAGTGTGGCAAGTTGTATCACGATTACGCCAAGCAGCCGGCATTCACGAAGCCAGACTTGAGTAAGTGTTGCAGATAGCAAAAAACTGGATTTGAAAATGTTCTTTCAGAAGTTAGCGCTCCAAGCGTCAGTCAGTTGAATTTATATTGTTCTAATAAGTTGTAGAGTTCTGCAAGAGCTTTCCAATGACACCAAGATCATTAAGATCGGATAGAAAGAAGGAAAGTTAGAGCGCATATTAAAAATTCAAACCTTAAACCGCCGCATAACTCCGCTTCTATCATTTCAATTCTCATAAATAACGGTTCATTGGAAAGATCTCAATCTCACCGGCAACATACTAGAATTTGGGACAGATCAATACCAAAGGGGCTGAGAAAATGGAGGAAAATGTGTTGTTTTAAGGATGTTCAAAATGGCGGAAAACTACAAATTCACTTCCTCTTTCAGTTTGTTTCTTCAATCCCGGCCTCTATCGCGCCACAGGCTTCAGTGGCCTGGACACGTGGCCAGACACCATCAAGGCTGCCACTCAGCTCAGCTGCCCGATCGTCGTGACGTCATACACGGAGCTGGAATCTCCGCAGGATCTCGCGCAGCTGAATCGTGACTCCGCACGGCCACTGAATCTCACCCAAGCGCCCGCCGTGAATCCCTTCTCCTCGCAGCGTCCCGAGCGGAACTTCATCTCCGACGAGGTCTCACCCATGATCTTCAAGAACTACTATGTCTTCATCGTGAGCTAAGCAGCTCCGTTTACTGTCTGTTTCCCTCTTTTTTTTCAATAAATCGTGAGTTTTCCTTTTTTTTTTGGATGTCACACGCTTTTAGCCACTGTCGTACATTCCGACGGCCAGCAAGAGATTCCGCCGTGTGAAGTGAAGCGTGAGGAATGGCGAGGATTTGGTGGGAAAGGATCTCAAGAGATACTGCTCACCGTCACGCACGTCTGGATTGTGGGAAACATTCACATTCTCACCACTGATGTCCTCGCACAGCTTCGTGAAGTCCCAGAGATTGAGTGTACAATCGAGGGATCCTGCGGAAAAACAGAAAAAAAAATATTTATTGAGGAATTCCATCACTGCGCAATCTGTTTTGCTGGCTTTTACCTGACGCGAGAATTGTGCCATCGCGGCTGAAGCCAAGACTGTGAACTGTGGCCGCGTGTGTGGTGAAGGCGGCAATCAAGTGGCCGTGCGCCAAGTCCCAAAGGTGCACCCGATGATCAGCCGCGCCGGAGGCCAGGAAGCGTCCGCAGATGGAGAAGGCCAGACTGTAGATGGGCGCCTTGTGGCCAGTCATCAGGCGCACATGGTTTCCGGACACGCAATCCCACAGTCGCACAGTGCGATCACTCGATCCCGTGGCGATGTAGTTGGAATTGGGATGAAACTGCACACAGTCCACGTCCGCCAGGTGACCAATGAAGATCCTGAGTGGCTGGTGAGAGTCCGTGGCCCACAGGCGTGCCGTCTTGTCGTGCGAACCCGTGACGAAGTAGTGTCCGTGCGGCGAGAAGCGCACATCCCACACGGGAAACTGATGGCCTTTGTACACCACCACGCACGTCCACGTGTGCAGAGACCAGAGACGAATGGTGGCGTCCTCCGAGCACGACAGCATCATCGAGCGATCCAGCGAAAACGCGCATCTGTGGTGAATTGAATCATCTTCCGGTGTTTTTCTCCACAAAAACTCACAAAATCTCATCAACTCACCTGTAAACCGGTCCAGAGTGTCCGTGGAATGTGCGACAAGTTTCCGCCGTTCTGTCATCCATCATGCGCACCAGCACATCATCTGCATCCCTGTCGATGTCCTTCAGCTGCTCCGCCGGCTTCATTTCCCTCAACTTGCCCGGCGTCAGTGACCACACGCGCACGATGGACTCGGCAAAGCCCACGGCCAGCAGACTCGAGTCCTCGGCGATCTCCGCACACGTGACACTGTGCGCCGAGTTGAGGAGTGTGTAGAAGCACACAGACGGCAAACTCTCCGGTCCCAAATTCACGCGCTTCGACGCCTCGCGCAGAGCCTTGATCTTCTCCAACTTGTCAATGTCACGCAACTCCGGCAGCGGCATTCTGTCCGCCGGCGGTGCATTCGGGTCGGACTTGGACTTCTTCGACAGCAGTGGATCCTTCTTGGGCTTCTTCTTCTTCGGCTTGTCCGGCGCATCCGGATCCATGTCGTCATCCTCCTCCGGCGGCGCCGTAAGTGACTGAAAGTCCGGCTCCTTCAGCAATCCATAGTAGACTTTCACCTTATTGTCTTGGCGCTTCGCCTCACCGGTCAGAGCACCCGCCGTGGCGTCACACTGTGTCTTATTCCTGGCCACACCCTCGTACAGATCGAAGTACAGGTGCTCATTGACGATATTCATGATCACCGACTGCTTGCGCTCCTGCAGATGCCGCTTCAGCAGCGACAGCGTGTCTCTGGAGATGCGAATGATGAACTCATTGGACTTGAATGTGTCCGTGAGATCATTCCCACTCATCTGATCCCTCTTTGTCACCATCGCCAGGCGTCTCAAGTCCTCCTGATAGTAGTACTCCTGTTCCGGCCCGAACTTCTCCATCAAGCGCTTCGCCTGCTCCTCGTGATTGTTGTACACCAACTCCAGGTACATGTGCACCAGCACCGGATACAGTATCATCGCCAGCTCATGCTTGTAGATGTCCAGAGACTCCGCCACGAAGTTGCGCAAGTCCATGAAAGATGTCTCATAGATTTCCGGATCACCTTCACTCTTGTACGCCGCCAGCACGCTACTCACGTCCGAATCACCCGCAACTGTGTCCGGCACATCCGTCAGCTGTGCCTCTCGTCGCAGAATATCCTCAGTTCCCTGGAAAAATCCCCCAAAAATGAAGAAATGTTAAAAATGCCCTCAACAATAACAGCTGCGCGAATCTCTCACACCTTCAAATTGTGCTTCCGCAGAAGCTGAAGCACTGCCAAGAGATCTGTCTTATTGCTGGCCATCTCGAAGCACTTATCTCACTGTCACAGGCCAAATTTTGCGGAAAAGTGCACTATTTTAGGGTGAAAAACACGATTTTCCAGGAGTTTGTGTGGCTTTGTTTTGATTACACCGCCGCAGCCGACGCAGCCATTTCACTGGCATGTCATTCAACCCTCATGCCACTGCACTTTCCCAGCTGGCATCGAAGTAGACGTAATAAATTCAATATTTCGTATTTTATTTACCAGAAGGATCCGGACATAAACACGGTCCTAAACATACCTTGGTAAATAAAATCCTTCCGTAATCTCAAAATATTTTATTATTATTTATTTAAAATACAAAAATTGTTCTATAAAAGGGGGTTTTTGTTCCTACAATTTTTGTTGAAAAAAAAAATCTGCTACAATTCGATAGAATATTTGAGTAAAAAATACACATTTCAATAGAGATACAAAAATGATAAAATATATAGTAAAATTCACACTAAAATTGTATTGAAAATCAAAATGCGGAAAATGCAATAATCTTCTACAATCTTCTCGGTTTGTATTCGTTGCACAAGAAAAAAAAATCTCACTGTAAAATATTGTATACAATTATGAGAAATAATAATAATAATAATGAGAAATGCAATATTCAACCTGATTGAACATCAAAGTATTGAGCTTAAAATGTAGATAAAGGAGTAAAAGACAATCAGTCGTATGGATAAAAGGATTCGATGTCATCTAAAATTGTGACAATCATTGAGAATCAGGACGTAAATCTCTCCTTCGTCATCAATTGCCAAGAATCGCGTGAAATTCTTATCATAGTGCAACTTTGTCGCACAATTTCCAGCAAATTTCACACATGAGAGCAATTCTGGCTTCTCAGAAGCACCCATTCTTCCCTCCCACGCACTCTCGCCATCACCACTCAAACTCAAGCGCCGCGTGCGCTCAGCCAATTGACTCACGACGCTTCCTTTGTTCACCACCACATTGTTCACGATAAAGTCCACACTCCAGAAGCAAATTTGTTCACCCAAACTGATAAGGATTTGAGGTCGATTCGCCTCACACCACGGCGAGAACACCAACTGGGTCACGGCGCTCTGGTGAGATCGCAGCGTCTGGAGGAGTTTGAAGTTGCCACCAATGTCGTACATCTGCAGAGATAATGATGATGGGTGAATAAATACACACTCACAAACTTCTAGAGAAACAATTAACAAAAAAAAGTCTTACATTTATACTTCCACTGAGAAATCCCACGGCGAGAAACTCCTTCTGCGCCGATATTGCAATTGACGATGCATTGCTGTCGATTCTCTTCGCTAAGTTCTTCAATTTGGCAAAAGACACAATTTCTCCATTCATCTCAACGCGATAAATGATCATTGATTGTTGTTTCGAGCATGTCATGAGATATGGATGAACGTAATCACAAAAGGCTAACTTAGAATCAGAATTACAGTTGAAAGATGAGATTACTATATTGCTGTTCATGTTTAAGATCTGCAGAGAGAGAGAGAGAGAGGGAAAGTGGAGGAAAATTATGTGTAAAAAAACGTTAGAGACTCAATTGAAGGATTAGAGTGTCTTCTCACTCACCTTAACATTCATTCCCTTGGTGATCACCACAATGTGCTCCTCGTCCAGAGCATGGCAGTTCCTTATTCCTCCATCGTGTGGCTCCTTGTTGAGCAGTCTGAAAGTCACGCTGGTGCCCACGATCAGCACAGCATTGATGGACTTTAGAAAGTCTATGGAAGCCCCCAGATTGTCCAGTTCCACGCAATTCCCATTGCTGCTATACTGACAAATGCGTCCATCGTCACAGCCCAGGAAGATGATTGTCTTGTGTTCACTGTTGGCAGTGGCAGTGATATTGCTGAATTGATAACAGTGCTTCTCGGTGACTTTAACAATGTCTTTAGCATCGCTAATATTGTACTCGTGGAGGTGCTTTGCCGTGTCCACAGCCAACAAAGTTGGTGGATTGTTGTCGTCGTGCTGCACGATGATTTCACTGAGATGTGGCTGAAGACGCGTGGCGGATTGTGACTGGACGTTGATCTCGAAGATGTTGGCAATGTTCTTCGTGCTGTCATTGCCATAGATCACAATGATCTCCTTGGATGTGAACACATCAATGCACGCCACGCGTTCAGTGACACAATTCTGCACAACTTCCACTCTTCGTGCGCAATCAAACACAATGATCCCCATCTTTGTGCCCAACACCAGAAAGCGTCCATTGCGCGCCAGAGCGCTGCATTCAATTGTCGTCTCGGTGGTGTAAATCTCCCGTATGAAGTTCACACGGAGGAATGGATAGTTCGATGACTTGATCTTGATTTGACGTATCTTCCGGGGGAATATGTAGTAGATGAGCTTCTTGCGTGCATTGAAGTGTATGGCAATGGCAGTGGTCTCATTGTCATCCCATGGTCTCTTCGTGAAGCCCACTTCGGCGTGATTCTGCAAATTAAAGCACCGAATCTTTCCCTCACTGTCCAACACCAGCAACTTCTTGCCGCCAATGTACTGCAAACACTTGATGTTCTGACAGTGCGTGAAGAAATTCTCACTCGGTGACATCACAAACTGTCCATCACGCCAGTTGTACGTGATGATCTGACCCGTGGCCAGAGCGCAGAGCAACTTCTGTGACTGTCCGTCGAAGAATGTGTGAAAACACACCAATTTCTGCACGTGAATCTTCTGCAGCGGATCAAATTTGTAGGCATCGTGAATGCTGTAGTTCGCATGACCGGCGAATTGTCGCCTATTCGTCCTTCGACCACAATCCCTGCCCACATACCAGCAATACATCACACCAGAGGCGTCCAGAGAGATCAAGTACGACCTGGCAAACACCTCCATCTCGATGATCTCCATCTCATGGCCACTGAACACATTCGGCACGGATTTGTAGTTGTTGGACAAGTCCGCGTGCACGATATTGTGATCCTTCTGCGCCACCAGCACAGATGTGGGCGTGAGAAAGCGCAGAATGCTGGGATTGGCGCACAACTGCACAATCCGACGCCACTTGGCGATGCAATTCATGCGAAACCACAATTTGTCCGGGAATTGCATCAATTGCTGTCTCGCTTCGCTCGCGATGGCAAAAGAGCCGCCCAGAGCCTGTTGCAGGAGTGTTAGATCTCTGGATTGGTAGATTCGTGCCTCAATATTCGGCAGGAAGTACTGCAGGTGCTCGAAGAAGGGAAAGACCACTGGAGATCCCAATTCCTGATACATCCTCAGATCCCCAATGGTGTTGGTCAGACCGGATTCGCGGATTTTCACCTCCAGGAAGCCAAAGTCACTGAAGAGCTGAACAAAGGTGTCAAAGAGTTCACCGTGGATCAAATGATAGCCAATGAAGGTGTAGAAATAGTGATCATTGGGAAATTTCAGGACATTCGGTTCCGTTCGTGCTTCCAAAACTCTCTGGATTTCATACTTGGCGGTGAATTGACGATGAAACTCCACCAGATGATTCCTCTTGGTGCTCCTCATGAGATATTGTGCACAGATGAAGTGAATTCTGCACATCATCTGTGACTCACCATTCGCCATTTGTACATAGTCAATCTCCAGGAGGGAAAACTTCTCCAGTTTTCTCACCAATTCCTCCACTTGCATAGTGCTGAGGTGGTAATATTGCGCGAGAACAGGAATGGGAATCAGACAATTGGGCGGAAAGATTGCCAATCGTCTGTACAACTCCGCCTGCTCATTGTCCAGCACCTTCAGTGACTCCTCCATCACACTCTTCGTGCGATTATTCTCCACACCCTCGCGCAGACACGCCAGCCACTCCCTCAGACGCCTCTCCACATTCCCATCGAAGACACCGAGGAGATTCTTCGCAATTTTGGCCACCAGATCAGGACTACCATTGATGACGCGGTGGATTTGATTGATGTAGCCGCGAAGGTGATTCTGCTGCACAGGCTGCGCCAGAGCGTGCTCAAACAGACAGAAGCACTCACTCTCCGTCAGCCCACCATTTGTGGACAGCAGTGTCTTCTTCTGCTCATTCACACGCGCCATGCTGCATCGATTCCTCGTGGTAACCAAGATTTTGCAGTGCAAATCAAAGGCCGCCTGTGTCATTTCATTCTGCAGATCATTCAGCACCAGCAGACAATCCCTCAAGCTCTCATGTCGCATCATCTGACGCAAATCACTCCGCTCAGCCTCCATCTTGGCCTCCACCGAGATATAGCCATTCTTCCGCTCCAGCAGAAGCACCTCCTTGTCCAGTGCATCACGCAGCATCGCCTTCAGACACTCCATCTTGCTCAGAATCTTTTCCGGCTTCACGCAATCCGTGACGCTGAGCCAGAAGATTCTGTAGTTCATGGCACTGATCACTCGATGATCACAGCACGCGTCAATGGCCAGCCAGCGCTTTCCGGAACCCGTATTCCCATGGATGACAAGGTAGTTGCACTCCTTCAGACTCTCCAGCACCTTCCGCGCCTGCCACAGCTGTGCAAGAGAGAGAGAGAAAGAAAAGCAGCTTGAGCAATGTGTGTGTGTCTTCTTTTGCACACCAAAGAGACTCTTTTTCACTCACCAAATCCGTTCGGTAAATCACTCCTGATCGATTATTTGGGATATTGCTCTCTCGGATGCACTTCTCATAAGCCCAGAATCGCTCATTTGTCACGCCAGATTCGGTGATTCTCTCACTGAGCCAATCGTAGTCCTTCAGCAGCACCTCCTGGAAGAGCCTCAGTGCCTGTGGCCTCTTGTACATGAGCAAGAAGAGCATCTTCTCCGTCCGGGACTCCTCTGTGGCCTCCGCCAAGATGCTGCGGCACTCTTCGGCGCTGAACACTCTCTCCATCTCCCTGGCCACATCGCGGAAGCTGAAGTCCTCGAGGAAGTCCTGCTCCACACGCAGCACCGTGCGACAGCACTCGGACAGCCTCAGGAAGCCCATGCTGCTGGGGCGGGAAGAGAGCACGGAATTACGCAATGCGAGAGGCGCGCAAGAGGTGAATGGCCAGACGAGCAGCGTGCTGGCGTCCAAGGTCACGCCCGTCCCCCCAAAACAGGTGACTAATCCGCAGATGCGGCCACACAGGGTCAAGGCGACAATCAAGAGACAAGGGAGATATACTCACGCGATTTCCCAGGAAAAGCGCCGAGACACACAACACAATGGAAAGGCCGCAGCAGAACACAAAGAAAATTCACGCAAAGCTAAAGAAAAGGACGGTTTTTCACGCACGCCAGCACACAAATCCTCTGATGATTGACACACCAGCGGACGGATTGATCACAGCATCTTGCGAGGAGGTGCTCTGATGGCTGATTAGCACTAATTCGATGTAAACTTTTACGGAGGAAATTCCTCTCTCTCCACCAAGAAACTATCTCGCGGAGCGCGGATCGTCGACTGCCAGATCTGTGCTAAACTGTCATACAGCGAACTGTGCTATAATTGCTGCGAGTGCCACCTGGTGATGGGTGTTGCAAATAGAATTTTGTGTCAAACGCGGTCAGAAGAAATTGATTGTTATTGTATTATCATTTGAAATTACACGAATTATCTAACAGGAAATTATGCTACGATTGCGAGGAAGTCGTCAAGTGAATTTAGAGGAGAACAGAACCTTCATTCATTTGTGGGAAAAAGGAAAACTATTCATTGATTGTCTCTCTGGCTCTTCAAATTCAATTTTTCATGCCGTTGAACAATCAAAACATGATCATTAGTGAAAACAAAATGAATGAGAAATGATTCAATCACTAACTCGGTGTTTCTTTTGTCGTAATTCAAAGCATATTACAGCGCCTACTAATAATCTACATTCTGGAAAATTAATGCGCATCTGTTGAAAAAGAAACATTTTTTCACAAAATCAAAATTATCTTCAAATAGTTATAAAGACATTTAAATTGATATTCTTGCTATTTTTAGGAGCTTCAAAGCCAATGTTTGAGACCACAATACAGTATTAAAAAATCATCACTTTTGATTTCTATTGACATTCCTTATAATTCCTTAACGGATCCTTTAGATAAAGTTCATATTTTCATTAATTCATCATTTTAATTTCTTTCTATGGCTTTCTTTTTTTTCAATTTCAATTCTTATTAATTTATTCTTAAGGTTTTCTTCGAGAGTTGAAATCCCTTTTTGCAGAGGAGAAAACAAACGTTGGACAGATGAAAGAATATTGTGTGAAATGAAATTATGTGATTATTTATTACATCAAAAAGAAAAAAAAAAACGGAAAAGACACCTCTCTATTATTATAAGCACATTCTGAGACGCATTTTGCTGCTTATATGTAGATATTCTGCCAGAGAATTGTGTGATATTCTCAACCCAAGGAGTATGTATTTTTGTTGTTTGTTGGGGTTCTCGTACAGGAGGCGACAAGCGACCATTTTAAGAAGAAGAAGATGTATAGTTAAATTTGTGTTTCGTGGTGAAGTGAATTCGCGGGAATTTAAATTTAAACAATTCTTTTTTCACGGATTTTCATTATTTTATTCAAGTTGTGAATGTTTGTATTTTCTTTTGCTCCTGTGAAGCCGCCCACCCTTTTTTCCTATACATATTCGCCCTTCTCTCCTTCTCAATTAAGTGATTATTTTGGTAAATTATTTTGTTTCTAATTCTCTGCTTCACATAAGTATTTAAGACATCTTTTGAATATCTGCTGCAGTCCACATTTTCATTAATAAATTCACACGTGTCTTTTAGAACATTTTTTTTTTCACTTTAAAAGTGAGATGAAAATCGTGGAATCTTGGAAGTAAAATTCAACTTTCTCGCAAAAATTAATGAAATCCATATAGAGTTATTGAATATTATAAAAAAAATAACTTATCAATCGATTGATCTTCCACTGTCTCCTCATAATCCGAAATAATTTCGATTGTGTTGTCGAAGAGCATATCTACTTCCGATTCTTTGTCACTTCCGGCTTCATCGCGGATCACATCATTCAGCTCTTCATCCTCGTCTCTCAAGACTGCAGTTCTCTCCTCAAACTCATCTCCATTACCGCAGGGCATGATCTTTGCGTAGGAATGATCCCTGTGAAATACGAGAGCACATTTAAGTCAATCAATTTACACATATTTCTATTCTGAAACTTACATAGAATTGCAATCTCTGGGTTGAGAGATTGGATGAGGTCCAGACTCGCCTCTGGATGAGCCCGGCTCAGCTCTGGAGATGTCCCAACTTTCGTCGGGAAAACTGAAAATTATTATAGATGAAATAATAAAAAAGAACAACCTGCATTGTATATAAATCATTACCTCCCTTCTTCAATCTCCTTCTGCACTTCCACTCTCCCTGCAGAGCTCGGGAAGTGGGGTGGAAATCGTCAGGCAGGAAGTGGTCAGAGCACACTCTGATGATCTTCTTCTCAATACCTGACGACTTCTTCAAGATTTTCCTCCACTTCCTCACCACCTTCTCACTCTCGTGGTGTGGGAGTTGGTGGAAGGAGACGTGGGGATTACATCCCTGGATATTCTCACAGCCAATTGCACTGCAATTCATTTTTCTTCAACTTTTGCACAGAAAATTGACAATTAGAACGTGCGAAATGAATGAACAGTTGGTTTATTGTGACTTCGCTCGAAAAGAAAGTCGCGATGAAAAATAGTATGATCAAAATAACGGCCGAATTTTTCGCTAAAACCTAACCTCAAATAGACGATGTCGCCTCCTGTACGAGAACCCCAACAAACAACAAAAATACATACTCCTTGTTCTCAACCCTCTATTTACAATTTAAATTCCGTTCTTCCTTTCTTTCCTCTCTCTCTCTCTCTCTCTTCGCACTGATCAATCAAATCTACTCTATTCTCTTGCAATTGTTGTGTAAACTTGGCGGTAAATTAAGGATATTTCTTTTTTTTTAATAGTTCAAATAGGAAAAGAGTGTCACACACTTGCGATTTCTTGACATTGAATTACAATTCCAAGAAGAAAACAATCATTTATAAACTTGCCTGAAGGCAGCAAAATTCTACGCTAAGTCCACGATCAAGGCTCAAAGATCTCTCTTTTTTCTCTGTGAGGGACGAAAGTTGTTGTTGTGGTTTTTTTTGTGGCATATAAGAGAAATGCAATGTAAAATCATCACTGTACCTTGCACAAGTCACTCAACTCGAGTGCAAGCGCCAGTTTCCCTCGAGACTCTCTTGATGCTCTGGGGCGTTTTTGACCTACCTTCTCAAACACGCCATTATTATTTTTTTTGAATATGAAGAATTGAGCAAATCCGATAGAGAAAAATGCTCAAAATCTCTTCTTTCAACAATAAATCAAAAATTCATTTCTTTACAAAATAGGTAAAACGCGAAATTGTGAGTGAAAATTGTGAAAAAACTTGGAAAAAAACTTTAACTTTAGACTTTTTTTTTGCATATTGTTGCAAAATTTCATCTATTTATCCATATTTTTTTTCATTTTGTCAGAACGAATTGGTAAAATCAATTCTTTATCACAGTGATAACCTTGATCGATCACGCTCTTGAGAAGCATTTTCCTCTCTTTTTTTTTCTTTGCGCACTTGCACGAGAATTTTGTCATATTCTTCAGTTAATTTTATAAATGTCGCAAGAACTTTTCTTCCCCACCCCAACTTTACTCAGCCGCATTCTCGCCATTTTCCGCCTCTGCACCCACTTCGGCGGCTCCACCCTCAGCCGGCTCATCGTACAGTGGCGTGGCTTTGCCCGGAGCATCACCACCGCCATCAGCATCGTCCTCATCCTGCCCTGGCGCCGCCTCCTCGTGCACCTCCGGCAACTCCTCTTCGCACGCTCCTCCGTCCGCCTCCAACTCACCCGCCGCCGCCGCCGCCGCCGCTTCCTCGGTCTCCGGCGCTACGCCCGGCGGTCCTTCATCCTCCTGCTCATCACCCGGCTGCCCGCCACGCGGACTGCCGCCGCCCCAGCGCGATGATCGCTGCTGTTGCGACTTGGACTCGCGCGGGAAGCGATTTCCGCCGCGTCGACTTTCCCCACGGCGCTCCGGCGGCCCATTGCGGCGCCTTTCCTCGCGATCGTACGGACCCTCGCGGTCAAAGAAGCCACCGCCCGCCCTGTCGGCGAACTGGAAGCCTGCGGAGAGACAGAGTGTTAGCAATCATGGCAAAAGCAGGGCAAAAGATCACTCCTGATTACCTGGTGGTCCTGGACGCATTCCACGCATGAACATTGGTCCGCCGCGTGGCCCAAACTGTGGCCCATTGCGACCACCCATTGGCATCATGCCACGCATGCCGCCGCCGCCGTTGTTCATTGGCCCAAAGCGAGGCGGCGAGAAGAAGTCACCGCGATGATTTGGACCAGCGCGACGATCAAAATCATCCATTCGGCCTAGAAAAAAGGTAGACAAATTGAGCAATTAAAGAAGATATTTTTCAATGCGCCACAATTCTCACTCACCCTCTCGATGGCGCATCCCGTCAAACATGTCCTGGTGCCTGAACGGTGGTCCACCCTGCATCAGCATCGGTCCCTCCAGCAGCGCCTCTCTGTCGGCTCCTCCGCGCCGCGCCTGTTCGCCGAACAGCGACATCAGCGGCTGCGGCTGGCGCCACTGTGCATCGCGCCGGCTGAACTCCTCCGATCCCTCACCAGCCATCTCGCGCAGACGATCCGCCAGCGACTTGCCGCCCGCTTCCTTCTCCGGACGCTCTCTGTTGCGCTCTCCACTGCCCCACCGGCTGCCCCTGTCGCTCCGGCCGAAGTCTCTCCTCTCCCTATCACGACTTGAGCGCTCGCGATCGCGTCCTCTGCCCCTGAAGGCGACATCCCGATCCCTCGAGTCCTCGCGCGAGTCCTCCTGCGCCGCCGTGGGCTTCTTATCCGCTGTGAAACTCTGCACGATTGACGGCGACACTGGCTGTGCCATCAGCGGCGGTGGGCGATTGAAGAAGTTACTCATGGCCAGGAGTTGCTCACTGAGCGGTGTCGTCTCCTTCTTCGCATCACTCGCGGCGTCATCATCATTCTCAATCTCCATGTCATCGTGGGCACTCTTCGTCTCCGGCTGTGCCGGCACAGGAAGCCCGGCGGCGGCCGCCATTGGCATGGGCGGCATTGGGAAATTGAGTGCAGCCAGAAAGTCCGGCGTTGCACTGGTTGGCGGCGGCACAGACTTGTCCATCTGCGGAATCTGCATCATGGGCATCATCATCTGCGGTGGCGGCACACCAAGTGGCAGTCCGGGAATCAAGTTGGTCATCATGGGTGGCGCCATGAGCCTGGCGGCGGCTCCAGCGGCGCCGGGGAGCTGGAAGGGCGCCACCATGGGCATGAGAGCACCCGGCGGCGGCTGACTCGTGTCCAATCCCTGCGGAATCTTCGCCTCCACCTTGCGCTTCTCCTTCAACCACTCCGGCAGTGTGTCTTCGTCAAACATGCCGCCCTCCTCCAGCGCCACCAGATCCGTCGTGTGATCAATCTTCGGCCAGGGAATGTAGCTCACGCCCAGATCCAGGTCCCAGTAGTCCTTCCACTCTTTGCTCTTCACACCCTTGCCCGTGGCCCAGGAGATCGTGATGGCGCGCCCCTGCAGCTTGTGTCCCTTCAGACTGTTCATCGCCTTGTACGCATCCTGACGCCTGTTCATCGCTATGAAGGCGCATCCGCGCGGCACAATCATGTCAATGCTCACGATATCGCCATAGTGGCCGAACGTGTCGCTCAACTCCTCTTGCTGCACCAGCTTCGACAGATGCCCCACCCACAGTGTCGTGCTGCACACACTCAGATGCTCCTTCCGGATGTCCGGCAGCCCCTTCCGCCGCCTCTCGCGGTCGTACTCCTTCTCCTTCTCGCGCTCCCTCTCCCTGGCGCGCTCCCGCGACGATCGCCGCCGCGTGCGCGGCGATCTGGAGCGTGATCTCGTGCGACTGCGCCGCCGGCGATCCCTTGTGCGCTCCCTGGAGCGCGATCGACTGCGTCGCCGGGACTTGTATCGCTGCTGCTCACCACGATCGGGCGTCGACAGATCCGAATCATTGCCATCCAGCGTGATCACCTCCACCTTCCCACTCTCACCTGTAAACTCCACGTCCGGATCGCTGCTCTCCGGCACTGGCGCCGCTGCCGCCGCCGCCGCCGCCGCCATTTGCTGCTGCAGCATCTGCGCCTGCTGCAGCTGCTGCATGGTGTACATCTGCTGAGGCGCCACGAGAGGCTGTTCCGGCTGCCGACTCAGGTCACACTCATTGGCAAAGGGTAACTTCTTCAGCACATTCACCAGATGCTTCTCAAATGCCTCCTCCTGCAGTCGCATCTCCGTCAACTTCGTCTGCTTCTCCTCCATCTCGTGCTGCTTCAGCTTCTGCAGATTCTGCAGCTGTCGCAGCACATTCGGATCCTGCAGCAATTGATTCAGACTGTTGCCCTCCAGCACACTCGATGAGCTCGTCACATTCGGTGACGATGTCTTCTCCTCCTCCTCATCATCGCCATAGTCAAAGTCCAGCAGCTTCTTGTTGAACTTCACCTGATCCTGACCACTGTTGCCCGCGCCCAAATCATTGCCCGTCTGCTGAATCAGCAACTTCTGGAAGTGGTGCAGCTGCCGAATGATGTTGGGATCCAACTCCATCTGGCCACTCACCACCACATTCCCGTGCGCACTGGACATGTCCGCCGACATGCGGCTCTGCTCATCCGCCGCCACTTGCGGCGAATCCGACACAATCTGTGTGCTGGACGACGTCATGCCGTTCGTCACGCCAATGCCCTGACTGGCCGCGTGACCCTCCAGCGGATGCTGTCGATTGGGATTGAAGAAGTCAAACAGGGGATTTATCACCTCTGGCGAGAAGACACTGTTCTTCAGCCACAGATTCAGAACGCGAATGATTTTGCTCTGCAAAACACAAAAGATAGAGAAATTGCCTTATTAATCAGTCTGCCAAGGACAATTATGTTTCTGCTGTGAAACAAAACTGTGACATCAGAGCATCTTAGGCGCAGTAGAACGCCGGATGCGCAATCGCTCACCTTGTCTTCCGGTGTGCATCTGAAGAGATTGGCGAATGTCTGCTGCATGTTGAGTGCGAAGCGGGGCGCAAAGACGTCCTTCTCCGGGCCAAATTGATGCCTCGACTGCCTCACGATGGCATCAATCACGTACAATCCGGGCACCTTGTACTCCGGCTTGCACTTGAGGATGAACTTCTCCACGCTCTGCACAACGTGCTTGTAGAACTTGATGGCTTTCATTGCACTCCTCGTGATGGAGCCCATCTTGGCCTTGGAGATCGGTGGCTTCGTCTCAATGAGGCCCGAGAGCTGCAAAACATACACACACGAATTGACAAATAAGTCTCTGGAAATGTCTCTGGGCGCGCGTCTTCCGGGAGACGCACCCAAAGCGCTCTCCCACCCTTCAAGGTCGCCCCTTTGCCACCACGAGAACCGTGCAGAGTTGCACAGCATCACAACAATTGCCTCCACGGCAATCTATTTGCCGACAATATGCAGTCGGAAAAGTCCCACTACAAGGTGAAAAATGGGCATTTTCTCGCCGAAGCATCGCGCAATGGTGGTGGCAAATGTCAAAAGCGACACTTTTTCTGACCATCTTTCTCACCTCTGCATTGAACGCAATCACACTCTCCATATTCATTGTCATTATTCAAGCACTGTTTTCGGATTTAACTGTATTTTTACCACTTTTCCACGCTTTTTCTGCACATTTCACTCTGTGTAGTTGCGACACTGATAAAATGGCGAACTGAAGAGCACAATGCCGCATATTTCCGCCAGACGTCGCTGCTCATCGTCATGGGGATTTTCCATCTCACTCTCTCGCGCCCGATCAGCCGTCAAAAGCGCTCATATAGTTTTTGCGAGTTTCCTCTGTGTTTTTCTCGGTGGAAAAAGTGACTGAAAAGTGCATGAAAGGACAGTTAAATCACTGTTGAAGTACTCTGTGGTGAAATATTTATGGATAGTGTGAAAAGTGTCGGTATTTTTGTGTGACAGCTTGACTCCCCATTTTCACCGGGTTTCCCCGCTTTTTCCGCTATTCCTCTGGTATTTTCCTCACTTGAGTGTCTGTGGCGGATTACCAGTGATCCGGGGGTGGTAATCTCAGTGGTGTGAACACACTCACGGGGGCGCACTGAGAAGCGCTCACACGCGAGACCGCGCGAGACTCTCTTGCACAAGTGCAAAAACAAAATGGACACAGAATCCTCATAAAGAGGCTGTAATTGATCGATTTTGGCCAGGAGACAAGCCCCACGCGTTCGCGAGATCTCGCTCCAGAGGCCCCCCTCGACAGTAGAACTCTCCCGGGAGATGTCCGTGCGGCGACGGGAAAGCGCTGCCGCGTCCTCCAAGCTCCGGATGGACCGGCAGCCCGCGGCGGCACGCATTACAGGTAAAGTGGCGCCGCGTCGCGAGTCCGGGGCCTGTCGAACGGGCACGCAAACACTCACACACACCTCTCTTGTCCCTCCCATCTGCAGACCCCAGCCTGGCGGCCGGTAAGCGCAAGGAGATCGACAATGTGATGAAGAAGGCGCGCGCCTCCACGGGTGAGTACTGGGACAAGAAGCTGCTGGAGGTGGAGGAGAAGGATCCCAATCGCTGGCGCCACTCCGGCTACAAGAAGCTCTACATCGAGGGCGAGAGCTCCTCGGATGGCAGTGACGTGGAATATCGCGGCTATACGCGACGCGCATCTCGCAGTCGCTCGCGGGGGCGCCGCAGCCCGCCGCGCTCGCCGGAAATGCGACGGCGCTCGCCCAAGTCCCCGGACGCGAGGCGACGTGCTCCGCGATCGCCGGAGATGCGCCCCAAGAGGCCACGGTCGCCGGCCGAGCCACCGGTGAGGCGTCGGTCGCCACGCTCGCCGAGATCGCCGCCCAGATCTCCCGTGCACGAGATGCGCCGCCGCTCGCCGATGGTGCAGAAGTCCAAGGCGTCACAGATGGTGCCGCGCTCAAAGAGGCCCCCGTCGCCGCCGCCGAAGGTGAGCCATTTTGACCCCTCTGAATCGGGGCCACACTTCTGTCAATCCAACTGACGCGCTCTTTCTGCCTTCCAGCCGACCAGATCGCCGTCGAAGAGCAGCCTGAGCAGCTGCTCGGACGACTCCTGCTCGGTGTGCTCGCCGAAGCTGCGCCACGGACGCACGAGGTAAAAGACGCAGAGCGCAGGGCGCGAGCAGAGACAGTGTGACTGACGTGTTATGATTCTTGTAGATCTCGTTCGGTATCGGTGTCGCGATCGCGCCCGCTGCCCAGATCGCCGCCGCTGGCGAAGGGGCGCGCGGCGCACGGTAGTAAGTCGAAGGCGTCGTCGGGTGGCTCCACGTCGGGCTACCACAGTGGGGCGTCGCGTCACGTGCGCCCGGCCAGTCCGCCGCCGCCGGTGGCCTCCACGTCGAAGCGCCCGGCCAAGCGGCCGGAGCCCGAGAAGGTGCCGCGCAGCACCGCGCGTCATATCCCACTGGAGGCCGTGGTTGAGCCCGAGCCGAGCGGGAAGCACGGGAAGCGCTCGTCGCGCAAGCAGATCGTGCCGGAAGATCCGCGCCTCAAGGTGCGCCCGCCCGAGCCGCCGCAGCCCGTCGCTGCGGAGGTCGCGGGCCACTCGAGGCGCCACAAGGACAAGACGGTGGAAAAGGTGAGTGGCTGAGAGAGAGAGTCTGTGGCGATGAGATGTTGATGTTTTGTGTGTCTTGTGCAGCTGCGTGCTAAGGTGAAGATTGAGGGTGAGAAGAGGAAGAAGCGACGCTCGTCGTCGTCGGGATCGGATGAGTCGAGCAGCAGCAGTGGCTCGATGCCCGCCATCACGGCCACCACGCGTCTCACACTGTCGGAGCGTTTCGGGAAGATGGCGCAGTGGAGTGTGGACAGGAGCAACATGGAGAACATGAGGATCACAAAGGACAGTGCCGGTGGGGCCCTGAAGGTGATGATTGAGGAGGGCATGGAGTCACCGCCGGCCAGGAACTACTCTCCGGCGCCGCCTGGACACTTTCCCGAGGAGCTGGCCATGACCGCACCCACGGGCCTGATGTCCTGGGATGACGTGCGCGTCCGGTACGAGTACTACAAGAGCCGCGGCTATCTGCGCGATCTGGATCTGCAGGTGAGTGTGCGCGCGGGGTGTTTTGCTGTTGAGCTGCGGAGAGGCTCTCTAATTTGGGGTTTGTGTCTTGAAGGATTACATCAAGTGGGAGGAGTGGTGGTATCGCTATCAGGAGTGGCTGAAGCAGGAGCGATACTATGAGTTTCTGGAGAGGCAGCAAATGCGCGGCAGACGCAGAAAGAAGCTCCCAATCACGGCTAGACTCAACTGAGAACAATTGGACACAATCTCTCATAATTCTGCCATCAAGACACACCATAAATTCTTTCCTCCTGTCGTTCTTTCTTTCTCATTTAATATTGTGCAGAATCCTCAATTTTTTTTTTCTTCGTTTTCACAAAAATTCTCTATCCATGAAAGTGAATAAAACGTATAATCAGCAATTCAGCGGCAAACTTCTGATGCTTCTCAGAGATCAATATCGACGTCTCCACAGTCGTCACAGTCTCCGTCTCCTCCGCCGGCAAGGCTGGAGATGGCCAGGGCGGTGAGGCCAATTCCGGCACCCACGCCGGCGGCTCCGGCCGCATATTTCAGAGCCTTATTTGATTTCTTCTTCTGCAAACACGAAAAGCCAGAGTGAGAGAACTCTTTTTTTGGGAATATGCTTTGGCGTCATGAAAGCGAAAAAACAATGCACAAAGTTGTGTTGTGACGTGTAGAAAAAGCATTGATTACAGAGTGAATTTTCTCGAATGTGTGTGTGTGTCAAAGTAATCATAGAAGCCCAATTAAAATTGTCAAACACTGAATGTTTTGAGGGGAAATTTGCATAATTTTCCTTGTTTTTCTGCATTTTTTGTTCAACACTTTGAGGTTATCCTAGTGTAATCAATGGTTTTTTCTCTGCGTGTAAGCACCTGAAATTGCGGATATCCCGCACCGTAAGCCGTTCCGGATGCAGTCATATTTGAGTTCATGGGTTGAATCTACAACACGATCACAGTTTCAAAGACACATAGAAATAAAATATGATAGAAAAAAAGCCTAACAAACATTTTTTTTTTGGTCTTGACATAGAGAGAGAGATTTTCTAATTGAGGAATTTCTTGTGTACCGGTTGATAGACAACGCCTGAAAAGAGGCTATTGTTAGAGAAATTGATCTTACATCTTAAGGCAAATGGTTTTACCAGGCTGCCCGTAGCCGACTGGATGTGGACTGTACGGGGGCGGTGGGGGTGCGGGTGGAGCAGATCCGCCATATGGATTGCCGTAGGGATTGCCGTAGGCGCCCCCTGGGGGACCGGAACCGCCATAAGGCATGGGAGCTGCAATGCGAATAAAAATTTGCAAGTTTTTATCTAATTTCTTAATGAGTTTTCTACATAATTAGGACATTCGTACGCTTATCCATGGGAACAGGTAAAGGACAATCCAATGGATATCCCTTCTTATTCTCATACTTGCTATTTCTAGAATGCCTTTCAATCTTTGATTTCATGGAATTGTCTCAAGAATTCTGATGAATTGTTCTGTGAATTTTCTTCAGAAGCCATCTAGTTATCGATGGATTACTTCGTTATCATGTTTGCCAATCGCTAAATGTGGGATTTTCTTTCGCTTTCCAATATTTGTGCTTATCAAGAGAGAGAGAGAGAGACATTCCTGGACGGTTTTCTTCAGAGATTTTGGATGAATTTGAAGCAGGTAGAAAACTTACGATAATGGCCTGTGGCTGGAACTGGCATTGGAGGCTGGTAGCTGCTCTGACCCGAAGTGTCGCCCTCCTGCGTGATGGAGTTGATCGTGACCTCGCCGTCCACCGAGATGAACTGCATCCTTCCCAGCGACATGCGATGGTTGAAGGTGCAGAAGTGCGTTCCGTTGATGGCGATCTTGTAGCATGAGTGCTCGGCGAGGATGAGAATGTCAAAGTGCTGTCCGGGATTCAGAGGGCATCCACCGTGTCGCTCTTCCGCGGCCCAAATCTGACTGGTCAACGTGTTGCGCACGATGGCGTGCTCCTGCACACGCACGCTCAGGTGCAGGCCGACATCGTCTCGTGGGCGCAAAGCGGGGCCCGTTTGGATGTTTATCTGGAATCTGGGGGGGGAAAGAGTGCAAATCGCCCAGTGAATCAGCAGATGTTTCATGAAACACCACAGTCAATCCAGCCCTGAGTCCCCAGTTGCGGTTCCACACGCTACGTAATGGTTTCAAGAAACGGATACTCATCGGTAGTGGATGTGAAACTGTTGCGGATTTGTTTCCTGTTCTGTCTCTGAGGGCAATCGGAGAGCAATAATACCTTATTGCCCTCCGACTATGAACATGATGCAAATGAGAAAGGTTTCAGTTTCTGATTCCCAACAAGAAATGCTTTCGTTCTTGTTTCACAGATTAAACATGTATAGAATAAGCCATATGGTGTCCCTAAATTTTATGGCCCACAGAAATTTCAGACCTCTCAGACCCTCATAAAATTTACCCAATTTTCGGCACTCTACCTGATTGCCCTCAGAGGAGAAACGAGTAAGACCAAGTATTCTTACTATTTCCGAATGTGGTCAAGAAATGCCTCCGTTTGGTTTACGGAAGAGTTTCTCGTAATACCTGAAACCGGTTCAAAATTCCATGATGCGCTCGAGGGAGAAAAGTAGTGCAATAAAACATCTGTTTTACAGAAAATAGGCAGAGAAAATGCAAAGTATGAAAAAAGGGTCATAAAACAAGGCTCGGGTGTCGGGATGAAGCAATGTTGGGAAATTCCTTCACTAAAACTCATCTGAGTTGTCGATTTAGTTGAGTTCTGGTCGTGGTTGAATGCAGAACGAGCAGAGTGCAGTTCTTCATCGGATAATAAGGTGAGAAAAATTGCATTTATTTAAGTACATTTTGGTGAATTTTCAAAATGTGCATTGATTATGCTGTTGTAAAATAAATTGAGAGAAAATTTGATCTAAATTCTGCGCGTATAAACAGTAAAATTTAATAATTTTATCGTTTTTCAGATGGACAATGAAGCCGCGGGAAATTTCACGGAATCCGGGATAAGATGACGCCGGAGAGTGCTAAAGGTGGCCAGATTCAGCATAATCAACACTGCCGTTTGGACAAAAATATATATTTTAATTGTATTGGATTCCATACAAGAAATAAATACGAAATTGCTTCCAGAAATAACTACGAAATTATTTCTTGCAATAGGAATGAAAATATTTCTTGATTGAATTACGAAATTGTTTCCTGTAGTAAGTATGAAATTATTTCTTGCACTAGTAACGAAACGATTTCTTGAAATGTCTCGGAGGGCAATTATCCTTTTTTTTTCTTCGAGGTTTATTGCCCTCCGCGCCCGAGCGTAGGGGCAATAAAAAAAGGGATGATTACCTACCGAGACATTTCAGGAAATCGTTTCGTCGAGGTAAAAGTGAAACGCATCCAATGTAAATTCCCCATAAGCGTTATGGGTCGGAAACAGTTTCTTGAAACCTATACGTAGCGTGTGGAACCGCAACTGGGATGGGTCGCTCACATGACTCATGACAGAGTGTGGATGATGAGAGAAAGGCGATCGAGCGTGAAAACTGGATGAAAATTATCACTTTTCTCACCTGTTTCCATAGTAATTCACCACTCCTTTCACCCTGATCATCTGTCCCACCCTGAAGCCTCCCGGAATGAGGCCCAAGAATGGGCTGATCTGCAAGAAAGCGGCGAAATGGAAGTCATAAATACCGAATGTCACGCTTCTCTACGCTAGAGTGTGGCAATACTTAGGCTAGAGCTATACTCACTGGATTGTAGACTGGAATTGTCGCCATGAAGTTCTGAAAAGTCCTCTCGATCCTCCGATGAATATTCATTCAAGAACCACCAAATTCACTCCACTGCTGATTTTGCACGAATGAAGACTGGAAAGTGCTGCACAAAAGAACTCTTATCTTATCGCGTCCAAATTGGAATCCGCGATAGACTGTGCAGCTGATAAGATAGACAAGAGGACTGGGATGAGACATTCGGTAGTTTCCCATTCTGACGCTCACACTCTCTGTGAGCAGTGAATTTATGCCTTTTTCTTTCTAACATGTTTTCGCCAAGATTTCAGTGGCAAATATTTACTCAGCGCCAGTTTTTGTGTGTGTATCAATATTTTCGCTGTGGGACTTTTAATCACTCCAATTACGCACTCTTTTTGGGGTATTTCGGCTTCTGTGCCGCGTTCTTTTTTTTTTATCTAAATTGCTCTTATTATTCATATGAAGATGTGGTGATTGTTTTTTCTGCGCAATCTGCAAAGATTAGCGCCGTTTGTAGTGATTTTTGATTCATTAGAAGTTGGCGCGCTCTTGGTGAATGGAAGGAAAAGCTCAAGTTTGCAAATAGTACAACTCTCTGACGAAGAATAAAAAAAATGCCAAAGGATTTTCCATTACAATTAGAGGGTTTTATATTTAATTTAGCATTAATTACAGAGCTTCACGGGATTCGTGGGTGTCTCTTCCTTCGCGAGGGGCACTCGTTGCGCGTGCACCACCAGCCGATGCCATTGTTGGCGCACCTGCACCGGTTGCAATCCTCGTGCTTCACGTCTCCCGGCGTGCACACCTGTCCGTTCACCGCGTGCTCCTCCGGCTTGCGCTCCTCGGGCTTCGGGTCCGCGGCCCGGGGCTCCTCCGCCGCCGTCTGGCGCCTGGAGCGCGGAAAGTCCACGCAAGCCATTCGCGTGCACCAGAAGTGTGTTCCATCCGCATTGCAGCGACATCGGTTGCACTCGATCATAAAGGCGCTGCTGGGCTCGCACTTTCTCCGGTCGTCAGCTGAAAAGGAGGCACAAATCCCCATATTATTCTGGCCAGTCAAAAGGAGGAGTTTTTTTCTTGTCGTTTTTGACTTGAGAATAGTGTTTGGAATCTTTATTTTAAAAAATCTGGGTAAAAAAACGATTCTCTTTAGAGAAAATGCCTCAGTGGACTGTTGAATAACTCATTACCACTGATCACACAGATTGCACAGAGCACAATTGCAAGGAGCAGGATGATCTTCGCCATGTTGAGTGACCGCCACACAAAATCGACACTTTTACGTGAGAGAGAGAGAGAGCGAGACTTCTTTCTTGAGATCACTTTCGCGGGGCGTGTGATGCCACTTGGGACTCCGGAGAGGAACTGACTGAGCTGATATCAGATGATAAACTAATTTTCGCGAAGATTCCACAACATTGTGTGTTGAATTTTTGCACACTTGCGCACCACGCGAGGCAGAATAAAAAAAAACATAAAATATGGGTGGAAATTGGATGGACTGGACGAGAGAGATTGTGATTTTTTCCAGGCTCTCTCACTCTCCACCCGGTCACTATCAGCAGCTGTGACCCCATCATCATTGGGTCCGGCATGTCTCACTCGCACGCCGTGTCCCTCTCTCACTCTCGCATACGCCCCAAAAGCGGCCCCATGAGCGTCACACTTATCAGCGCCTCAAATTTCACTTGTGCTAATCTCTTGTGTGGCTCTTTTCGGACGGAAGTCTCTGAGTGTACGTTCGCCATTCGCAAATGATGACCACCAAAACACACTCTGGACGCGGAAATCAATAAATCAATCCTCTCCCGATCTGCTAAGGAATTTCTCTATATATAGAGGAATTTCAAGAGAGGGTCCAAGGGTCAACTATGCAGCGCTGTGCATGGGAACTGTGATGTGACTGAGGAAGATAGCGATCGTTGTGCGTCTTCTCTATATTTTCATCACAAAAACATCGGAAGCGGCGATGATGAAAAAACAGAAACTGGCTGATTAAGGAGTTTATTATCTCTAAAATAAAACAAATGATGATGCAATTGAGTTATGGAAGAAAAAAAAAAACCTACAAGGTTTCTAGCACAAACTGCTTGATGCGGAGAATCTCGGCGGATCACTTCTTGTGGCTTGTCGCGCCACAACCAAAAACACAAAATCCACTATCAATGAGGAAACGATTCTGACGTGCGCAGAAAAAAATCTTCCTGAATCAGCACGAACAATGAAAAATGTAAAGGTATAAAAGATTGAGGGTTGTCGGGAGAATCACTTTGGGTTAATTGTGGAACTTGAGGTGGGTTAAACATTGTGTAGAAAGTGTTCTGATTTATTTATTCTAATGGTCCATGGCATGTTTGTGTTTTTCATCGCAGGAGAAGTCTAGATTTCTCACGGACGTCCTAAAACAGCCAATAAAGTTCCATGACGGTCACATTTAATCAGTCTTTCTATAGATATAAAGGTGCATGATAGAGTAGAAAGCCGCAGTTCAAGATCGCGCGCAGAGCATCATGAGAGACGCTGTGCTCATGTTCATTGCTATTGAGTTGTTGTTCTGCTTCTTGGAAGTCAAATGCGGTCAAGGATGGCGCTTTCCCGACGACAGGAAAACAATCAAAGACTTGGAGAAGTCATCTGAGACTGAAGATAAGTCTTATGGCTATAGAATAATCATCCCAGATCTACCAACAACTTCTGCATCTGCTAAATCAACAGTTGATGCAGAATCATCAAAATCCACTACCAGCAGTTCAATGATGTCCTCAACAACATTGAGTACAATTGAGTCTTCAACAATCACTTCTTCAGTGTCACCATTGACAACAACTTCTGCAACCACAAGCAAAGTGTCTTCAACGACATCAAGTTCAACAACTGAGTCTTCAACAACCACTTCTTCAGTGTCTCCATCGACAACAACAACTTCCACAGCAACGAGCACAAGTACCCCAAAGACTTCAAGTACAACAACTACTTCTTCTCCAGCGACAACAACAACAATTACATCTGAGCCTTCGCCACTGACTTCTCCAATGTCTTCAACCACAACAACTTCTTCAACTACAAGTACTACCTCTTCAACGACATCGGGACCCTTCTTTTTGTCTCTACCAAGTGCAGTGGATGAGAGAGATTCCATCATCTTCCCTTCGGATGAGCGGCCAATGTATCAACACGGTCCTGGCATTCGCTCAAGAAGTGAGCTCAGCCACTTCAGAGGTCGCAACACACACTGGCGCGCCCACAACGACGCTAGATTCCATTCGCGAGACGACCAGAAGCCATGGACGCCCAGGCCGGTGCAGCAGGAGCAGCCCAACACGAGTGGCGTTGGTCTCATAGATCCCAGAAGTCTCAACTTTGTCGATGAGGAAGAGCCGGACAAGTCCAGGGACAAGTGCGAATGCAGATGTCCTGATCCGAACACCTTCAGGCCGCCGAGATATCAAGAAGATCCCTATTCTCCTTATGCACACGAGTACGGTAATCGTCGGCGCATGCACCATTTCCATCACTCTCCACATTTGTACTGATAAGCCCCCTGTCTTTTTGGCCATCACGCGTAATCGCCCCGAAGTAGACAGAATGTTGGGCGCGGGCATTCAAACGCCAAACGCTCGTTAAGTTTCCGTTTTTTTTTGGTTTTCTGTACAAAGAGGGGAAAAGCCTAGAAGTCATCGGTCTTGACGACGATCTGCTTCTCGAGCTGCGCCAGCTCTTCGGCCGCCGATGCGACCTCCTTGTATGCCGAGTGCCTCTTCAGCTCGGCCTTGATCATGGCCGTGATGGAGGCACCGATGACTAGAAGCACCGTGAAGGCCAGATTGCCAGCCAAATCGCCGAGTGTGTCGTGAATGCGCGAGATGATGATGGTGAAGAGAACGCCAAAGATGTGCGTGGAGATGTTCATGATGCCCGCCACGGGACCCTCGGGCTCGGGATAGGTCAGCTCAGCAGCCAGCTCATGAAGAATCTGCGAGGCGAGAAGGAATTCTGTTACAATTAAAATATATGAAATCTATGAGATTGATAAGAAATTTAACCGTATACTTATTTCTGTTAATCAACATGTAGAGTTTTTAGATGATATAATCAATGTATATAATGCTTACCCCATGAGAATCGATGCGACGTAGAGAAGCTTCTTGTCTCTGCTTTCCAGCGACAGAGAGAACACGAGAACGGTGAGAGCGGAAATGCCATAAACCCAGACAGCAGTCTTTCTGTACTCATGCCAAGTGTCCATGATGAAGCCAAACACCACGGATCCCACCAAGCTGGTCCCAATGATTGCCGCTCCAATCTATCCAGCGTCTTTTTCGCTGTCCTGGGGCAGTGCGCCGCCGATCATTGCCGAGATGGGGAACGGTACAGTATCCGACAGTGCCTCCAGAGCTGGATCATCCTGCGCCAGCTGCAGTGAACTCCATGAAATGTCAATGGTGAAGCTCGCCTCCAGGGAATCCCTAGATCATGAGCTCGAAGCACTCAGGAAACCAGAAAAAGTGGAGGATCGATAGATCACACACGAGAATTTATCTTGCTATACAGATCACAATAAAGAAAATTATATAATTTTATACAAGGCGGGCTGTCCGGGCTGTCACTGTATGTTGGCTGAGGTGTTGTTCATCTTCTCCGCTTGCTGGATTGTGTCTGGAAGCTTGGCGTTCAGCGTCTCGGGCGCCTGGAGGATTAGGGCGCCAGCAGTGAGGGCTGTTCCACAGAACAACACCATGGGCAGGGATTTTGAGAATTTGGCCTGGGAAGAGAGTGAGAAAGAGCAAATTAAGACCAGATCATCAGAATCTATAAATTGTCTTACTAGAAGTGGAGTTTGAGGAGCGACTGCCGCTCCAATTCGTCCAACTGTTGAGCAGAAGGAGAGTAGACTGCTTCTCAGCTCTGTGGGGAAGATCTCTGTCGTGTAGAGGTAGATGCTGGTGAAGGAGATTGTGATCCCGAAGCGTCCAATGAGGAACATGACGAGTCTTAAGGTAGTATGATCAGCGCCTATGAAGATGACAGATAAACATGCAATTCCACTGACAAGGAAGGAACTGCACAGCGTCCATCTTCGTCCTATCCTGTCCAGGACGAGGTAGCTGACGATGAAGGATGGTATCTCGATGAGGCATCCCAGAATGAAGCTCGTGTGGATGTCATCGCCAAAGGACGCGGAATTGATCACGAGTCCGTAGTAGACGAAGGTGTTGGTGATCCAGCAGAAGGAGCAGATCGCCAAGCGGATGAGCAGTGCTGATGAGCTGAAGATGCTGGCGATGGGATAGGACTTTTTCTTCTTCTTCGCCACCGGATTGACCTTTCCCGGCACATTGCCGTGCAGAATGGCGATGGTTTCTTCGGAGAGCAGCACATTGTTCCTCTTGGCGGCCTTGCGAATGATCTTGCTCGCCTCATCCTGACGACCCATCGTCAGGAGCCACCGGACACTCTCAGGAATGAGCCAGAAATAAGCCACCACAAGAAGGCATGGGAAGTACAGCCATCTCAGCATATCGCGCCAATAGTCCTATAACAAAGCAGATAACACTTGATGGGTTTTTTCGGCATTGTCGCTAAGCAGATTATTATAGAGTTTAGGCAGTAATATATTTCACTGCCCAAATGGGTCAAGATTACATCCCAATAATCATGCAAAAATGTTTGCCTTCCCTACAATCATAGTTGATGGTCTTGAAAAATTCTCGGAGATCCAGTGATCTTGACATATTTAACAGTGTCCATTTAAGAATTTGTGCTTCTAATGCGCAACTCTTAAAACCCGCGGTTAATATGGAAACTGTGTATGAGAATTTGATCAATAAAATCATATTTTTTAAGGGTTTTCATTCATTTTTGTTAGGATGAACCCAGTGAAGAATTGTGCTTTCTACGTTAAAGAAGTGCTGCTCTAAGATGCACTTCTACTGATAATCCGCAATAGCTTGCAGCAATAAATTTTCTTCAGCTGTCCTAGTAGAGAGGACTCCGGTTGTTATGTAATTGTGAAGAAAAGCAAACAGAAAAGACAGATAATTGCGCACTTGGACTTCCTATATCGCCGGGGAACTCTTATATCGAGTGTCACTGTCCCGAGATCAGAGAGCTGTCGTTGAACCTTATCACTCCCATGTACGTGGCTTATCTGGCTTATCCACTAACCTGCCAGAGTGCAACGAGGCCCAGGATTGCCCCTCCGGATGTGTAGAAGCTGTTGATGAAGAGCGTGCCGAAGGCCCTCTTGCTGGGCCCCACCAATTCCATGCCCAGCACATAGCCACACGCGTAGATGCCCGATCCGAGGGCCATCTCCAGGAACTCGAACAGCACCAGCATCGAGTAGCTGCTGGAGAAGGACTTGATGATGCCACAGAGGCCACAGCACAGTGTGGAGAGGATGAAGGCTGCCTTGCGACCGAAGCGATCGGAGAAGAAGCCCGTGATGGGCAGTGCGATGAACTGTCCAATGTTCGCCATGGTGCCGACAAAAGCCAGCTTCCACTCGTTCTCAGTGCAGGTCAAGTTCCACTCACTCACGATCGTCTTCTTTCTGCTGTCGAAGATGAAGTCGGTACAGGGAATGGACAAGTCACGATCGAAGTTTGTGGCATCACAGCTGACCTGAGAGCTGTTAACCACACCAAAGCGATTGCATCTCGAGAAGGTGCCATCAATTTGTGGAATGGAGAACTCCAAAAGAGTCCTGTTGGTGATGAAACCCGATCCTGGTGGTTCACACTCCTCAATGCGACAGCGATAGTTGATGTCCGCGGCTGAGAAGACATAGCTGAAGCCATAGACTGGCGGCAGCAGCACCACCAGTGAGATGAGGATGTAGTTCTTGAGTTGAAACACCCCAAAGTCACCCAACTCCTGCAGCACTTTGTCCCACTTGCCCTCCTCGCGACTCATGACGAGTGATCCAGCACAGATCTCAGCACTGACTGATGAACGCCTGCGACCCGAGGAGCTCTGGCCAACGGGCTTATCAAGATCTGCCGCTGTCGCATCGAATTTGTGTACGCATGCTAAGCAGTCTGCCAGTGATAGTGAGGAGTCATCCAGCAATCAGAGATGCATTAAAAAATCCCGCCACAAGTCTCGGCTCTTCTTCCCTGTTTGCTCATTGCGCTTATTGCCATCTAATTGCGTAGTCAATTGTCGCCCACGAGCAATTACCGCCGCAGGATTTATCTATCACTAAGTCTCTGTTATTAACCCATTTAGGGTTGCGCTCTCCAGCCGCCGCCGCCGGAGGAAATTTATCAAATTGGACTATTTATAGTCACAACTCTCGGCAGAAGTCAAGGGCGATATAGTCGCGCAATGCGGTGTACTATGACATGTATTTGTTTTGTCATGGCGCCAATTTGTTAGTTGACGATCATGTGGCCAATTGAATACTCCACTGACCTTATTTTTGTTATCGGATTGAACTTAGATTTGTTAGTGGTCGTTTGTGTGTTTGTAAACAATTCGTTCAATATATAGTTTTTTCCCCCCATTTTTCATACAATTTCCGCTGGGAAATCATTGTAAAATAGTTATATTTAAGTATACTTTTGATTTTCCTTCCGAACACATGAAATCTTTGCGGTGTACATCTTCTCAAATGGTCACATTTTCCCTTGGTCGAATCATCTTCAATCTCTTCTCTGACACCCCAAAATGAAAATATTGATAAGACAACCAAAATTTTTCCAGTGAAACATCTCGCAATTATTTCGTTGGCAAGTTCAATATTGTGCTCGCTTTTTGGCGCATTATCACGCGCACTCATAATTGACAATATATTATTGGCAAAAAGGCGGTGGAAAAATGTTGTGATTGCGGCAGTTGAAGAAAAAAGAACAACAAAATTGCTCGTTAATCATCCCACAATTAATCTCAATTACATGGAAAGTCTGTGTCTGTGATTGACGTGTTGAAAATAGATGAAATTATGTGTATTTTTTGGTGAATGTTGCAGAATTTGGAAATGTGAAATATACTGCAATCTTCAGAGGTGTGCTATTTCTTATCAAAAACTCAAGTTTGGCTACTTGACTCTGGTCAGCAGTTAAGATATGTGCAATTTATGGACTTGACCCAGTTTTTCCCTCTGCGAAAAGCCATGAAAAACACAATTAACACTTCTATATTATCTATTTTACTCCCTCTGTCTCTCTCTTTTTCTCTCTAAAATATCAACAATACTTTGCAAGAATACCTGCTGTAAAAACGACACAACAAATGTGACTGAAGGCACAGTGATTATTGTACATAATTTCTCATCTCTCCTGTCTTTCCTCCCTTCGTCTGATCTTGCTCCAGCACACACCAAACAGACCTCTTGAGTTGGCGCCAATCTTTTCAGCCTCTTGAACTGTGTCCGGAAGTGTGGTGTTCAGCGTTTCCGGATACTGCAGAATGATCAGGGAAGAGATGAAGGCTGTGCTGAAGAATAGCGTCATTGGCAAGAATTCCACGTACTTTCCCTGCAAACAACAACAAAAAAAGGCAATTGCAGATGATTGGAATTTTCCTAAACAACCATAGCCAATAAATCATCCTTAATTCTGTCAAGAGTTATATGAACTTTTATCTCTCGATGTGACTCTGATTGCCTTAATTTGTGTGACTGATAGTAGCTGAGGTACACAGTATTTACCTCGGCATTACGACACTTTTTGGAATACCCAGATAATGGCACACTTCCCCATTCATACCTATTCCAGAGGAGAGAAGTACTTGATGAAGAGTCTTTGTAGATTCAAAGAACTTATTATCTCTCCATTTTTTTGGGCAATTCAACTCACCAGAAGCGGCGTTTGTGGAGCAACTATTCCTCCCAGTCTTCCCATCATGGAGCAGAATGCCATCAGACTGTGTCGCAGTTCCGTGGGGAAGAGTTCATTGGTGAAGAGGTAGAGTGTCGTGAAGGACACTGTGATACTGAATTTACCAGTGAGAAAGAGCACCAGCTTGACAGCTTCCACTCCTTCAGTGGGCAGGAAGAGTTGCGCTAGACACGACAGACCAGCTATCAGCAGTGATATGCTCAGTGTGATCCTCCTTCCGGCTCTGTCCACTATCAGATAGCAGATGACGAAGGCGGGCAGCTCGATGAGGCAGATCAGGATGAAGTTGACGTACTTGTCGCCGCCGATGGCCACGGAATTCAGCACCAGGCCGTAGTACACGAAGGCGTTGGTCATCCAGACGAAAGAGCACGTGGCGAGGCGCCACAGGAGAATTGGCGAATGGCACACAGTGCGCAGCGGATAAGGATTCTTCGGAGAGGCTTCTGCGTCCAGCTCAGTTGGTAGTCTGTCCGATCCCGCCACTTTCTCGTCCAGCACCTTCTGTGACTCCTCAGACAGCGTGACTCTGTTCACCTTGGCGACTTTCTTGATCAGCCGACGCGCCCTGTGAAAGCGCCCCGACGCCAAGAGCCAGCGCAGACTCTCCGGCATGATCCAGAAGTAGAGGATGAGCAACAGAGCTGGAGAATACGCCCATCTGTCAATTAATACGCACAATATGGTGTTGTTAATTGAAATAGCCGAATTCGCACTCATTCTGTCAATGGCGAATTTATTAAACCCAGCATTGTAATTGATTTCAATTCCCTTTTTTCTGCCGAAATAAGAGTTCATCGTCCATGGATTGAAAACAATTTACAGACTGTAAATTCATTAGAGACAATCATGTTGGTACTTTTCCGTCAACATGTCAATGATCTTCATGTTTTTAATCAATTTTTCTGTGCAATTGTATATAATTCGTATGCTTCAAATACGCAAAATAATATGTCTGGACAGTTTTCTTGATTAAATTAAGTGGGAAGCAACTGTGTAACATTTAAAAAGGTCTTAGGTTTTTGCAACACTTTGTAAAAGAGTACCTTATCATGCTCCTCCAGTCTTTGGTCCACATGGCGATGAGTCCGTAGAATGCTTGGCCGAGAGCGTAAGTGCTGGTCATAATGACGCCGCCGAGGAGTCTCTTGGAGGCTCCCACAGCCTCCATTCCGTACACGAAGCAGGCGCTGTAGGCGCCAGATCCGAGGCCGGACTCCAGAAGCTCCACGGTGAGGAACATTGGATAATTCACCGAGAAGGACTTGATGATGCCAAAGACCCCACTGATGATGGTTCCCACCGTCAGGGCTGTCTTGCGGCCGAAGCGGTCGGAGATGAAACCTGTGATGGGCAGTGCAATGAACTGGCCCACATTGTTGATCGTCCCCACCAGAGACATCTTCCACTCGTTGGCCGGACAGGTCAAATCCCACTCGCTAACGATGGTGTGCTCCGGACCGGCGAAGATGAACTCACTGCAGTCCACCTCTTGGCTGTGGTCGAAGCTGGAGGATGAGCACTCGCTGGTGGTGTTGATGTGGGCGAAGCGCTTGCAGGACTCCTGGCCAGGCGGCAGAGCGTAGTCCAAGAATGGGTCGTTGGAGTCAAATGGCGCGTCCGGAGGCTCACACTCGCTGATGTGACAGCGATAATCTACTTCGGCGGCGGTGAAGATGAAGTTGAGGGTGTACATGTTGCCGAGGAAGATGGGCAGGAAGAGGAGGACGTAGATGAAGATCTGGAAGCGACCGAATTCACCCAACTCATCGAGAATGCCCGCGAAACTGGGCTCATCACTAGCGCGCTTTTGCGTCTTCTCCGACATTGCGATGCTGCCTTGGTGAGAACTCCACCAGCACTGACTCTCCTCTCCAGAACACCCAAGAGAGTCTCCACATCACGCACAGTCGAGTGCAGTTAACGATCTCTCCCTCAATTGGCGGGAGAAAAAACAACACTCGTGAATTGATAAAAAAAAGCGTGGGTTTCAATATAAATTTTTATCAATTGTCCATATCAGACGCACTGCGATTGCGTGAAACATACCGCAAAATTTTCCACTCACCCGTGGCATCTTCGAGAGCAAAACAACTTTCTTCGAGACCATCTTCACAGATAAACCCACCTAAGACGGCCATAAGGTTCAGGGTCACGCACTCCTTACACCGCGAGAAGTCTTGCCAGAGGAAAGAGTGGAAAGTTTTTTTTCCACCCAAAAGATTGACATGATGGCAAAAGTGCTATGCAAATATTTGGATTAAATTCCTCCACGCACTACTATTTTTATTCCATCTGTGATATCGCGCGAGCTTCCTTATGTACAAGCTGATAAAGCGCCTCGCCGTGTGTAAAATTGATATTTCGCCGGAAAACGTGAGACACCGAAAGTGCATTGTTTGGAAGCACGTGCGCTCAAGGTGCCGAAATGCGAGGTAATTTGTATACAAATGTAGGTAAATAATTGTTGACTTTATCTGTGACTAAAACGTGGAGTGGAAGAAATGATTTGTCAAGCATGGAAAATTGGCTTTTTTCCTCCCCATCAGAAGTGCTGTGGAGCGTAAACCATCAAATTGGGCAAACAAATCGTGTTTTATCATTGGCGTTTGTTAGCGTGATAAGAGTGATTTCCCGCGGAAAAAGAGCCCAAATCAAGTGGGAGGAAATATTCGCTAGATGAGCTTAAAAGCTCTTCGTTAACCCTAAACGATCTCTTATATCGAAAATATATTACATTTTGCCATAATTTTAACACCAAGAAATATAGAAAGATTCAAAATTATGGAAGATTTTCTATCAATTGAGAGTATTTCGGTGACTATAATAAATTAACTGAACTTTTTGTTTGAGGCTTTGAAAGTGCGATGATGACACTGAAAAGGATTCAGGAACTAATTTGTAATGGTGAAAACACAGCATTTGTAATTTGTAATTTGTCCGCGATCATCTCTTTCTTCCCCTCGCGTTTCGTGTATTTTCTTTCCTACTCTGTCAGCGTCCGACTCTGACATGTCGAGACAGCCACTGTGCGAGTAGGAAGGAAAATACACGAAACGCGAGGGGAAGAAAGAGATGATCGTGGACAAATTACAAATTACAAATGCTGTGTTTTCACCATAAGGGAAACTTGCAGAATTGAGTAAAACAACCATTCCAGAGAGGTTGTTGAACTTCAAAATTTATAGTCTCAACAATATAATTAAAATGGCAAGAAAGGAATTTGATTATTTTATTATGTCGTGAAATCTCTCTTTGCGATAAAGCTGATAAAGTGCATTGTTGCACTAGAGTTTGCACTACTGTGAAGTGCAATTGGTGCAACTAATGCAGCTGACAATTGAATCAGCACGTGCCTGTGGAAATCACATTGTTTCTTATCAAAATCTCGTGTTTATTTACAATTTCGTAGCATTTCATATCACTTTCCAATGTCTTCGGCTTCTTGAAGGGTGTCTGGTAGTGTTTTGTTGAGTGTTTCCGGCGCGAACATGATGAGGATGCCAGAGGAGATGGCCATTGTGGCGAACAGGATCATCGGCAGGGATTCAACGTACTTGCCCTGATTGTGAGAGACGCAATGTTATAAAGGATCTGTGAGAAAAGAGATGTGCAGCAATTCTTACCAGGAGCGGCGTGAAGGGCGCCACAATGGAGCCCAGGCGGCCGAACATTGAGCACGCGGCCAGAAGAGTGTGTCGGAGTTCCGTGGGGAAGAGTTCGGCCGTGTAGACGTAGATGGCGATGAAGGACATGCTGATGTTGAGCTTCCCGAACAGGAACACGGTCAAGTTGGTCCACTCGGGAGCGCCGGAGAGAAAGATGAAGCCAATGCACGCCAGACCACTGAGGATCAGACTGATGCAGAGAATTGGACGTCGTCCAATTCTGTCCATGAGCAGACAACAGAGAGCCGCGCCGGGGATTTCAATCAGACACGTCATGATGAAGTTGATGTACTTGTCACCGGCCACAGTCACGCTGTTCATGCTCATGCCGTAGAAGACGAAGCACACGGCGATCCAGCAGAAGGAGCAGTTGAGGATGCGCAGGAGAAGTGTCCGTGACCGCAGTGCTGACATCAGGCGGTACTCCTTCACTTCGGCCTCCGCCTCCTTCTCATTCTCCACATCGCTGTCCTTGAGAGCCTGCAGCAGCATCTTCTGCGCCTCTGGCGTCAAATCGCTCTTGTTCATCTTTGCCGCCTTGTCGATGATCTTGGCCGCTTCCTTTGGGCGATTCATGTTGAGCAGCCAGCGAGCACTCTCCGGAATGAGCCAGCGATAGATGAGGAAGATGAAGGTCGGCGCGTAGGCCACCCACATCAGCAGACGCCAATCTCTGGTCAGCATGGCCAGGAGGCCCAGAAGAGCTTCACCCAGAGCGTAGAAGACATTGATGAAAAACGCCCCCAGAACTCTCCTCTCCGGGCCGACAAGTTCCATTCCTGAAGGATAAGAAATAGATGAGGATGACTCAACATCAAAGAGAAGATCATCGTTATCGATTGATGACATTATCAAAAGAAGACATTTTTCATTGAGTATTTGCACGGTTGCAAAACAATTTGAGGTGAAGTGAAAAGCGCAAAATAAAGTGATTTATTGATTTGTGAATGAAAATCCTCATTTATCGACAGATATATTGTTTGGAATTTCTACATCGAAGTGAGGATTAAATCTGTGTTTTAGCACAATTTGAGAGGGTGAATATTATTTTTGTTTTTCAGAAAATCGCCAATGAAAAACTTCCCTCTTCCCAATTTACAGTCGCACGAGCTTTGGTTCTTATCGATGGGCATTGAGCTCTGTTGTGAAACTACACAAATTCAAGAGTGTATCTTCGAGAGGCACTTGAGATGTTTCGGATTCCCCACAGAGCCGGAAAAGTGCGACTTAGTGGATGAAAGACAGGGTCTAGAGGCATCACACTTTGCACTTAATCAATCATCAGTCCAACACACAAGTTCAAGCTTTGGCGTGATAAGATGAGTCGCGCGAAGATGCCAAGATTAGACGCCTTACCGAGAATGAAGCCTGCACTGTAGACTCCGGCACTGAGGGCTGGTTCCAGGAACTCAAACACTATGAACATGACGTAGTTGGGCGAGAAGGAGCGAATGATGCCCATGGTGGCGGCGAAGAAGTTGCCGAGAATGAAGGCTGTTCGCCTGCCGAAGCGATCTGAAAAGTAACCAGTCAGTGGCAGACAGACAAACTGGCCGACATTGTTAATTGTCCCGACCAGGGAAAGCTTCCACTCCTCGCTGCAGCCCAAATTCCACTCGCTGAGGATTGTCGTCTCGTCGTTCTGATAGACGAACTCCTCGCAATTCTCCAGGCGCGAGCGATCGAAGAGATCGGCTTGGCATTGATCCTCGATGGTGGCATTTGGTGTGTGGTGAAATTTCTCACACATGGAGAATCTGTCGCCATCCATTGGCGTGGTGAAGCTGAGGAAGTCAGGCTTCAACTCGGGCTCTTCAGTGTCACAGCTGGGGATTCGGCAGCGATAGTCGAGATCGCCAGCCGTGAAGACGAAGGTGAGCGTGTACATGGCGGTCAAGGCGATGGGCAGGCAAATCAGGAGGTAATTTATCAGCTGAAATTTCCCAAATGGTCCTATTTGCTTGATCAGCAAATCCAGATCGAACTTCTTTCCCTCTTCAACCGACATTTTGCCTCTGAACTGAAGGTGTTTTTCGCACACGATTCGTTCCGCGTTCCACGAGCAACTGTATTTGCGACTGTCTTCGAGGAGGAACTCAAGCTATCAATTATCTCAAGTGATAAAACATCCCACCTGATTTATCATCGCGCTTTGAGCATTTCTTGATGAGAGACACTGAAGGATGGCGCGCGGGGGAACGCGTCACACGGCGACTTTGGCCTTCTCTTGTGAGGTCAAGCCGCGTGTTTTGGATAAAATGAGAAAGTGAGAGTATGTTGAGAACACTCAGAGGAAGAGCAGAATGTCACATCAGATTAGTCAATTGTATATTATCGCTCGTGACAGAGAATTTTCAACAACTCAAGTGCTTAAGAGCGATTTTTTTCTGCGATGCGCGATAAGAATGGCTCAGCCTTTCGATGGCCAGTGAGACAGAGAGACAAAAAAGCCAGTTTGACAATCCATCACAATCGACGGTAATTTACTGCATGCAAGAAGCCTGAATGATAGCGTGTCTTTGAGGGATTTCTGGATTTCCTCCGCCTGTGAGTTCGCCATTCATTGCGTTCACTGTTGGCGGGAAAGGCGCGCGACACACACGTTTTCGCGCCATTTTATAGCACACGTGCGCGCACCTGCCGGCATGCCATAAAAATCGCCGAGTCGCAGCGCGCGCGCCCTCTTTGTCGCTGAGTTGTGTGGTGTGTTTTGTGTGTTGTCTAAATATGGCGGATGTTCTGCGTGCGGTAAATGTTTATAATATCGACAGTGCGGGCAAATTAGTCGATCGGTTTAATACGTCAACAATATTTGTTATATGTAGCTACGACCCCCAAGGCTTAAGTGTTAAAATTGTCCCGGGTGAGTGGGCAGAGGGTGAAAATGGGGCCGCAAATTGTCCGGCCCACTTTGACAGTGCGCTGCGGCGTCTGGGCCTTTGTGTGCAGAATTTCTGCGAGGAGGCATGGACGGAAGCGTGTTGATGGGCGAGACGCGGCTGTGCGTGTGTTGGTGAGCCGCGAGGTGCTGTATTTTGGGCCACAGAACGTGGAAAATCCCCGAAATCACCGCGCGCGCGACCTTGATTGCCGGCTCAAGCGAAATGCGCGCCTCTTGTTTGGAGGGGGCGGCAGCCCAGGATGACCACAACTAATACCTATTCTTTCCCATCTCATCCCCTTCCACAGAGTACGATGAGAGCCACAGCTTCGAGTTCCCCGTCAAGGCGACCACGGACACGGCCCGCATGGGCACTCGTGGGCAGATTGTGTCGCTGCCGGATGAAAATTTCTGCATAGTGTTCAGCGCGGACTCAGGTCTCGGCGGCCGTTCAGCCAACCGGCCAACGTGTCACACTCACGGAATCCCTCTTTGCAGACATCCGTAAGTTCCGAGAGCTGATCAACGGGGTGAAAGGCCGGCGCGCCAATTCAGTATTCTCCCAGCGAACGGAGGAGTCCTCCGCCAATCAATATTTCCAGTTCTACGGCTACCTCAGCCAGCAGCAGAACATGATGCAGGACTTCGTGCGGACGAGCACCTACCAGAAGGCAATCCACAGCAATATCAACGACTTTCACGTAAGCTCATTAAGGCGCTCCGTGGCCTGTGACGCCCACGCGAGGACGCGATTTGGGGGCGTCTTTTTGGCGGCGAAGGGCGCACGAAGGGCGGCTTATCGCTCCAGAGCGAATAATAGCAAAGAATCGAGAGGAATGGCAGAGCGCGCATGCCATGGAAGAGTGTCGCAAGGCATTGTGACTCGCGTTTTTCCAAATATATGTATTTTATTTTCTCTCTCATTTCGGAAGACAAATTGAAAAGATGAATTGAAATGTGAAAATTGTTTATTTAGAAGAAAAACAAAAAACATGCGACACTTTGACAGGCGATGCGCCATCTTCGTTTCATTGACGCCGATTTGCCGAACGCGGAAAAAGTGCACAATTATCTCTGCTCCGGGGCGCAATTAGCGCTCTCTGAGGAGGAGAGTCACGCCAGGGCCAAGAGTCGATGGCCGGCGCGAGTGACACGCTGTCTCTCTCTCTCTCTCTCTCCGCAGAACAAGATAGTATTAGACGTGGGCGCCGGCTCGGGCATCCTGTCCTTCTTCGCGGTGCAGGCGGGCGCGCAGCTGGTGTACGCGGTGGAGGCGAGCAACATGGCGCAGTACGCCGAGACGCTGGTGAGCGCCAACCACCTGTCGGAGAAGATTGTGGTGATAGCGGGCAAGATCGAGGAGATCGACCTGCCGCAGGAGGTGGACGTGATCATCTCGGAGCCAATGGGCTACATGCTGTACAACGAACGCATGCTGGAGACTTACTTGCACGCGCGCAAGTGGCTGAAGCCGGGCGGCAAGATGTTCCCGTCGCGCGGTGATCTGCACGTGGCGCCGTTCACGGACGAGGCGCTCTATCTGGAGCAGTTCAACAAGGCGAGCTTCTGGTACCAGACCAGCTTCCACGGCGTCGATCTCAGTCGCATCCGGACGGCCGCCATGAAGGTGAGAACGTCGCCTGGAATCTTGCTCAAAATCAGCTAGATTGGCATCCTCTTTTTGCTCTTCTGCAACACTAACGAGACACTCTTCTTTGACCAGGAGTACTTCCGTCAGCCCATCGTCGACACGTTCGACATACGGATTTGCATGGCTAAGTCCGTGCGCCACGTGGTGGACTTCCTCACCGCCGAAGAGACTGACTTGCACCGCATTGATATTCCGCTGGAGTTCCACATCCTGGAGACGGGCACGTGCCACGGGCTGGCCTTCTGGTTTGATGTGGCCTTCATCGGCTCCACGCAGCAGATCTGGCTGTCCACGTCGCCCACGGAGCCGCTGACGCACTGGTATCAGGTGCGCTGTCTGCTGCAGGCACCGATCTTCGCCAAGGAGGGCCAAATGCTCACCGGACGCGTCCTGCTCAGCGCCAACAATCGCCAGAGCTACGATGTGACGATGGAGCTGAAGCTCGAGGGCACCTCTGTGGCGTCCAGCAACACGTTTGACCTCAAGAATCCCTATTTCCGCTACACGGGCGCCACGGCGCCGCCGCCGCCCGGCAACAACACCACCTCGCCGTCGGAGGCCTTCTGGACGCAACTGGACGCCCAGGGTGCCCGCAATGCCGTCAATCTGGTCAACGGCATCTCCGTGAATGGCCTGGGCGAGGCGTCGATGGACATCGGCCAGCCCATGCTCAACACCAATCTCATCGGCCTGGGTGAGTTTTTTTTCTTTTCTTTTCTTTTCCCCGCAAATCATTCCTTTCTGGGGAATTCTCAGGACTTCTTGGACACTAAAGCATGCCAAGAAGTCCTTACATTGTCTTCAGAAAGATCAGTTCAATTGAATTTGAATTCCGAGATGTCTTAATGTCGTGAAGGCCAATTATTTGAAAGGACCTAGTTCACTGGGACTAGGATCCTGCATGTCTGTATCAATCTGACCCCAAAATCTGCTGGGCGTAACATCGTTACAGTTGCGATTATTAAAAAAAAAAAATGGATTTGTCTCAAGCTTTTCATATTCCTAATTCGAATTTAGCACAAAATCGTAAAGTTACGGGTTCGATTCTCCTTCAGTTGTGATTTTTTTCACATCTCCTTTTTGAGTATTTTCCTTCACTTTATCGCTTTATATCGACATTTTTCCCTAAATCTTCGCATAAAACTCTTTCTAAACACTAAATATAATATTTCTCTTCATGAATTATCTCTAATAACGCCATCTGACGCTCAGAATAGCTTTTATTTCACTTTGTTTTTATCCCTAACATTCTTTTTAATGCTTTAACGTCAATCCTCAGACTTAAAATTGAATTATTGATTTGTTGCCCTTGAAATGGTGAAAATCTAATCTCAGCATGTTATATTTATCACTAAACAAATCCATAAATCATGAGCTTGATGAAGCTCTAAATATATATAAATTGGCAATTGATTTCGAAAGCTTTTGCTGATCATTTCCCAAAAGGGGAGGCAAAAATCTGTCAATGCAATTGAGAATTTATTTGTGATTGAAATTAATCAAGAATTATATTGTTTTATCTCTTGATTGTTGTTGAAAGCCAAGCAAAAGAGAAATTCGATACTTTTTGCCATGTTTAGACTATGAAAATGACTTTTCATTCATGACTCGTTTTTTTGCAATGTCCTTTTAGAGAGTATTTCTGAGTTCTTGTTTATTTCCACACGCGTTTCTCGTGCGCGTGTTGTGCTGGGAAATGTCAATTTTGGTGTTTGCTGGGCGAAAATGAATCGTTGCAATTCATGTGCGCGTTTATTCAGTGGTTGAATTGAGAAGGAAGTGGACAGAAAAAAGGGTGGAAAATGTTGCTTTTCTATCTAATTTCCTGCAATATTTTCTGGCGAAGAGGCAAAATTAAGCGATTCAGTGTTAAATTTAACTAAAAAAAACTCTTTAACCAGAAAAGTATCTTTTTTCATATAATTCATTTGTAAATTGTGTTTTTGCTCTGGATTCTTTTTATGTATTGATATCAAAAGAAATTTCCATGAGTAAAGTTTTCCTGTATCTATTCAAAACGGGAGGAATTCTTGTGAGTTATGATTATTTGGGTGTCTTTTCATTAAAATGTGAAAACTTAACTTGAAGTCTCTTTTCATTAGCTCTCTCTCTAGCTAGAATGAAAAGTCTCTAGAGAGTGTGTAAAGAGTCATTTGCTCGATGAGTTTCTCTTCCGGTGAAACACTGAAAAGGAGTGAAGAAGATTTAAAGCAAAGTATGAGGAAGTAAGACAGTGTGTAAGTTTGAATAATTTGGAGATAGTTTAAAAAGTAGTGTGAATTTGAGAGAAGTTGTAGTGAAAAGTCTTTTCATAGCATACATAATTAAAATCTGTTATATATTTAATTATACTGCTCGTTGCAAAATTACAGATTTCATATTTCAATTCGTAAAATTTATGAATTCAATGTTGCAAACTTGACGCTTTTCGTAGCTCATATTGACGACCAAAAATACTTCTCAATGCTCTGTAAATGCAATTAGTTTCCTGGGAAAGAATCGAATGATGTCCGGAAACACATAACCTCAATTTGGTGCATTGAAATGTGCACAAATGGTCAGAAAAATCCAATAAATATGTGATTATTTACATAAAAATGACATTATTGTCAATTTCCTTATTTTTAGCGTGAATTTTCTACCTGTTCTTGTCAATTGACGTCAAAAGTCAACGTTTGAAACATTTGAAGCCTCGCAGAAGATAAATTCACCACATTCGTATATTATACTAATCGTAATCTTATTAAAATTGTATTAACGTAAAGTTGCAACGAGCGGTAGATTTAAATTGTTCTCTCTTCCTTGGCTGGATGAACATAAGAAGTTTAATTGATTCTTTATAGAGTCACTGGAAGTAGAAGAGATTAATTTTACTATTGGAATAATTTCGTTAGAATTGCTTAAAGTGTTGAGAGATATTCAATGGGATCTCCTCTTGAAGTTATATGTTGTGTAAGCAATCATTGCTTTTAAGGGATGTGCAGGAAAAAGGGAAGCATTTTGCACTAATAGGATTTGCTGTGAATTGCTCTCGGGGTGTAGAGAGAGAGAGAGAGAGAGAGAGAGAGAGAGAGAAGAGGATGCAAGAGAAGTGATAATGTTAATTAAACAACTTTGCTGACACTGTTGCTCATCTGTTGCAGGCAATCAATCCAACATAATACATCCGGGATGCATTCCGAGCACGGGTCGAGTGCAGAATAACATGAACTCGGCGGGTGGCATGGCCAACACCCTCGGGACAGGCTATCTGCCGTCGTCCGTGTCGGCCGTTATGAATATGGTGGGCGGCAGTGGCAACAACTTCCTCTCCACGTCGTCACTGCAGCAGCAGAATCTAATTAATGGAGCTATCTATAGGCCGAAGTAGATAAGATGATGATGATGATGGAAGAAAGAAGAGCGGCATGTTTTCGTCGCGCGCGCGTTGCATTCTTCAGATGACAAGAAGGAGGATAAGAGATCATGAGAGATATAGATTGAATCACACACGCAGAACTTTCACAATGGACTAAAGAGAGAGAAAAAGAGCATTACTTATCTGCAAGGGTAATAAAAACTATTTTTCTTCACTTGTGGAGGAAAAAAAAAACTATCAGAAAATATTCATGATTATTCGCTGTAAACATGAGAGAAAAAGAAAAAGAGAGAGAATTTTGAGAGTTGTTGATGTAGGAAAAATCTCTGAAGGAAACACATTTATATAATTTTATTGAGATACACACGCGAATGTTGATGGCAAAGTCGGGAAGGAGGATGAGGAGGAAAGTGATGAAAAATGAGAAGAAGAAGAAGAAGAAAAAATTGTAGAAACTTTTAGGATTACAATTGCATAAATTATATCTAGGCGCATGTGTTTTTTTTTTAAATGAATGGAAAGTTATCAATTAGGGCATGTTTATTACAAATTTCTCGACATCATAATTGCTTTAGGATAACACACACACACACACACTCACACATTAATTTCCAAACTGATGAAAATATCACGCTCAATTCAAATTGCATGGAGAAAAAAAGAAAAACAAGAAGGAAATTTAAGCGTAAAATGACGGGAAAAATCTCTTAATAAAACCAACAAATGTTTTTTTCTATTCATTAGATTTGAAATGTATTTGAAAACAATTTAAGAAAGCAAAAAAACATCCTTCATTTATCAAACAATTTATGTTCTTCAAGAGTCTTTTTATGTTTAAATTTATGATTGACAAAAAACAAACCAAGGAATCAATTGTAAAGATGAAAAAGTGTGAGGAAATTTGGGAATCGAGTAGAAGAAAAAAAAATGCACGAAACATAAAAAGATTTATTATTATTAAATTATGTGGGAAAGAAAGAAAAGAGAAAATTTACTATGAAAATTTAACTTATCTTGTAGTGTAACTTTTTTTTCTCCCCCCTTTTTCACAAAGCCTTTCTCCCTTCGAAACTCCTTTAAAAAGAAGAAGAAAAAAAATGCAAAAGGCAAAAAAACAGAGAATAGATGATTTATGAAGAAACAAAAATTATATTGACAAAAAAAAATTGATGAAAGAGAGAAAAACATCGTATAAATTTTAAAAACTAAGTAATTTATTGAAGAACATTTCAAAATAAAGACATTCACAGAAGTGTGCAGCTCTAAACTTACCCCGACAGTGTTTTACTTACTCTTTTATTCCACCCTTCGCCACAAAATTGGTACATTTCTGTGCACGATTAATAAGAGATGATTGGCGTGTTTTGAATGGGCACGAACGCAAGGTGGAGATATTGTGGTCAGAAGTGGTGTACAATTCAGCAGAAGTGCTTAAGAAGTGAAAGTGCTTGAATATCATCAATATAATGCATTCAAAAGTAACTTTAAAAAGGAATTAATGCAATAATTGGAGAAAAAGAATTGTTTTTTGCAACTTTCTAGGTTATGTTATGAACTTAAGACGAACTTTTCCACTGAATAACCTTAAAAATCATTAAATCTGTTGAAGATCACAAATTTCTTAATGTTAATGGTAATTGCGCTAAGATTGAATCATAACCTCTAAAATACTGTTTCAGAATACAAAATTGCCTATTTTAAGGGCTTCTCAATTGAATTTCTACTCTAAATTAGCCAATTTTGTACAGTTTTCCCTTTAAAACATTCCAAATAAGTTTTATTTCTAGCATTCTTCTACATGTTTCATGAGAATTTTTAGGTTATGAACCAAAATTCATCTTAAATAGCGATTAAAAATTTAATTACATCAAAATATTTGCTGGAAACTTTTAAATGTTTCTTAAACACTGTTTTTCCGTAAATTTTTCGGGACTTACAAGTAAAAATAGCGTCTTTTTAGGTTAAAGACTCCTAAATTTGAGGTTATGAAACGCATAACCTCAAAAAACGCATGTTTTAAGCTCTGTCAAAGTTCTAGAAGTGTCTGTGAATCTGCACAGACATTGTGGAAGTGTCAGGAAGTGGTGTACACAGTTCAGCTGTATTATTTCCCCTTTGGGCGAACGTTAATTCCTCCAGCGCTGACAATTGGCGCAAATGGAGATGAATAATAATTATGAGCTCTGCGTCGCATTGAACTGACATGAATTGTGAAATGTGTTGACAATTCTCGCAGGATTTCCAATAATTCTGATGCCTGATGGGGAAATTAGGACAGATTATTGATCTAAATCGCCTTCTCCGGAAGGCTGTTCAATCGTCCAGTTGATGATGACCCAGGAAATTCAAACTAATTCATATGCATGGGAAAAATTTTTTAATTTACATTAATGAGTGTGATAAGTTTTTTTTTTATCTGAGGAGTTGTTGGGAAATGCATTCCAGATAAGACAGAGAGCGAGAGAGAGTATAAAAAGCAGTGACTTGAAGCAGTGCAATTTAGTTCTACAGCAAAGAAAAAGAAGAAAAAACACTCGAAATGGGATTAACAGACTTTCTCCAAATTCTCCTCACACTTCAACTGTTAGTGAGCAAGTCTGCAATTGTTTTCAGTGATGATCGGTGTGAAAAAGCCGATGAAGTTTGCAAATATCTGGATATTTCGGAGGAATGTTGTGAAATTTATAAGGCAAAAGTGTGCAAAATCAGGAAAATATTTGAAATTGGCTTGGAAACAAAGTGTGCTCTAAGAGCGGCTAAGAATCTGGCGGATAAAAATGACGAAGTGAGCAATCTTGCAAAAGTAATAAAAAATGAGGGTGAAAAGCAAAATCCTGATAGGATTGAAATAGATCAATTGGAGACACTTAAAGAAGGACAAGAGGAAAATACAGAATCGAACTCTTCACTGGATTTCCCTTCATCAGTTGATTTAAACCGTTCACGATTTAATGGGGAAAATTCTACTTGTGAATCTGGAAATATTGAATGTGAAAATCAACCAATTTTACAGGATAATCTCAATATTCCTGTGGAAAATTCAACTATTGAATTTGTTTCATCTGATAACGAGGAAAATATCACTTATTCTGAGCACGAATATGAGAACGATTTACCGGAAGAATATCCTGATATTCCACAAATTATTGCGCCTATAGAAGATTCAACTTGTGAATCAGGAAACATAGAATGTGAATTGCAAGAAGAAAATCTGCCAATTGTTCCGAAATTGTCGTCCGGACAAAATTTACCGTGCAAGACTGAAAGCCTAGAAAGTCAATCGACAGGAGAAAACGCACCTGAATTGATTAGTGATGCTGAATTGGAAGAACCAGAATATTCTTCATATTCTGATGAAGAGGAATATCCAGATTATCCTGGATATGAATATAATGATTATCCTGAGAATGAATATCATTATCCTGCATACAGATATTATCCTTGTCCAGAGCACTATAGGCAGTATTATCCTGTACAAAATTATCAATTTAATCCGGCGTATAGATATCGAGGTTATACTGATTTTTCTGCTTATCCTGATCTCAGAAGATATCCTTTCAAAGACTTTTATGCCAATCGCTACATCAATAACAATCAATATTACAATCTCGATTATCCTGATTACAGCAACTATCCTCGTGCAAATGTATAAAAATAGTCATATTTCTGATCAATAAATTGCAGTCATGGTTCCCGAATTCCATCATTGAGTGGCCCCTTGAGAGTGTGCTTCGACACCAAAGGGGGAGATAATATAGTCAGAACTTTGGCAGTACTTAAAACATGTATTTTCTTCTTTATTCTACCGCCTTAAGTTATTCATAACCTCAAATTTATGAGTATTTGACCTGAAAACACGCCATTTTTACTTGTTTGACCCGGAAAACTTACGAAAAAAAAACAGTTTTTAAGAAATATTTTAAAGTTTCCTGTGGATATTTTGATGTGATTTAATTAAACCCAGCTTAAGTTTAGAAAAGTTTGTCTTAAGTTCATAACATAACCCAGAAAGTTGCAAAAAACAATTCTTTTTCTCCAATTATTGCATTAATTCCTTTTTAAAGTGACTTTTGAACGCATTACATTGATGATATTCAAGCACTTTCACTTCTTAAGCACTCCTGCTGAATTGTACACCACTTCTGACCACAATATCTCCCCCTTGGTGGCCTCTTGAAAGTGTGGTGGGGGCACTTGAAAGTGCTAAAAGTGGTATCGTCAATCAAAACACCAGCGTCACCACAAATGCCCTCTGATAAGGCGCAATAAAAGGGGGGTGTGGGGGGCGCCAAGGGACAATCTTGGCCAAGAGGATGAAAGGAAAATATTGATTCGGGGTTTGTGGGAAATCTCCGATTTGATTTCGTCTGATTTATTAGCCATGGGGGAATTGAGTCATCTTCAACGGCAAAATCTCTCCTCCTTCTTCTTCCACCCCATTTTCTCTGTCAATTTCTCACGACACTCTTGCACGCCCTCGGGCTGGAGGGGAGGGGGGGGGTCGATGTGACTCAATCCCTTGTCATTAATTTGCCGCCCTTTCTTGCGCGCCTCTCCAGAATCTGTGTCTCTGTCGGCTCTTTCAATAATAAATGTCACATTAATCAGGGCGAATAATTATTAAATGTCTCCGCCCGGAAGGTCGTTATGGGGTGGGGGGATGATTTGCACTACATCACGGGCGTGGATATGCATCTTCTTTGGCGGGTCCACTGCGTGGTTGAGGGTGGTGAACGCGCGCGCCCCATCAGCACATTTCTTCACACACACACACGCGCACACCGCCCGGCAATCTCTCAGTGCAGTGATCCATATGGCCTGGTTTGCCTCTCCCGCCCAAACATCCTCCCCCGGGGAAGATTCCGCACAGAGGATTTATTGCCGCAATCTCTTTGGCGTCGGATGGGCATTTTTATCCCGAACGCACACGGAAGATTCCACATGAACTGGCGAGGCCCAAAATGACGAATCAAATTAAAAGCTTTGATAATTTATTGGCCGACGCCGTGGAGGGATTCACTTTAATTAAGGCTCTCTGCTACGTGAGTCCGAGTGATCACGCAGGATTCGAGTGTGCGGAATGATTGTGCTCACGACATTTTTGGGGATGAGCGAGTAAAAGGATTTTTTCCCCATTTATTTTACTGTTATTTGTGTGGAAAATTAATTAATTTCCCCAATTTTCAATTCACAATCCAATTGAACTAGAAGTTTATGCTTTTTTGGGATGTTTTCTACAATTTTTCTCCATGTCGTATTACCAACAAATTGTCTGTCATGATAAAGTTGTACCACTTAGAAATACAACTTCAATTGCCGCACACATTTTGTCCAGCTGGAAAAGTTATGCCATAATGTTGATATAATGCATGACTTCGTTAAATTGCTAGGTTTTCATTGTTGTGAACTTAGGGGGGTGGAAAAGAAGGAGAGTTGAAGAGGACTTTTTGAGGGGTTTCTTAGGGAAATTCCACCACAAAATTGACTCACATTTTCCCTTCACATAACAACTCTATTGAAATTGGACTATTTCTCGTGGTATTTTTGCCTCTACTTCCTGTGGATGTTGTCTATATGTATAACTTGATGGCGTATTTTCACAATATAATTCCACATTGCAACCCCCGTTGGGAACGCGCGGGGGGTGAGTTTATGCATGGAAATTGATAATGCAACCTCTCAACATGACTGAATCGAGTGTTCTTCCGCACTGAAAATTGCCCATTAAATTCAATCCCGCGCCGGTGCATGGCAAATGAGACCCGCCGGCAGCGTTGGCAATTCGACGTCCACCCCCGCGGCGCTTGGGGCAGTCTTGGATGGACGGTTTTCCCAGAATTCAATTGTGCAATCATCCGCCGGGTTTCGTGCCACCGGCAGCATAGCCTTCGGACATGAATCCGCAATTGATCGCTTAATTGATAGCGTGAGGCGAATCCGGCGGTGAGGTTGACCCGAGAATGACATACAATAGGGCGCAACTTAATTTCCAATCCCTCCAACACACACCAAGAGCGACGTCCACGTCCTCTTGGCCCCAGTGGCACCGAATCGATCAATATTTGATCACTGCCACTGTCCCGATGATGTTGCAATTTCATTACCCACTCAGTCACTCAGGATGGAGTGCAAGATTCCTGGGCGACACGCAGAGAATGGTCAGTTGCAGTGGAAACGAAGGACACACACACACACATTTGAGAGTTCATTGCTGAATTGATAATTTATTCGGAGGGTAATTTTGCAGCACTATTCGCTGGATGTGTACTCAATTGAATAGCAATGAAACCGGGGAGATTTGACTGGAGTATTTTGAACTGAACTACATTAGGAATAAAGTGGGAATTAAGGGCAGACGAAGTTGCATATTAATGTGCGCGAATTTCACTCACAATGTTTCCATGACTGATTAATTTTCCCTAGAAAGCTATAGAGAGCTTAATGATCACAAGTACTCGAAGAAAAACACACAAGTTTTGATTGAATGTGTAGATTAGCATCCGGCTCAAAGGACCAAAATGTGTGTGGGTGTGTGTTTCCGAAGGCATCTGGAGGGACGAATTACGCAATATTTCCTTTCTTTTACACAATTTTCAGGGAAAACTCAACAGTTTAAGGACGAATTAGTCCATATCAGTTCCATATTTGGCGAAAAATTCAACGAAATTCCAGTCAATGACTCCGCAAGAACATTTTACTTTGTCTCTTAAGCGCGAATATCTGAGCTTAGATAATGTCAATTTTTTTTGTCCATGAAATCAAGATGAGAAGTGCGTCTTCGCTGAGATATTTCAATTTAGGAGAGTTGCTCAAATTCCGTGTGGAAAGTCCTGTGAGTTGGAATGTTTGTAATTAAGCCAAGAGAGGTGTCCTGATGGGTGTGAGTCACTCATCTCTACACACAGATTTCCATGGAAATGCTGAGCTGGTCGTTTGTGGTGGATTCAGGCGAGATTACCATGCCGTCACTCCTTTGTCCTCGGCATTCTTATGACGTGCTAAATCAATGGGGGAAGAGCGGATCGGGGATTTGCTGGCGAAGCTCACACAGTCACATCTGGCCGGAGGAGCGCCCAGCCGAAGATGGTGGGCGGAAAGTGGTAAACAGCAGTGGCAATAATTCATACAAATGATACGCACCCGGAGAGAGAGAGGGAGGATTTTGCCGGGTGGCGCAGGACAAAACACAGCCATGGGATAAGCTGCTCGACGATGGGGACGTCATTAGGGCTGACAAGTGGGAATGAATGAGGCGAGATGTTCACGGGTGGTCGCATGGGGTGGGAAATAGGCAAATGGGAACACCTGCTCTCGCCTTTCCCACTGACTTCCATCCACCCACAATTGCCGCACAACTCCTTCGCGCGCCCCAACGCGGAAAAGTATGGCTCAAGAGTCGCCATCCCCCAGGATGACTTCACAAAGTGTCACTATAGTATTATAATCACTTGATTTATTCACTGACTCTCCACAGCATTTTTCTACGCCGTAATTTAGTCTAGCATTCAGCAAAAGCTGAAATAATTATAATTTTAATCCTCATTGCAACCCAAAATTTCTCTCTTCTCGCAAGAATGCCAAATTATTCAGTTGCGCGAGTTGCGATCTCTTCTAGAATGCACCTTCCAGTCTTCTCACATATTTATTAAAATTAAAAGTTTACCATCATTGTGGCAAAGTTGGAGATTTTCCATGTGACAGACTTTACGGGTCTGATGGGGTTTCAGTGAAACTTTTCACAGCACCCCTCATTTTACTAATCTTCCAGAGCCATTCATGGGCATTGCGTGTAGAGATATACAAAAGAAAATCCCACACCAAGTTGCTTCTGCCATTTCTGACTTCTTACGCTCTTCTTCCCATTCAAATTGTACTCGTTTTTTTCCATGGTGAATAAATTGGTGGAATTGAACGCTTGATGGGAATTACAACACAATTAATTTCCCTATTTTTGGTCGATGGAATGATTTTTGAGGTTGTTTTGCTGATCCTTTTTCCAAACCCCGAAATATTTGCTGAGACCAGCATAATTAAGGCCATTTTACGCCCTAATTGATTGAATAGCGACGCAGGCGGTATAATTTTCCATCATATACCATTGAAATGTTGAAAAAAAGGGGTGTTCATTGAGGGTGTTTAGCAACTCTTCAGTTAGCTTTTTGACATGATCTTTAGCTAACTAATCTTACGTGTTATCCAGAGAACTATTACGTCTTGTATGTGCCAAAAACCTCACTCACCACGCATGTGAAAAGTCTTTTTGCAAACCCTTTGACATTAGGCAAAATTAATTTTGAACTTGACGAAGTGTAAAGACAATAAATACCCTGTCCAAAGACTCCATTATATTAAAGTCTGCGACGACTTTGAACAATAACAGGAGTCAGGTGGAAAATATTCTCTCGACTTGTTTTTCTATCCAGAAATACGAGAGAGAGAGAGAGAGAGAGCTTTCTGTGGCAAATCTGTCTGGCAGGGTTTTCCCACCTGAACAAATCCTGAGGATTTTTGACTTATTTAATGCATAGTGATTCCTAGTTTCCAGGGCATTTTCTTAGCTTTCTATAGCTGCCAGTGAAACTTTCCACAGACGTCCAAATCTCTCCGCTGGCTATCAAGTTTTTCCACTTGAGTGCTTTCCAACACCCACTCAATGTCTGAGAGGAGGGGGTGGATTTTATTGCACTTTCTCAGACTCCAATATGTGCTTTCCATGTGATAGATTCCCATGAAAGCGGGTGGTGTTTCTCCGTGCCACCCAACAAAACCCGTGGCAATAAACTGGCAAAGCATGACTCTTGTGACGTGTTTTGCACACACACACCATCCTTTGTACCACCATTTTTGGGGGGTGTGGAAATTGTTAAAAAGTTTCATCATTAGCCCCCTTTTTTCCAACGCGGGCGTGAAGCGAGTGAAAGGCATTGCGAAATACGAAATGTTGGGGGTCATCTGGAAATTTAGTCATCGAAAAGGGTGCGATAAGATAGGCTAATGCGCTTCATTTATCTTGATATTCTGCACCCTCATTCCTCCCTTCTTCGCATGCTGAAGGTTCCGGTATGATTTTGAATCTGACAGAGTTGTCAAAGTGGACAGATAATGTCACTGTCAAGGGATTCAAATTCAAATGAATAATCTACAATGGATGGACTTTAGTGTATTTCTCGCTGAGAATTTACTGGGAAATATTCACAAGAAGGAGAAAATTAATCTCATCTGTTGGTGACTAACTCTGTATACTCTTTTCTGGCAACTCTTTCACATGGTGAGCACTAAATGATGAGTGAGAAAGCCATAATTCAGCAGCTTTTGAATCAATTTCACTGTGACTACGTCAATAAATCTGGGTGAAGGGATGGACTTTTTTCTGCTGGGTGCATTTTTCACTATATACGGACGAGATGGAGGGTTTGAGGGAAAATTCATGGTCAAAAGAAAATCCATCTTGAATCTTCACTGCGAAATCTCACCCCCAAAAGAGAGAAGTGAACCCATCCACACCTCCGCCATGCAATAGAGGAAAATCCCACCCTCGAGAACGAGATTCAAAGTGGTAATGGTGCAGAAAAATGTCGAACTTGGGTTCTCATGGTTTCCAAACACATATATCAATTGAATGGGTTCAGTTAACGTGGGTTCGATTGGCACATTACTCCCACATAATGGGCTCTTTCCACATCTTCCGCTTCTCATTTTACATTTGCACACTTTTCCTGCCGAACGGGGAGGAAATTGTGTGGGGATGAATGGGGGACTCAAGATTGCTAGGGCTCTGAAGAGGAGGATGCCACTTGCCACTCATTTTCTCACCACAACGCCCCGCTCTCGAAACGTGGGCAAGTGGAGGCAAATAAACAGAGGGTAAATTTTCTCATTAGTACCTCAGCGTGAGTGAGAATAAATAGAGTGCATTGATGAGTCCCAATTACCTCAGCTCACTTATTTTCACTTTAATGACATCCTGTTATTCTCAAAATTCACTTAAATCCACCCACAAAGATCTACATCTTCAATAAACATCGTTATGTTTTCCAACGCTCAGTTGAGGAGGAATCTCAAGGAGTTAGGATGAGAAAAAAAAATCAATTAAAAAGCAAGCTTCAGGGATGAAAAAATGTTTATATAAATTGCAATTTTCCATAGCAAAGGATTTAACCCATCTCATTTAGGCGTTCCTTTTCTTTTGGGACGCGCGCAAGCAGCAAAAGTATCCCAGAAAGCAATAAATTAATGTTGATGGGATAATTTTTGAGCCAGCAGCAATTTTCATGATGTTATTAAATTTTTCCACGAGCCACCCACCATCTTCGCGAGTGGTGCGTGTTTTCATAATTAATTAAGTCAGAAGCAGCCAAAAGACCCCTCTAGCTTTCTTTACGACTCACCTCGACTCTGGAGCTCGAGATCCAACTTTTACTCTGCCCAAAAAGGGGCTCATGTTCCCCGCTGCGATTGACCGAGGTTACAAGGCTCTGATTTATGCCGCGACAGGTCCTTAATATTCAGCAGCAATGCTCTCAAAAAGCCACCCTCTAAATTCTCAATCTTATCACTTTCGCCTGAGACAATCTCACCCTCGCAATCTCATAAAAAGTAAACAATATACACACAGCTGAATTTGAGGTTGTGGAAAATTTCCGAGAAACCACGTGTATGAGGTAGAAGATTTAGGTCGCGATGTCGCTTTAAGACACGTGGAGGCCATGAATTTTGCAAAGAAAATCCCTATCAGATTATGTCTTCATTGTTTTGGTGTGTTCCATGGAACAAAGGAAAAAAATTGCATCGAAAGTAGACCAAAGTGCATAATAGGCAATTTTAGATTACGCTACAGTATATAAACTAGCCAGAATTTCAATCTAAAATCAGTACAATCTGCGAAGCAGAATGAAAATATCACTTTATTTTTCGACTGTGCTAGTCTTACTAGCATTTAAAAGGGGCAATTGTGCCCCTGAGTGTCTCACATATCAAAAAATTTGTATGGACAGAGGCTATTCCAAAAACTGTTGTGAGAAATATGTGGAATGTATAAAAAAGAACGCGAAGGGAGGCAGCAAAGAAGGAGACTGTGACAGAGACTTACTTAGATGTCATGTAGAGTCAGATTCCAGTGAAGAATCCAAAGAATCTAGCAGTTCAAATGATTCCAGTGGAGAAGAATGCGTGATAATAGATTCGATAGATATTCCTGTGGCTCAAACAGAGGCCCAACCAGAAGATACGGAAGAAACTCCTACGGATTCTCCGGATGATGCAGTAGATATGAATGAAGGTGGCGAAATTCTGGATGACACATTTGGGACAGAGCCCACTCTTCCAACAGAAGAAGCGACAGTAACGCCATCTGAACCCAGTCCTCCAACAGAAGAAATGACAGAAGCGGTAACTGAGCCTCCGGACACAACAGTTGATCCAATAAATGTGGATGATGGTGGCGGTGGCATCTTGGACGACATATTTGGAACAGAGCCAACTATCCCGACTGATATCACGGTTCCAACCCTTGTCACTGAACCCACTCTTCTAACAGAAGCACCAACAGAAGCGCCAACAGAAGCACCAACAGAAGCACCAACAGAAGCGCCAACAGAAGCACCAACAGAAGCGCCAACAGAAGCGCCAACTGAACCCAGTCCTTCAACAGAAGAAATGACAGAAGCACCAACAGAAGCGCCAACAGAAGCGCCAACAGAAGCACCAACAGAAGCGCCAACTGAACCCAGTCCTTCAACAGAAGAAATTACAGAAGCGGTAACTGAGCCTCCGGACACAACAGTTGATCCAATAAATGTGGATGATGGTGGCGGTGGCATCTTGGACGACATATTTGGAACAGAGCCAACTATCCCGACTGATATCACGGTTCCAACCCTTGTCACTGAACCCACTCTTCTAACAGAAGCACCAACAGAAGCGCCAACAGAAGCACCAACAGAAGCACCAACAGAAGCGCCAACAGAAGCGCCAACAGAAGCGCCAACAGAAGCGCCAACAGAAGCACCAACAGAAGCACCAACAGAAGCGCCAACAGAAGCACCAACAGAAGCGCCAACAGAAGCACCAACAGAAGCACCAACAGAAGCGCCAACTGAACCCAGTCCTTCAACAGAAGAAATTACAGAAGCGGTAACTGAGCCTCCGGACACAACAGTTGATCCAATCAATGTGGATGATGGTGGCGGGGGCATCTTGGACGACATATTTGGAACAGAGCCAACTATCCCGACTGATATCACGGTTCCAACCCTTGTCACTGAACCCACTCTTCTAACAGAAGCACCAACAGAAGCGCCAACAGAAGCACCAACAGAAGTGCCAACAGAAGCACCAACAGAAGCACCAACAGAAGCACCAACAGAAGCGCCAACAGAAGCACCAACAGAAGCGCCAACAGAAGCGCCAACTGAACCCAGTCCTCCAACAGAAGAAATGACAGAAGCACCAACAGAAGCGCCAACAGAAGCGCCAACAGAAGCGCCAACTGAACCCAGTCCTTCAACAGAAGCAATGACAGAAGCACCAACAGAAGCGCCAACAGAAGCGCCAACTGAACCCAGTCCTCCAACAGAAGAAATGACAGAAGCACCAACAGAAGCGCCAACAGAAGCGCCAACAGAAGCACCAACAGAAGCGCCAACTGAACCCAGTCCTTCAACAGAAGAAATTACAGAAGCGGTAACTGAGCCTCCGGACACAACAGTTGATCCAATAAATGTGGATGATGGTGGCGGTGGCATCTTGGACGATATATTTGGAACAGAGCCAACTATCCCGACTGATATCACGGTTCCAACCCTTGTCACTGAACCCACTCTTCTAACAGAAGCACCAACAGAAGCACCAACAGAAGCGCCAACAGAAGCACCAACAGAAGCACCAACAGAAGCACCAACAGAAGCGCCAACAGAAGCACCAACAGAAGCGCCAACAGAAGCGCCAACTGAAGTTCAGACCAACAGAAGCCACGAAGCGCCAACAGAAGCGCCAACTGAACCCAGTCCTAGCACCAACAGAAGCGCCAACAGAAACGCCAACTGAACCCAGTCCTCCAACAGAAGAAATGACAGAAGCACCAACAGAAGCGCTAACAGAAGCGCCAACAGAAGCACCAACAGAAGCGCCAACTGAACCCAGTCCTTCAACAGAAGAAATTACAGAAGCGGTAACTGAGCCTCCGGACACAACAGTTGATCCAATAAATGTGGATGATGGTGGCGGTGGCATCTTGGACGATATATTTGGAACAGAGCCAACTATCCCGACTGATATCACGGTTCCAACCCTTGTCACTGAACCCACTCTTCTAACAGAAGCACCAACAGAAGCGCCAACAGAGGGACCACAGAAGCACCAACAGAAGCACCAACAGAAGTGCCAACAGAAGCGCCAACAGAAGCACCAACAGAAGCACCTACAGAAGCGCCAACAGAAGCACCAACAGAAGCGCCAACAGAAGCGCCAACAGAAGTGCCAACTGAACCCAGTCCTCCAACAGAAGAAATGACAGAAGCACCAACAGAAGCGCCAACTGAACCCACTCTTCCAACAGAAGCACCAACAGAAGCGCCAACTGAACCCAGTCCTTCAACAGAAGAAATTACAGAAGCGGTAACTGAGCCTCCGGACACAACAGTTGATCCAATAAATGTGGATGATGGTGGCGGTGGCATCTTGGACGACATATTTGGAACAGAGCCAACTATCCCGACTGATATCACGGTTCCAACCCTTGTCACTGAACCCACTCTTCTAACAGAAGCACCAACAGAAGCGCCAACAGAAGCGCCAACAGAAGCACCAACAGAAGCACCAACAGAAGCACCAACAGAAGCACCAACAGAAGCGCCAACAGAAGCACCAACAGAAGCACCTACAGAAGCGCCAACAGAAGCACCAACAGAAGCGCCAACAGAAGCGCCAACAGAAGTGCCAACTGAACCCAGTCCTCCAACAGAAGAAATGACAGAAGCGCCAACTGAACCCACTCTTCCAACAGAACCACCAACAGAAGCACCAACAGAAGCGCCAACAGAAGCGCCAACAGAAGCGCCAACAGAAGCACCAACAGAAGCGCCAACAGAAGTGCCAACTGAACCCAGTCCTCCAACAGAAGAAATGACAGAAGCACCAACAGAAGCGCCAACTGAACCCACTCTTCCAACAGAACCACCAACAGAAGCACCAACAGAAGCACCAACAGAAGCGCCAACAGAAGCACCAACAGAAGCGCCAACAGAAGCACCAACAGAAGCGCCAACAGAAGCGTCAACTGAACCCAGTCCTCCAACAGAAGAAGTGACAGAAGCGGCAACCGAGCCTTCAACGGAGCAACCGACAACAATGGTAACTGAGGCGTCAACGCAGACATCGCTAGTGACAACTGTAACTCCGCCAACTACAACAGTTGGAACGATGAATATGGACGATGGTGGAGGAAGCCTAATTGGTGACATAGTTGGCGGTCTTTTTGGCAGATAACATAACAAAGTAGCGAAATAATGATTTGTAAGAACTACAATGTTCTTCGCACATGAAATAAAGTCTTTCAATGGTAGCAAGAATTTTTCGCAGAAAATATTTCTGAAAAGCTGTGTCGCATTCTCTACATATTTTCTCACAGAGCATTGCCTTTATCTTGTGTTATAATTCACGACTTATATGCCCAGAGCATTAATTAAATTATATGCTGTGAGTTTTGTTTTTGGTGCTGAGTTCAAAGCATCAAGCATGGCGTATCTTTGCGAAAGAAGGGAGATGATGCAAAAGTATCCTTGCACTGCGCTCGTGTGTCTCTGACAGGGAGATAATTTCGACATATAATTTGCATGCAAATGTACAGACGAAATTAATCGGACTGATGAGGATGACACGGAACTTACAGTAGCTTCGCAGATCATCTCTTATGGCATATTCATGTGCAGCACAAAGCTTGCGTTTTATTGAAGAGAGACATGAAAATGGAAGGTATTTATTCCGAAGAACTCAGCGTTCATTCAAAAGTCAGATGAAATGCATTCCACACTAGATGATGTTCTGCTTTGATTCCCTCAAAGAGTCGATGTTTGACACTAGAGTGAATTCTCTTGTTAAGAGAAAGGCTCTTAATTAACAATTTTCGGTATATCAGCTGAAAATTGCATGAGAAATACATCATGGCGATGCTCTTCGGAGAGCTCTCTAGGGGGATGTCTTTAACGAGAATTTATGGGGCAAAGGATGAAATTCCTATGAGAAAGTTTGTCTGATCCTTTTTCGCTGCAGCCCAAAAACTCTGGCACACTAAATATTGACTCTAGATTTCGCATTTTATCTCACTCCCTCGCCATTTTCCCTTGAAAACACCACACAAACAACAAACCTCTCATGTGAATTTGTACCACCAACGAAGTTTTTTAATTAGATCTGAAAGTTGTTTTTTTTCGTGGTCTGGCCTCAAAACAAACACATTGGATTAAAAAAAATCCTTTCTATGCACGTTTTTGCTTCTGGCGGTACTTTCAATGTGTCACATTTTACAGCGTGAAATTGATTGTTTCGGTAATTGAAATATTTTAATTGAAGTGCAGAATATTCATTAAGAATTGAGCTGTATTTTGACAGTATTTTCCTATCGAGTGCATTGCAGTACTGAAAGAATTTTTAATATATGTTACATCAAAGCTTTCTAAAGAAACAGTCTTTCATAACAATAACTGTTTGTACACTTTATACAACATGCAATTTGACTTGATGTCAATTGTAGAGCTTCATTCATTCAACTTTGATCCCCAGGATGAGAAATGCTGTTGCGAAGGAAAGCAGCTCGATTTTTCCGCTGGGACGCTGAAAAACCACAAACATCAATAAATCTCAATGGGAAACCGAAGCTGGACAGACTCTTGTTATTCCTCCTGATGCACTTTGGCTCCTGAGAATCAAATAGTTGAATAATTTACCATCCAATAAAGCTAATGGCGCAACAGAATGGACTTGGACAGAGCGTGTGCCAAAGAGATTTTTTGGCACACACCCACGATCGTGGAGAGATTGCATGACTTTCCTCTGAGGATGATGGAATTGAATGGGTTGCATGTGGGAAGTCAGTGTGATGAAATGTGTTTGTCACACCTTGCCAGAGATATTGATTCCGCCGTCGGAGAAGCTCCAAACATCAAGGAAGCATATTGCAGGAAATCACATCTGATATCTTCTCTTCAGGGCGGGGGGTTGGTGAGGGAGGAAAGTTCATTGCAAAATGCAACCTGAAAGCTCTCTCTCTCTCTCTCTGCATATCACATTTAGTTCTTGGAATATCCATTTGAAATTGATACATTTCAGCACTTTAAATAGATTACATGAATGGATTCAATTCCCTCCCAGGCATTTCACATTGCATACAAAATAGACACAATTTTTGTCCCACTTCTGTGAGTGCATTCTAATTACACTTCCTTCAATTCACTCCCTTTTCCACACACAATAATGTGCGCTTAGAAGAATGAATTTCCTGTGACTCAGCGAGAGTTGAATCATTTCCACTCTTTTTTTTTTGCTCTCATCCTTCTGTCGCGATTAACATGAATTTATTGGTGTGACACAGAATGTTTTTTTTACTCTCCTGACACTATCGGGTGTCATAATTTCAGAAAAAGTATGAATTTCATGGTGTTCGAGATGGGAAAGCAAAGAGGCCACCATCTGTCGCCCACATTGAGGCTCCGCATTTCACGACGCCCAAATCAATTTCGCCCGCGTCTTTTTGGCGGGAAAAATGCACATCGCCAGGCATGAGAACGCGCATTCCTGAGGGTTCGCACCTGTCTACACTCGCGGAGTCACTCAACGGCATCGACTCGTGTCTTTCCGGCCGGCAATTAATTATATGGTCAGCGAAAGGGAAAATATAAAAAGCAGCACAAGAGCGAGAGGTTTGGGCGAAGGTATTGAAATTATGCTCAGAGACCCTTAAACACAAAACGCCCCAGAGTCGGAAATGTGAGGATTATTCATGCTGGAAGAATAGTGGAGTTCGTGTCAAAGAACACTTGGACAATACACAATTTTCTTGATGATTCGCGCCTGAAGAAGCAACAAACTATTTGAGATTAAAATACTCTCGGAGAAGTTGGACAGATTCCAAGAGAATTTCTGGCTGTTGCACTATATTTCCTCGCGAAATGTTTGTTTTTACACATGCAAAGGCGACTTTACAGGCATTTTTTTTGAACACACACACGTCATATAAATATATTGTAAGCGCGCTGCTTATTTATTCAGGAGGCTTTTTTCTGGCACATTAATCAGTGGACAGCATAATGTGCTGTATGGTATTTTACAATGACAAAGGAGAGATGTTGCAATGTAGAGAGATTTTCATACTAGAAGCAAAAAGACGATGGCCAGCATAGAATTTCATATGTAAATAATTCGGAAATTGTTCTAAATACAGAAATTCGACAGAATTTCACACAGTTTATATGGCAAATGTCAAGATTTTAGAGAGAATAATCCCACTATAAGTTGAAAAGTCAATAAATTATTGCCAATGTCGACACTTTCCTGTCTTTTAACACAATTTTAGGACAAGAAAATAGTTAAAATCAGACTAATGAGTCCTTTGACGGTCGATTTTTACCTATAATGACTCTAAAAATTGTTGTTAAAAAGAGAAAATTTCACGCAATTCATATCGATAACTGTTGATAAGTGTCGATAACTTCAAGACAAAAACAAAGACCTGGAATAGGTTCAGATGATCACTTTAATTGATGCTTCAAGTATTCATTTTTCATTATTGCAACGCGAGAGGGTTAATGAATGTAAATTTCTTCTCCGCGAAGAATATTCTAATTCTGAAGAGCAATTCTAGCTACATGACTTGTGCTCTATTTGTGTTTGCCTTCCCCGAACCGCCCAACTGTTTGACCCACGAGACGCAGAGCTATACGGTTCGTGACCGCCGAGGGTTCGCATAAATTCCGCCGCGCGGACCCTCCGCTGCCGGTGAGATACTGGGGCTGAATAATGCATTTCTCCGGATGGCTGCCGCAAGTCTGGGGCGATATGGAGCCCGTGAACACTATGTGTCGGTATCAAACCGTCAGTTGCGCTCGGCTGACGCCCAGGTTCTCTCGACCATCTGTGGGTGTTCAGTGAGTGGGAACGACAGGGGACGCCCGGAGTCAGTGAGCGTGACGCCGGCGGCGCGCCGGGACAAGGCGTGAGAGCGAGAGAGAGAGTGAGTGGCTCTCCTGGAAGTCATGGTCGCCCCTTCGCTCATTCCCGTGCGGATGCGCAGCGTGACGCCAAGTCGGCCGAGTGTCGGTGGAATTCAGTAAAGTCTCGACCGCCGCCGAGGCAGTGTTTGGGCCCCGAGAGTCTTGGACGCGATCCCAGGTCACACGCGCGACCTCTTGACCCGCGAACATTGAGCATCACACTTTGCTATGCTCACCAGCATAATTTTGGCATCGTGTCCAAGAATAGCGCCCGGAATTCCTCGTCAGTCATGAGTGCTTAAGGTGATGAATCTTAAAATAAACTCCGCGCGAGTGAATAAATCCACACCAAAGGCTGTTGGATGGCTTTCGAATGACCTGACCATTAATATTTATTTACCTCCAACCCAAAATCGCAGAGGAAAATTCCCTCCTCATCCCCCAAAATGAAGACGATATGGCGCATTGACAAGGGAAAATAGTTCAGTGGATTTAGGTGAGGTGGGGGGAGGGAAAGTGTGAGAAATTGTGTCTCCAGCAGACACTCAATTCCCTCAGGTTTTCCCACCGCCGTCTCGCTTGCAACCCATTTTCCATGTGTCGATGCAGATGGTGCACCATCGTTCTCGCTGAGCGGGAGAAAAAACTGCGCGCAATGTGACAAGAGAACCCCAGGAAGATGCACTGTTAGAAAAGTGAGAGAGAGTACTTTCGCGCGAGAAAGCTCAGGAGAAAAGCTCTCTCCCTTTGCAGTTTTTTTTTCAATCGGTTTGACAACTAATAAGCAGAAGGAGGGGCAAAACGCAAAATCACGACTTCTAATTTTGAATCAAAAGCAAGATTTTAAGATCGTACTATCATCATTAGCGACAAAATCTGCTTAAAATTATTTAAAATATAGAAAATGATCGTGAAAAACCAATGCTGCCCCATCTTGCCCTATAATTATTGAAATAGAATAGTTTATCATGTGTTGAAGCTCATGGAAATTCCAACATATGAAGACACTTTGGAGAAAAACATTCGATTCTTTTGCTCTGTCGATTGCTAACAGTGTACAGTGTGGGAGCCTTTGTAAGTTTTTTATCGTATCTCGTGTCGTGAAAGCTCTTGGCGCTCTTCAGACGCGCAAATGCCATCATCATATTGTCTTTCAATTATTTTCACTTGCTTTTCCACTTGTTTCTGTCCTCCTTCCACCCACACCACCCTCTCCCATCCAGGAACTTTTACACCCATCGTAATATTTTGCCGAGATATTGCACTTGACATTGTTAAACTGTTCAACAATTCTCAAAGCTGTGCGTGTAAATTTCTTTTTCAGTGGTTTTTTTTCGAATATTATTGGCAAAGAGAGAAGTGTCCGGAAAAGACAGTGTTTGTGTGTAGTTAAGAGAGAAAGAGAGAGAGAGAGAGAAGAACCAGTGAAAATTGGACCAAATGGGATTAAAGTGAACCTTTTGAGAGCGCGATGTTTCGACCACTCTTTATCTTTATACCCTTCATTCTGGCAACAGGTAATTATTTAATTGAAGCATGATTTTGTAAAGTAGTATCTTTATACATAATACCCACTGAGAGCGCATTTACCCTCACTGTAAATTTCCCTTTCACGAGGGATTTTCATGTGGCCGATGATGGATCCTCATGCAACTTTTAGTATAAGAGAGAGACTAACATGTATTGTCCATTATACAGTTTGAGGGCTTAAGAGGGCTTTAAAGAGTGGAGAAAATGGGAGTTTAAGGGTCAATTGAGTGACCGAAAATTTGAATTAAAATGAAGTACTTTTAATTACTCAAAACCCGCAATTAATATACTGTCTCTGGCTGATGGTGTTCAATGGAGAATTGCCGCAGAGCATAAATTACCCCGTCAATTGCTATATCGTCTCACGCGCCAATTTTTGCCACGCAGTCAGTATAATTCATCCCTGGGAAAATGGGGAAATATGCATTCGAGTGGCAAATGGGATTTTTTTTCTGTACACACTGATCGGACAGTCACAAATATTCGCACACTTTTCTCCACCCAGAAAGCATCAAATAACACGAAAGATGAATTTATATTTTGAACCACAATTGCGCGCTTGCACAGAACTCTCCATATTTGTGCCAATTTATCATGTATGCCAAATTATTTATGATTTTTCAATTTTTCACCCGAAAAACTTTCTACTCGCAGCCTTTTTTTTGTCCTTTTGCAACCACGAGCACATCTCTTGGCAATTGCAACACCATTGGAGAAAGTTTTGATCTGAAAAGTTTTCTCATGATACTCGTGGTGGAAAGCAAAATTTACCTGCAATGTTGCTCTTGCAGTGCTTCACAATGTGACCCAATCATCAACAATGGCTGCATGATTTCCACCCACTTCCCCCCAATATTCCGTGCAATCTGAGTTGTGTGCGTGATGGAAAATAAGATTAAGTCAATCCGGAAGAATTGTGTAGAACATCCGGGTGGGATTTTGGACATGGTAAGAATTTTCTGAGGCTTCTCACACTGTCTAATGTTTTCCACATGGTGGCATATGATGTGTAATATATGAATGGAGTAAATCAATATAGTGCCGCCGCCCCCTCGGGATTAGGTCAGTGTTTATTTATTGACCATGTTGTCTTCTGTACTGCCTCGCACTGTTCCGCAATCTGAGGCTCTCTCCGGAGGCATTCTCAACACCAGATGGCTCGCTACGATGTTTTAATTACCCATAGAGCATGTGTGTGTCCGGAAGTCTCATGCTCACCATGTCACACTGTTCGGCTCTTCCTCCAGTTCGTCATCTTCAATATTTACGTCGATAATGAGGATGGATTTAGGTTTCAATTACTCAGCTTGGATCAAAAATTCTGTCATTCACTATGAATCCTCTTTGGAATCTTCACAAATACAATTACATCATCCATTCGCAATATCCTGGCGCGTTGGAGAGTAAACTTTTATGGCTTTTCATCTTGTCGCTGAGCCGCAAATTTGGCGCGCTTTCGTCTCTCACATCATGATGTAATTCCACAGCACAAGAACGCGGCGCTATTTTTATCGCATGGCACAGAAATAGAGGGAAAAAAAACATTTTTAATGTGCCTCTTCTCATTAAATATTCAGTTGAAAATGACCAATGTTGTACGCAAGGGATTGACATTTTTCACACACACAGACTAAAATATAGCGACTATTACCTTTAAATATTAATGGACTTTATAATGGCTTCTATTGATCCACAAAAGGATATTAATTCATACGGATAACTGTGGAATTTCTACTATACTTGCTCTCTCTCTTTCATGCTGAATTTTGCCTTTGCACACAAAGTGAATCATTTTTGACAAAATGAACCTCTTCTGTTGCATCTATAATGATGGCACTCCCACTTAAGTTCTATTTAAACATCCTTTCAGCGAATTAGCAAAAGAGAGAGAATCACTTAGGCAAATACACACACACAGTGTCTTGAGCAAGCACACATTTTCAGGCCCCGGAAGTAGTGCAAAATCCACCAAAGTTTATTCACCACTCAAGAATTTCACTCCAGCTAATCGATGCTGCAGCATTTATCCATAATTGAGTGTTTAATAATGAAACAAATTCAAAGCGTCTTCATTAGTGCTTCCATGAGATGTTCTATTGCCATGAATTCCTTAATGCCTTCGCACGGGGTTGAAGAGAAAAGTGTTTTCCCCCCCTTAGCTGATTGGCGAAATAATTGGCGCCGAAAGGTAAGAAATAACATCAAAAGAAAACGTGAAATGTCCCAATTATGTCCGTAAATTCCCATACAATTTTCACTAATTGGAACTTTTGTGGGACGACTCAACACTGAGGGGGGGGGGGTTGTGTATTTTCTTCTAAATATGGAAAACAACATGTAAACAAAGTCCTTCAGAAATATCATCAATTAACTGCGTGGTGGTGCTTTGAGAGCACAAAGTGAAAAATGCAAGAGTGAAAGACAAGGGGCAAATCAGAGGGGGGTTTGTGTGGAAAAAAATCAAATAATAAAAATTTGAATATAAATCAATAAAAAAAATTATTGTTTGTCACGTAAGAATGCTAAAACAATCAAAATTTAAATATTTTCGAGTAAAATATTTAAAGAATTCATGTTTTACGTTTCTTGTGTGACTGAGAATTGCTCCAATCACTTATATTTTCTGGATATTTCATAAAAATTTAAATATTCGATCGTTTTCTGCACATATCGCCACGAGAGGGCAGCAAAGTTGGCGTGGGGGACGCTAATAATGTCTTATTTGTTGCAAAATCACACTTTATAACTTCTTTGCGTGATCACGGGCCAGAAGAGAAAGAAATTTGAGTGCAATAATGAAGATTTTCGCGTGAAAAAAGCTTGAAAGTCATGAAGAAGTTCCGATTGTATTTCATAAAGGCGAAAATGGCGTTCAAATTCCAGTTTGTGGCAAATTTGTGACTTTTTCTCTTTTTTGCCAAAAAATCACGGAAAAAAACAAGAAATGATTGAATAATGAAAAAATCAAGTGTCTCAAATTGCGAGTGACTTTCCCCTTGATGAAAGAAAAGAGCGTATGTAGCAGCAAATCAATTCCATCACAGTGTTCATCAATCTATCTATAGTGTTTAATGATTGCGGAATTCTTCTTTTGTGTCCGCGTGTGTGGCGCAAAAGCAAATATTTACCATCCCCAATCAATGCTGTGTCGTGTGAAATTTCATCCCCCGGGAAACATGCTCAAATAACCTCTATCGTGTCTCTCAGAATTAATTCAAATTGATTGAGCGGGATTCTCCCATAACTTTTCCCACATCATGTGCAATATTTTTCTCATCGACATTGACGGATATTTTTTCGACTTGGCATGTCATTCGACGAGGCATTTCCAATTTCCGTTCATCGCATAATATTTTTTTCTTTCTTCTTTCTTCTCCACCAGCTAGAATGACGGAAAAAATGTTGACAATTTTCCATGTGATGCGGCGAAAATCCTTGACCACAGCGACATTACGCGTCAAATCGCAAACAGCGGAAAGCATATAATCTATCTTGCTTTTGCGTAAACTTTCTGTGCAATTTCACATACATTTGCCTCCAACATCACCATGGTTGAAGACGAAGAGGAATTACTAAACATGATTTCCCATGTGGCTAAAGAGTTGAATTTTCACGTAGAACAGAAAGTCCTCTCATCTCACATGCAAGAGAACATGCAGAATCGACGCGCACACACAACATTAAATTGCCAACCAAGAGAATCTCATGGATGTGTCTCAATAGAATTGGTGCAATTTTGTGCAGACATTTCGCCACGCTTCGCTCTCCAGCTTAATTCATCTTGTGGATTTTCCATGCAAACATTTTCGCCCACAATCATCAACATCCTCGAGCATTGTGACAAGATATTATGCTCAAAATGCCTATCAATAAATTATAATGCTCTGCGATTAATCATTGATATTGGCTGGAAGGAAATCAAGGGGAAAATCACTCGCAATTTGTGACCAAACCAACCATCAACTTTGTGATTATTCTTTGAATTATTTTATAATTATTTTCTGCATATTTAATGCAAAAATTTGAATATTATTCAAAATTTGATGATTTTCTCCACATATTGACGCTAGAGGGCAGCAAAGTTTGTTTTGGTTGTCATGCAAAATGACGTTGCGCGCCATTTTTCTTGTGTTTCTTGTGGAAAAAGACTGAAATGTTCGACATTTTGAGCTTCTAAAGGATTTTTTAGGCGAAAATTTGTATACATTCTTTGTTTATTTTATTAAATATTTGATTTTTTCCGATACAAAGTAAAAATCGAGATTAAGACCATTAAAATTCCTCAAAATCACCTAGCGATTTGCCCCTTGAAGGAAATTTCACTGAGAGACGCGCTTCTTGTGTTTATTTTTCTCCCTTCATGCGGAGCACCGCGAAGACAGCCAAAGAGTTGTTTTTCCTATTTGATCTCCAGGAAGAAATTTGCATTGGGAAGTATAGAATAATAACAAATAACATATATTTTCCCTTGCTATGTAAATGATTACCTTTGTTATGGGAAGATTCAATGGAAAACATACCGCAACTTATTTATTATTGTTTCAATCTCTAGAGTGAAAGTCAGAAGCTTTTTCACCCTCTATGCAAAGCTCTCTCTCTCTCTCTCTCTTCCACTCTGGCATCTTTTGATCCATCAGCCTGATTGATTTTGCTCAGCAATCACGAGAGATTCACACGAGCCGCACGTCTTAGAGGGCGCCGCGTTGTGAGAGATTGCGGACAGTGGTGAGGTGGAAAAATGCCATCAACTCTCTCTCTGAGCTGTGATGCATTCATTTCACACATAATGCATACAGCTGATGTTGTGCATTTATATCCTCAGTTGCATGTCCCTTGATCGTCCCATCTGATTACGAATGCACTGAGTTCGTGCAGAACTGAATGATGTGTTCCGCTTGCGGATTCACTCCTACCCAGAATGATGATACTCTCTCCACCCCCTGCACGAGGGTGCTTCCGGGGTGTGAGGGGGCGCCACCGCAAGCCT